CCCCCAGTGATTCTGCTACAACGGATCTTATCGACATGTTTTAATGTGACATTGGAAAAGAATTTTATACAAATTCAAAATTGATATAAAACAGATGTTCGATTGAGCTGAGTTAACTCATGCTATGTCACGTGACTTTCATTGACTCGGAAAAAGCTTGCGGCTTTTTGCATCAAAGCGGTTTATAAGGGATTTAGACTACCTCTCAGAAATCCACGTGCAGTCTGACTTGTTCGTGGCGGGCCATAAGTGATTTCTTCACCCGCTGAGAAATTTATTTCTCACCCGCTGAGAAATGTATTTCCCTCCCAGGCGTGATTCACAGTATTTTATCAAGATCACGTGGACCAATCAGATTCCATCATTCTGACATGGAGGTATGATAAACAAGCTTAATTGATACTGCCTGCGGCATGATTAATGAAGCATGTATTCTTGTTTAACCTATTGTAACATATTGCTTACAATATAACATATCGTATGCAAAAGAAATCTAATAAATCACTCAATAAATTGTGCTTTCCAGATTTTAATATTTAAAATACTTTTGGGGGATCAGCAGAATCCGCAAACCAATACGGTAAAATGTATCCCCTAAGATTTGTAAAAGTCTTAATAAAACTGGATTCTTCCGTGTGGTGTCAGTGGCTATGATTGGGGCGCATTGGCTGTGTGATTACTTGGTGCTTCTGACTAAGTACATATTTCATCAGCTGTCTGGCTGATGATTGCACTATTACTGCTGCTTGCAGAGTATTAATTAAGTATTTCCCCACTTTCTCGGGATAAGGGGGTGGCAACACGAAGCCGAGACGATGAAGTGATCCCAACTTGGTAATTTGACCAGATCTAGTGGTTCATGTTACGTAGTAGTCACGTGACTGGATCAGGCGAGAACCTTCCCCAACAGCATGCTTTCTGAACTTCAGTTAGTTTCCGTTTTAGTGCATGTAGTGTACTTATTAGCTCACCTGGACCCAGGGATCAAAGCGAAATGATGAAGAGGCACAGTGAAGTAACAAATCTTAAATTATGCATGAATATATTTTTAGTTCCAGAAATGTTGTTTTCATTAGCAGCGACAGTAACACATTTCTTAAGTCTGTCGTAAAGAACTGTGCCCACCCACAGCGGTAAGGGGGCGGTCGGGTAGCCTAGTGGTTAAAGTGTTCCCTCGTCACGCCGAAGACCCGGGTTCGATTCCCGACATGGGTACAATGTGTGAAGCCCATTTCTGGTGTCCCCCGCCGTGATATTGCTGGAATATTGCTATAAGCGGCGTACAACCATAGTCACTCACTCACTCACTCACCACAGCGGTAAGCCGCTTGTTTTAGTAAGTGAGTGAGTATTGTTTTACGCCGCTTTTAGCATTATTCCGTCAATATCGCGGCCCGCTTGTTTAAGATCATCTTCCCTAGGCAAGAGAGTTAACTGACTTTAAAAGTCCAGTTTCCACCCTTGCCGAACTAGGCTGGTATTATGGAGTTACATTTTGGCTGGACTAACGAGTCTATGCATAGTCCAATCAAAATCGCGCACTGAAATCGACATCCGGTTCGTAAAGTGTCATGCAGATTTCGTCATATAGCTGGAATTTTGCTGAGTGCGGCGTGAAACAACAAACCAACCAACCAATCAACCTGACTGTATGTCATCATGCCCTAATGGCATTGAGTGCTCATGCTGTCAACCACTAGTTTGTCGGAGACTGTATCGTATACAGGTTGACGTCATGTAGCTGGAATATATTCCTACTGTGGCATAAAGCAACATAAACTTACTCAAGCACTGACATAAAACTACTAGTCCAATTGAAATTTGACTTGTATTCGACCAGTGGGCAAGCGTATTTGTTCACCTGAAGCACTGTTACGAGCCAGGTGGTGCCACTGTTATTGCTGAGAAGGTGGTGCAATTAAGGTAATCATTGTTCTCCTCAGGGATTGTGTTAGCATGATGGAAGAAAATTGCCTGATTGCAATCCATTATTAATACAATCCCCGCCGTTGGGCAAGAACATTTGTCTCTGGAGAGATTATACACTTGCTGTGTTGGCTTGTGATTCAATCAATTCAGGCAGTTTACTGGCGGAATAACGTGATTGCTTTGTTTGAAGAACTCTGTTGCACCTTGTTTGAAGGCTGGATGGTATACATAGATATGGTAGTTACAAAGTGCTTATGTCTTTTTTAAAAAGAGAAATGACGTATTGTTTACATTATATTTTCCAAATCTATGATATCAATTTATTTAGTATTATTATTGTAATTATAATTGTAAAATTGTGTAAGTTGTTGAATTTAAGTCATGTTATAGAATATACCCTTCCAGAATTCTTAAAAAAATAATGAAAAATTAAGATTGGATGGATTGTATTTTCAAAGACATGTTATCATTAATCAATTCCGAACACAGATAATTCAGCCAATCAACAGAGACAAGCTGTGTTCTGAATTAATGCCTTTTTTAAATTGATTAAACGGGATGTCTTTTTGTGGAATCCCACGATTTTATTTTCTGATATTGTCTAGTTGTTTGCATGTTTAGTTTCAGCTGCCGTTAATCTTTCATCCCCAACCTAGCTCACATTGCATGCCGGTGGCATGAGCAGCTAGACTCCCAGACCGTCTAGAGGAGGTGCAGTGCTTGCTGGTGCTTGAGATCACACACAACCAGGGATAATGTCACAAGTCATTACGGAGGTGAGTTTACCATGATATTATATAGGATGTAGTCATTCAGTGATGGATAAAAAACATTACAGCTGATTCAACACGGAATCATGAATTGATTCATGTCTTAATTCATGTATTGATTCATGTATTGATTCATGTCTTAATTCATGTATTGATTCATGTCTTAATTCGTGTCTTAATTCATGCATTGATTCATGTCTTAATTCATGTCTTAATTCATGTATTGATTCATGTCTTAATCATGTCTTAATTCATGTCTTAATTCATGTCTTAATTCTGTTCCAGTTTTCGTAAGTAATATTCTTGAGAATCCCGGTTCGCCCCGATTATGTTTCTAGATTTGTCAGCACCATACCCGTGCTTGTGGGTTTCACCGAAGTGGTAAACGTCCAAGACCTGCATCACTTCGGGCTTTCCTCCCACATTAAGCTGACACGCCGTGATATAACTGGAATACTGTTAAAAGCGGCGTTAAACCCAACTAACTCACTCACTAATATTCTTGAAGGTTTGCAATAACCCGGACTGATATTGCAATGGCTGTCGTGACCCAAAAGATGACGAGGAAACAAGATGCTGAATCTGATTGCCTGATATTATTTAAGTGAGCCGAAATCAAAGTCGATGCGAGTAAAACAGATTTACTGATAGCAACAACCTTTTGTTAGCCAGTTCACATTGAACATGGAAAAGTTCATGCTCAAATTGCGCACATTATGTATCACAAGGTGTATCATAATGTGTTTCCTAGTATAGCGATGTATGTATCAAAACACGAAGGTGGCATACAGTAAACTACGGTTATAACGAACTCAAAGGGACTTCTAATTTTAGTTCGTTATAACCGTAGTTCGTTATAAGTACATATACAGCATGACTACAGCAAGTAGTCGGAACCAAAAAGTGAGTTCGTTATATCCGTCAGTTCATTATAAGCGTGTTCGTTATAACCGTAGTTTACTGTATTGTGATACCCTGGTTAATTATGTCTGTCACAACAGTGTATGAATGTAGATCCTGAGTCACAAATCATGAGTGAGTGAGTATGGTTTTACGCCGCATCTAGCAATAGTCCAGCAATGTCACTGCGGGGAACACCAGAAATGGGCTTCACACATTGTACCCGTGTGGGGAATCGAACCGAGGTCTCCGGCGTGACGAACGAACACCTAGGCTATCCCGCCGCCCCCACATATCATGAACCTTCAAGAAAATGAGATAAGCCAAGCTTTTGGTGATTGGATTTACTGAATATTTATTCAACCATTAAGCACCTGATGTGTCATGTTATCTGTCCATTAAAAGTTAAGTTTTCCATTACCAACAGTTCCTCTGAAACTGTAAGGCCAATGGTATCAAATATTCAAGTGATGGCTTCTTTAATTGCTCACAGAATGCCAATAGACATGGCCACATGAATACAAAAACTCCAATTTTGAACAAAATAATATTTCTCCCCACAATTATGATGACAAGGGCATTAAGTTTGGCATCCCCGATAAATCCCTCATCACTGCTAGAGTTTTAGAGATTGTTGTCTGGTTGTCTCCCCTTAGTGTCAGAACAAGATGACCCCTATGCTGTAGAGTTATCTGGATGTCTGTAGTCACGTTTACAAATAAACATTTGACGCCTTTCTGCATATTCTGTGTGATCTGATGACTTCACCTGGTTATATTATTATTGATTTATGTTTCTTCATGTCGAAGTGTGTGCGTGTGTTGAAATGATTAAAGCACAATTTAATTTCATATTTTCATTTCATTTATATTAGTTGTGACGTAAGTTTTTGTCAGGAAACACACCTAAGCGTCAGGACAAGATAAAACGCATTGTGTAGAGTTGTCTGGTTGTCTCCCCTTTGCATCAGGACAAGATGAACCGCATTGCGTAGAGTTGTCTGGTTGTCTCCCATTAGCAACAGGACAAGATGAACCACATTGTGTAGAGTTGTCTGGTTGTCTCCTCTTTTAGTGTCAGGACAAGATTAACCGCATTGTGTAGAGTTGACTGGTTGTCTCCATTAGCGTCAAGACAAGATTAACCGCATTGTGATGAGTTGTCTGGTTGTCTCCCCTTAGCGTCAGGACAAGATCAACCGCATTGTGTAGAGTTGTCTGGTTGTCTCCCCTTAGCGTTAGGAACAGATGAACCACATTGTGTAGAATTGTCTGGTTGTCTCCCCTTAGTGTCAGGACAATATGAACCGCATTGTGTAGAGCTGTCTGGCTGTCTCCCCTTAGTGTCAGGACAAGATCAACCGCATTGTGTAGAGTTGTCTCCCTTTATCGTCAGGACAACATGTACCTCATTGTGATGTGTTGTTTGGTTGTCTCCCCTTAGCGTCAGGACAACATGAACCGCATTGTGTAGAGCTGTCTGGTTGTCTCCCCTTAGTGTCAGGACAAGATTAAACGCATTGTGTAGAATTGACTTGTTGTCTCCCCTTATCCCCTTAATGTCAGGACCAGATGAACCACATTGTGTAGAGTTGTCTGGTTGTCTACCCTTAGCATCACGGGGTGGAATAGGTCTTCAGCAACCCATGCTTGCCGTATAAGGCGACTAACGGGATCGGGTGGTCAGGCTCGCTGACTTGGTTGATGCATGTCATCGATCCCAATTGCGTGGATCGATGCTCATGATCTCAATCTCTGGATTTTCTGGTCCAGACTCGATTATTTACAGACCGCCGTCATATAGCTGGAATATTGCAGAGTGCCTTAGCGTCAGGACAAGATGAACCGCATTGTGTAGAGTTGTCTGGTTGTCTCCCCTTAGCATCAGGACAAGATGTACTGCATTGTGTAGAGTTGTCTGGTTGTCTCCCCTTAGCGTCAGGACAAGATAAACTGCATTGTGTAGAGTTGCCTGGTTGTCTCCCCTTAGCGTCAGGACAAAATGAACCGCATTGTGTAGAGTTGTCTGGTTGTCTCCCCTTAGCGTCAGGACAAAATGAACCGCATTGTGTAGAGTTTTCTGGTTGTCTCCCCTTAGCGTCAGGACAAGATCAACCGCATTGTGTAGAGATGTCTGGTTGTCTCCCCTTAGCGTCAGGACAAGATCAACCGCATTGTGTAGAGTTGTCTGGTTGTCTCCCCTTAGCGTCAGGACAAGATCAACCGCATTGTGTAGAGTTGTCTCCCTTTATCGTCAGGACAAAATGAACCGCATTGTGTAGAGTTGTCTGGTTGTCTCCCCTTAGCGTCAGGACAAAATGAACCGCATTGTGTAGAGTTTTCTGGTTGTCTCCCCTTAGCGTCAGGACAAGATCAACCGCATTGTGTAGAGATGTCTGGTTGTCTCCCCTTAGCGTCAGGACAAGATCAACCGCATTGTGTAGAGATGTCTGGTTGTCTCCCCTTAGCGTCAGGACAAGATCAACCGCATTGTGTAGAGCTGTCTGGTTGTCTCCCCTTAGTGCCAGGACAAGATTAAACGCATTGTGTAGAATTGTCTTGTTGTCTCCCCTTAATGTCAGGACCAGATGAACCACATTGTGTAGAGTTGTCTGGTTGTCTACCCTTAGCATCACGGGGTAGAATAGGTCTTCAGCAACCCATGCTTGCCGTAAAAGGCGACTAACGGGATCGGGTGGTCAGGCTCGCTGACTTGGTTGATGCATGTCATCGATCCCATTTGCGTGGATCGATGCTCATGATCTCAATCTCTGGATTTTCTGGTCCAGACTCGATTATTTACAGACCGCCGTCATATAGCTTAAATATTGCAGAGTGCCTTAGCATCAGGACAAGATGAACCGCATTGTGTAGAGTTGTCTGGTTGTCTCCCCTTAGCATCAGGACAAGATGTACTGCATTGTGTAGAGTTGTCTGGTTGTTCCCCTTAGCATCAGGACAAGATGAACCGCATTGTGTAGAGTTGTCTGGTTGTCTCCCCTTAGCATCAGGACAAGATGAACCGCATTGTGTAGAGTTGTCTGGTTGTCTCCCCTTAGCGTCAGGACAAGATAAACTGCATTGTGTAGAGTTTCCTGGTTGTCTCCCCTTAGCGTCAGGACAAAATGAACCGCATTGTGTAGAGTTTTCTGGTTGTCTCCCCTTAGCGTCAGGACAAGATAAACCGTTTGGTGTTCAGCAGCAACAACCTGGAGGAGGTTCGCGGCGCCATCAACAGCGTGCTGGACATCTTCGTCAAGATCCTGAATCAGCCCTTCCAACATGGCGACTACTTCGGCTACAAGGAGGTCCTGGACAAGATGGTTAAAGTGGTCAGTACAGCCAACACTGGTAGGATAGATGATAGGATAATTGATGGCATAGACTTTAATCATGACTATTTGGACAGTACTAGTGTTACCAATAGAAATTGATTGGAACTATTGTATTATGGTAATACAAGGTTGGAAATATATATGTATATCGCCCAGGACATGTTATGTGTTGGGAAGTTTAACCCAAGACAGGCTAAATATTGTATTGTTTACGCCAGGACAAGGTAAATGCTGGTTGTTTACCTTCAGGACAAGATACACACTATTTATGTTTCTCCCAGGAGAAGGTAAATACTGTTTGTTTACCTCCAGGACAGGTAAATAATATATATGCTTACCCCAAGGACAAGGTAAGTACTGTATTTGTTCACCCCAAGACAAGATTGAAACTATTTATGTTTACCCAACGACAAGGTAAATACTGAATATTTTCCTTGAGGGCAAGTGAATAATGTATATTTTTACCCCAGGACAAGTAAATAATGTACATGTTTGTCCCAGGACATGGTAAATACTGTATATTTTCCTCAAGGACAGGAAAATCATGTTTATGTTTATCCCACAACAAGGTAAATACTATATACAATGTATATTTCCCTCGAGGAAAATGAATAATGTATATGTTTACCCCAGGACAAGATTAACCCTTATTGTTTTACCCCAGGACAAGGTAAATACTATATATGTTTTCCTTGAGGAAAGTGAATAATGTATATGCTTACCCCAGGACAAGTTAACATTTATTTTTCTACCCCAGGACAAGGCAAATACTAAATATTTTCCTTGAGGAAAGTGAATAATGTATATGTTTACCCTAGGACAAGGTTAACACTTACTGTTTTCCCCCAGGACAAGGTTAACACTTATTGTTTTCTCCCAGGACAAGGTTAACACTTATTGTTTTCTCCCAGGACAAGGTTAACACTTACTGTTTTCTCCCAGGACAAGGTTAACTGTTACTGTTTTCCCCCAGGACAAGGTTAACACTTATTGTTTTCCCCAAGGACAAGGTTAACACTTACTGTTTTCTCCCAGGACAAGGTTAACACTTATTGTTTTCTCCCAGGACAAGGTTAACACTTACTGTTTTCTCCAAGGACAAGGTTAACCTTTACTGTTTTCCCCCAGGACAAGGTTAACACTTATTGTTTTCCCCCAGGACATGGTTAACACTTACTGTTTTCTCCCAGGACAAGGTTAACACTTATTGTTTTCTCCCAGGACAAGGTTAACACTTATTGTTTTCCCCCAGGACAAGGTTAACACTTACAGTTTTCTCCCAGGACATGGTTAACGCTTACTGTTTTCCCCTAGGACAAGGTTAACACTTACTGTTTTTCCCCAGGACAAGGTTAACACTTACTGTTTCCCCCCAGGACAAGGTTAACTTTTACTGTTTTCCCCCAGGACAAGGTAAACACTTACTGTTTTCCCCAGGACAAGGTTAACACTTACTGTTTCCCCCCAGGACAAGGTTAACACTTACTGTTTTCCCCCAGGACATGGTTAACGCTTACTATTTTCCCCCAGGACAAGGTTAACTTTTACTGGTTTCCCCCAGGACAAGGTTAACACTGACTGTTTTCCCACAGGACAAGGTTAACACTTACTGTTTTCCCACAGGACAAGGTTAACACTCACTGTTTTCCCCAAAGGGCAAGGGTAACACTCACTGTTTTCCCCCAGGACAAGGTTAACACTTATTGTTTCCCCCCAGGACAAGGTTAACACTTATTGTTTTCCCCAGGACAAGGTTAACACTTACTGTTTCCCCCAGGACAAGGTTAACACTTACTGTTTCCCCCCAGGACAAGGTTAACACTGACTGTTTTCTCCCAGGACAAGGTTAACACTTACTGTTTTCCCCCAGGACAAGGTTAACACTGACTGTTTTCCCCCAGGACAAGGTTAACACTGACCGTTTTCCCCCAGGACAAGGTTAACTTTTACTGTTTTCCCCAGGACAAGGTTAACACTTACTGTTTTCCCCAGGACAAGGTTAACATTCACTGTTTTCCCCCAGGACAAGGTTAACCCTGACTGTTTTCCACCAGGACAAGGTTAACACTTACTGTTTTCCCCAGGACAAGGTTAACGCTTACTGTTTTCCCCCAGGACAAGGTTAACTTTTACTGTTTTCCCCAGGACAAGGTTAACTTTTACTGTTTTCCCCCAGGACATGGTTAACTTTTACTGTTTTCCCCAGGACAAGGTTAACTTTTACTGTTTTCCCCCAGGACAAGGTTAACTTTTACTGTTTTCCCCCAGGACAAGGTTAACTTTTACTGTTTTCCCCCAGGACAAGGTTAACACTTACTGTTTTCCCCCAGGACAAGGTTAACACTTATTGTTTTCCCCCAGGACAAGGTTAACTTTTACTGTTTTCCCCCAGGACAAGGTTAACACTTATTGTTTTCCCCCAGGACAAGGTTAACACTTACTGTTTTCCCCCAGGACAAGGTTAACACTTATTGTTTTCCCCCAGGACAAGGGTGTGTGGCGGGACATCAGGGCCAAGTACCTGTATGATCAGTGCCATGACTACTGTGGTGGGGAGTTCACTGCGTCTGAGAACACTGACCCGGCTAAGCTTCTCCTTGACCTGCTCAGCATGCTGTCCGGGGCCGAGCAATCCATCTACACCAAGTTACAGGTGCACTTCAGGCTCATCAATCTTATCACAATCACATCTTGTACTCACATACAATTACTCTCATTAAAGATCTGACAAATCACATCAGGTAAGCCCAGAGTGAACTTTGACCACCCAAGTGTCAGCTTTCTAAACCAATCAACTTCACTGTATTCTAAATAATGATAATGATAACAACAACAACAACAACAACAACAACAACAACAACAACAGTATTGGGGAGTCTTCACATTCTCCGAAAAGTTCTGGGTGGGTTCGAGTGATTTCTCTCCTGGGAGAAGTCCCATTCGCTGTCTGGGCTGCGTGTAGAGGGGGCAAGGGCCCTGAGCTGATGATGAGCCAAACCAGCCTGACTGTGCTAGGATCACCCAAACCCTCTTTGCTGCATCTTGTATTTTCATCTGTACATAATAAAGCGACTTTCCTTTCCTTGTCCAATGGGAATATCTGTATAAAGCAGAGTCGATTGTACGATTCCGACTATATAAAGTCATCTTTTGTCAATCCTAGTTAAAAAAAATCGAAACACAAAACACAAATATTCCCGTGAAAGTGCACTTTATTGGGAAATAGATATAATTTCGCTCAGGAAATGACAGACAGGGTGAAATATGTTTTATAATATTAATGTACAGATGTGCTGTCCGGCGTGTCAGCTTAATGTTGGAGGAAAGCCCGAAGTGATGCAGGTCTCAGACGTTTACCACTTTGGTGAAACCCACGAGCACGGGTATGTTGCTGACAAACCTAGAAACATAATCGGGGCGAACCGGGATTCGAACCAACAATCATAGGTTTCTGGCGTGCCAAGGGACGCAACTCTGCACAGCGATTTGCGGCGCCTTAGACGACTGGGCCACCTGTGTCCCCCCATCATATCAGAATGAGTATGGTTTGATTGCAGGACAAAACACGGAAATTTTACACACAAGTGAGAATTGACTTATAGGTTACGGCGTGCATACTTAGGAACATCCACACAGCACTCTGATTTTCACGTTTAGAACTCCATAAACAACAAAATCATATTGAAGCCAATTCTTATGAATAAATGTGTCAACAATAATAACTTCACAGCTTTTAGTATTCATTTAACACACAAAAAACAATACGAACAACACAGGCCCTTTCCGTTCTGTAATGTGGTTATCAGGAAACAGTTGTCCATTGGTCGGCGTGGCGCAAATTGTTATCAATTTTTTAAAAATATAAACGCAAAAAGTATGCTTGGTTAACCAATCAAATGCCAATCAATTTTTTGAATTTGATATATTTCAGGATTATGAAGACACGTTCAGGAAAATGAAGGATGAGAAACGCTCCCTAGAAAGTGAGTCTTTTAATAGTTCATTAGTTGTTAAGCTGCACTCAGCAATATCCCAGCTGTATGAAATCAACTTGTAAGTAATTGAGTCTAGACCAGATAAACCAGTGATTGATAACATCCTACAGGTGTACAGCGCCAAGTCACCAAGTCTGACCATCTGATGAATATTGTCGCCTCATATGACAATCATGGGTTGCTGGGATCTGTGCTAATCTGGAATCCTTGTGGTTAGGCTTGTCACTTGTGCTTGCTACGGTGTGTGTTGTATGGTCACAATGCCGCAATCCTTACGGTCGTGGTTAGGCTTGTCACTAGTGCTTGCTACGGTGTGTATTGTATGGTCACAATGTCGCAATCCTTACGGTTGTGGTTAGGTTTGTCAGTAGTCCATTCTTGGTGTTTTGCATAGTGAGCGATATTGCTTGAATATTGTTAACATTTCTTTAAGTCATATTCACAATAGTAATTAATTATGACTGATGCAGTTCAACTGTCTGTGTCGGAGGGGAAGTACCTGGATGAGGTGCAGAGTCACAGCATCGAGCACGTTGAACTGAAGACCTCCCTCGGCAAGCTGGCGTACATGGAGAACCTCATCGCAGAGAAGAATGACAAGATATCAGAGTATGGGAAACTGAACAAACTCATTTTCTGTTCCAGGATTTTTGTTATGGCTAGCTTTCCGCTCACATTTTTTAAAAGACATCTTTTCACAACACAGTTTGTTACAGGACAAACCAGTGAAGATCCGGGGTAGAATAGGTCTTCAGCAACCCATGCTTGCCGTAAAAGGCGACTATGCTTCTCGTAAGAGGCTACTAACGGGATCGGGTGGTCAGGCTCGCTGACTTGGTTGATGCATGTCATCGTATCCCAAATTGCGTGGATCGATGCTCATGATGTCAATCACTGGATTATCTGGCCCAGATTTGATTATTTGCTGACCACCACTAGCTGGAATACTGCTGAGTGCGTCGTAAAACAACAAACATACAAAACAAATGTTACAGGACATTCAACATGTCTAGCAGACAATTTGCCTTTGTAGATTAGATGTTCTACTGTTAAAGACTGGATGTTCACCTGTTTAGATTGGATGATGTTAATCTGTGAAGTTTGGATGTTCTACCATTCCAATTAATTATTTACCTGTTCAGATTAGATGTTTACTTGTTCTGATTGAATATTTACCTGTTCAGATTAGATGTCACTGTTTACCTGTTCAGATTGGATGTTTACGTTTCAGGTTTCATTGTTCACCTGTTCAGATTGTATGTACACCTGATCAGATTTATTATATACCTGTTCAAATTGGATGTTAACCTGGTCAAATTGGATGTTTACCTGTTCAGACCGAAATTTTACCTATTCAGTTTGAATGTTTGTCTGTGAAGATTAAGTGTTCATCTGTTCAGATTGGATTTTCACCTGATTAGATTGGATGTGCATCTGTTCAGATTGGATGTTCACCTGATTAGATTGGATGTTCATCTGTTCAGATTGGATTTTCACCTGATTAGAGTGGATGTTCATCTGTTCAGATTGAATTTCCCCTGATTAGATTGGATGTGCATCTGTTCAGACTGGATTTTCACCTGATTAGATTGGATGTTCATCTGTTCAGATCGGATTTTCACCTGATTAGATTGGATGTGCATCTGTTCAGATTGGATTTTCACCTGATTAGATTGGATGTGCACCTGTTCAGATTGGATGTTTCAGGTTGCAGCGATACAACACTGTGGAGCTGTGGGAGAGAGAGAAGAAGAAAGTTCTTCAAGAGAGCAATGCCAAGTGAGTGACAGAAGAATGAAGGCAAAGATATCTCATATAAGATAACCCTTCAATGTCAAGACACCTGTGACATGTAAAAATTCAAGACAATTTGGAACTTAAACATCACTAGACATGATGATTTGCCATTTCGATTGCATTTCTTGTTGTGCATTGTTCTATATTCAGGGATTAGTGAGTGAGTGAGTGAGTATGATACTACCCCGCTTTTAGAAATATTCCAGCAATATCAAGGCGGGTGGGCAACAAGAACAGATCTACTGGTGATTAATTTAAATAATATAACGGAAAAGAATGTTGATGCAACGACTGGAAATACTAGCATCTGAAACATATATTGTCAACATACATTAGTGAGTGAGTGAGTGATGTTTTTCGCCGCTTTTAGCAATATTCCAGCAATATCACACTATTATTACACTTATATAGAGCCGTGGATGCATGTGTGTGTGTGTGTGGCTGCTTGTACTAGTCCGGACTGAAACCGATTTATAGTGTTAACCCACTGAGATACCATACCGCAGTTTAACATGAATACCCCACTCAGACACAGTATACTGACTCTGAGCAAACCAGTCCCCTTAATACCAAGCGCCAGACAGGGTAACAACAAGTACCATCTGTAAACGTATGACGCGGCCGGGGATCGAACCACGGACCCTCCGCTCTCTGGGCGGACGCTCAACCACTAGACCACGGAGGCGGCCCAGTAAGGAAAGATGGGAACAGAGAAACTGATGTTCGCTGTCTGAACTGATGTGTGAGATGGGGTGATATAGTGAGGGTGGGTGTGTTTGAACCTTTGCTTATAATAGTGAGTGAGTGAGTAAGGTTTTACGCCGCTTTTAGCAATATTCCAGCAATATTACGGCGGGGAACACCAGAAATTGGCTTCACACATTGTACCCATGTCGGGAATCGAACCCAGGTCTTCGGCGTGACGAGCAAACGCTTTAACCACTAGGCTACACGACCGCCCCTTGATAATAATAGACAAATACATATTTGTGACTTGGAAGTATTTCAAACGGGAATATTTAGATTCCGATGAAGCAAACCTCCCCTTTGTATACACGAGTATGAGACATTGTTATAGCAGGTCAACTGTCTTCCCTTTCAGACTTCTAGAAGCATATGAAGAGTTAGAGGAACTGAAGAGAGTGAGCGCATCACAGAGCAAGAAGCTACAGGTGATGACTCAGCAGAAAACTAAGCACTTCATTTTTATGACATTGGTTTTGTTCATTACCTCACCTGGGTACAAGTAACCCAGGCGTCTGAGGTGCCGCACAGTCTCTTGGGCAGCTAGAAATCTATGATCGTGGGTTCGAATCCCGGTTTGCGACAGTTATGTTTCCTGGTTTGTCGGCACCATACCCATGCTCGCGAGGTTCACCAAGAGGTAAACGTCTGAGACCTGCATCACTTCAAACTGGAATTCAGGCAAACTAAGGTCCAAAAACACTGCAAACTTAGGTCTAAAACACTGCAAACTAAGGTCCAAAACACTGCAAACTTAGGTCTAAAACACTGCAAACTTAGGTCCAAAACACTGCAAACTTAGGTCTAAAACACTGCAAACTTAGGTCCAAAACACTGCAAACTAAGGTCCAAAACACTGCAAACTTAAGTCCAAAACACTGCAAACTAAGGACCAAAACACTGCAAACTAAGGTCCAAAACACTGCAAACTAAGGTCCAAAACACTGCAAACTTAGGTCTAAAACACTACAAACTAAGGTTCAAAACACTGCAAACTAAGGTTCAACACACTGCAAACTAAGGTCCAAAACACTGCAAACTTAGGTCTAAAACACTGCAAACTTAGGTCTAAAACACTGCAAACTTAGGTCTAAAACACTGCAAACTAAGGTTCAACACACTGCAAACTAAGGTCCAAAACACTGCAAACTAAGGTCCAAAACACTGCAAACTTAGGTCTAAAACACTGCAAACTTAGGTCTAAAACACTGCAAACTTAGGTCTAAAACACTACAAACTAAGGTTCAAAACACTACAAACTAAGGTTCAACACACTGCAAACTAAGGTCCAAAACACTGCAAACTTAGGTCCAAAACACTGCAAACTAAGGTTCAAAACACTGCAAACTAAGGTTCAACACACTGCAAACTAAGGTCCAAAACACTGCAAACTTAGGTCTAAAACACTGCAAACTTAGGTCCAAAACACTGCAAACTTAGGTCTAAAACACTGCAAACTTAGGTCCAAAACACTGCAAACTAAGGTCCAAAACACTGCAAACTTAAGTCCAAAACACTGCAAACTTAGGTCTAAAACACTGCAAACTTAGGTCTAAAACACTGCAAACTAAGGTTCAAAACACTACAAACTAAGGTCCAAAACACTGCAAACTAAGGTTCAACACACTGCAAACTAAGGTCCAAAACACTGCAAACTTAGGTCTAAAACACTGCAAACTTAGGTCTAAAACACTGCAAACTAAGGTTCAACACACTGCAAACTAAGGTCCAAAACACTGCAAACTTAGGTCTAAAACACTGCAAACTTAGGTCTAAAACACTGCAAACTAAGGTTCAAAACACTACAAACTAAGGTTCAAAACACTGCAAACTTAGGTCTAAAACACTGCAAACTAAGGACCAAAACACTGCAAACTAAGGTCCAAAACACTGCAAACTTAGGTCCAAAACACTGCAAACTTAGGTCCAAAACACTGCAAACTTAGGTCCAAAACACTGCAAACTTAGGTCCAAAACACTGCAAACTTAGGTCTAAAACACTGCAAACTTAGGTCCAAAACACTGCAAACTAAGGACCAAAACACTGCAAACTAAGGTCCAAAACACTGCAAACTTAGGTCTAAAACACTGCAAACTAAGGTTCAAAACACTGCAAACTAAGGTTCAACACACTGCAAACTAAGGTCCAAAACACTGCAAACTTAGGTCTAAAACACTGCAAACTTAGGTCCAAAACACTGCAAACTTAGGTCTAAAACACTGCAAACTTAGGTCCAAAACACTGCAAACTTAGGTCCAAAACACTGCAAACTTAGGTCTAAAACACTGCAAACGTAAGGTCCAAAACACTGCAAACTAAGGACCAAAACACTGCAAACTAAGGTCCAAAACACTGCAAACTTAGGTCTAAAACACTGCAAACTTAGGTCTAAAACACTGCAAACTTAGGTCTAAAACACTGCAAACTTAGGTCTAAAACACTGCAAACTTAGGTCTAAAACACTGCAAACTAAGGTCCAAAACTCAACTAAGGTACCCATATCAAATACATCACCATTGAATAACAATTAGTTGTTTGGTTCCATCTCCTGACATCGAACATACGTGTATACTTTCTTTTGCCCCGCAGTATAGTTCTAGAATTGTCATTTGATGCTACACTGAAATTCTTACTTTCAGACACTTGAAGAACAAAATCGTATGCTGAAGTTGAAAGAGGAAATGAAAACACCATCAGGTGTCGCTGCAAGTAGGTTTTTGTCATAAACTACTTTTTCAATTGTCAGGATAGTTTTCTTGTTAAACTTTATCCTTACCAGTTTAATTTGTCGACATATTAATAAAGTAGACGTAATTTATCGATGACAACTTCTTTAATATTATTTAATTATATCGTACTATTATTGCAACATGTCCGTATAAATCCTTAAGAGTCAAGAAGAACTGAATAGCGCGAGCGTGGTCCAGAGTTATATATGGTAGGTGAAGGATTAACGGTAACAACATTTTACCTACAGACAGGATATTTTATTTGATTCTCACCTCATAACATTACATAGAAATACACAAATATTTGATACCATAAAAGTATATATAAACATATATATGTTCCACTCAACGTCTATAATCCGGCAATATGTACATTGAGCTGATGTTTCAGGCCACTGCTACTTTTAGTAATGCTGACCAAACAAAACATTTTGATAGTTTTTAGGGATATATTGGGCCTATTGACCATAATAAACCTGGAATAACACATAAAAATACCTTTTTTTTTGTTAAATGTTTCAAGATCACAAACGAGAAAAAACAAATCCTACACAAAATTGCCCAATGGTAGAAAAACACAGAATCTATGGGGAGACCACTCTATTTCCAGATATTTTTGGCAAGGACACAACAGGGCATCTATTTATTACTACGACTCTCTGTGGGAATGATACAACCACTGCCTTTAGATCTGTGCTGATTGTTAGTCAACATCGATGACAGCAGTATAAATAAAAATAATTTTTTGAGCATATGTGTTATACTGATTTTACGAAGCGAGTCTCAAAATTCTTTAAGGTCCGGGGAGGAATAGGTCTTCAGCAACCCATGCTTGTCGTAAGAGGCGACTTACGGGATCGGGTGGTCAGGCTTGCTGTCTTGGTTGATGCATGTCGTCATATCCCAATTGCGTGGATCGATGCGCATGATGTCAATTACTGGATTGTCTGGTCCAGTCTCACTTATTTACAGACCGCCGTCATATAACGGGAATATTACTGAGGGCGGCGTTAAACAAACAAACAAACAAACAAACAAACAAACAAACAAACAAATTTCCGGAGCGAGATAGGGCACACATGATATTTATGAACTCTGTTATTTTTCACCCTGTAGGAAATAACTCCGTATGTGCTAAACAAGTCTGGATGTTATCATGATCTTTCACAGGTCATGCTCTGGAGGACGTCAAGAGGAAGAACTTCCTGCTGGAGAAAGTAAGTATTTCTGTCATTATCAACACAGCATACACGCACACGTCACAGTTTGGGACAGTAGACTTTCTACATGCAACGGAATAATCCATTTCCTTTGAACAGGGGACTAGGGTGGAATGTGACATGCTGCACATGGATCTCATGCTGAATTTGTCAGTGTGGCCTGTGTCTGTGCCTGTGTTTCTGTTGAGATATCTGTTAAGAATTTGTTTACTATATAATTGAGTGAGTGAGTGAGTTGGGTTTAACGCCACTTTTAACAGTATTCCAATTATATCACGGCGTGTCAGCTTAATGTGGGAGGAAAGCCCGAAGTGATGAAGGTCTAAGAAGTTTACCCACGAAGACGGGTATGGTGCTGACAAACCTAGAAACATAATCGGGGCGAACCGGGATTCGAACCCACAATCATAGGTTTCTGGCGTGCCCAAGGGACGCAACTCTGCACAGCGAATCGCGGCGCCTTAGACGAGTGGGCCACCCGTGCCCCCTGCTATATAATTGATGGTGTTATCGAATATGATAAATCTGGCATCCTTATCCAATACATATGCTCAATGGACTGTTGCCTGACTCCACCAGTCAGTTTAGATATGTTATTTTATGTGGGGATGTTTCTGTACACAAACATGGCACTTATGGTGTTAGGTATGGTGTTATATCTACATGGTGAGATGTTAAGTATAGTGTTATGCCTACAGTATGTGATGTTAAGTATGACGTTCTGCCTTTAGAGTGTGATGTTAAACATGGTGTTATGTGTGCAGGATGTGGTGTTAATTATGATGATCTGCCTACAGGATGTGATGTTAAGTATGGTGTTATGTCTACAGGATGCGATGTTTAGTATGGTGTTATGTCTACAGGATGTGATGTTAAGTATGGTGTTATGTCTACAGGATGTGATGTTCCTGGAGGAGGCGCTGAACAACCTACAGAAGACTTACTTTGGGGTGCTTGGAGGAATCAGAACAGACCTTCAGTAGGTTGCGAGTCCAACCCACCCTCAAGCTTGTTTGTTGTTTAACGCCACACTCAGCAATATTGTAGCTATGTGACGGCGGACTGTAAATAATTGAGTCTGGACCAGACAATCCAGTGATTGATATCATGAACATCGATCTTGCGATATGGCTGACATACATCAACCAAGTCAGGAAGCCTGACCACCCGATCCCGTTAGTCGCCTCTTACGACAAGCATGGATTGCCGAAGACCAATTCTAACCGGGATCTTCACAGGTCAACCTTCAGGTTGAAAAGAACAGTTTATTGTGAAAACAACTAGAAACAAATTTCAACACAAATTTCAGACCAGATTTGTAAGTTATTGAAAACAGCTTGTGTCCGCCTGAAAGTCCTTTTGATGTTTCAGCATAGTTGGAGAGAAGTATCGAGACCCTGAGACTAACGAGCAGGCTGATGAGGACATTGACAGAATGGATTCCAGGGTCACATTTATATATAACAAGGTCAAGAACGCTGAGCTGGAGAAGTGTAAAGCCGAACTACTGCCTCACTATCTCTATATACCTCAGGTAGGAACTCCTAGGGATTAAATTCTAAAGTATTGCTTCAATATCTATATACCTCTAAAGGGATACACTTCCATTTTTTCAAATAAAAAAATTATGGTCATTCATTATAGTCATCATAATGGTGGTGGTGGTTGTTGTGGTGTGTGTGTGTGTGTGTGTGTGTGTGTGTGTGTGTGTGTGTGTGTGTGTGTGGGGGGGGTTTGGGGTGGTGTGGTGGGATGGTGTTGGGGTGGGGTGGTGGTGGTGGTGGTGTGTGTGTGGGGGGGGTGGGGGTGTGTGTGTGTGGGTGGTGGTGTGTGTGTGTGTGGGGGGGGTGGGGTGGTGGTGGGGGGGGGGGTGGTGGCGGTGGTGTGTGTGTGTGTGTGTGTGTGTGTGTGGGGGGGGGGGGGGGGGGGGTTGTTAGGTCCTAAGACTGTGCCAAGTCAGCTAGTCTGAGCTGCTGCCTCACTATATATAGAATACGTCTGGCAGGAACGCCAATTTAGGATAGGACTCTTATTCTTTTACTATTATCTAAATAAAAATTTTAACTATCACGCAAAGTATTCCCGTTTAACAGAATTTAAGATCATTTTATCATACTGACGCAGCCTTGGTAATGTATCTCGTGCTCACGTATCTGTTGGCACGAATCGGCCAAGGGTATATCTTATCCATATCAATGTTAATAATAATAAAAGGCTATTTATATTGCGCATATTTCCACACCACTCAGGGCATGCTCAAGGCGCTATTATTACCCCGGTCACTGGATCAATGTACACTCAAGACTCGTTCTCAGCTCCCCGGGGAGTATACAACCCAAGCTGCCTGTTAGGCGCTGGAAGATTAAGAACCACATTGCCGTCTCATCCTACCGGGTACCCATTCTCTGCGAGGTGAACAGAGGCACATTTTGAACAGTCACTTGCCCAAGGAGACGCCACATGTGTCACATGTGCTCAAGTGTTACAAGTCGTGTCTGCTTTAGATATTTAAGCACTGTGAAGAAGCAGGTGAACCCGGAGTGAACTTTAAGTGCCCAATCTGAATGAAGGATGAGAGTGTCTTGAGCCAATCAGATGTCAGCTTTCTGAAATGATTGAGCTTCATTTCTTTACCATCTCGATTCAGAAATATGGATCTTAGCTGAAGAAAACCGACAACAACAACATAATAGCACAGCTTTTTTCTTTTTTTTGCATTTAGAACTCCCCTATTACATTCGTTACAAAAGATATGCTTGTCTGAATAATTCGTTACTTGTACCAAGAATGTAGGAGCCTTGATGCTGATTGGCAGATTAGAAAGTTCACCTACTAATGAGGTGTCCTCAAATATTCCGACATAGAGGTAACCTACTGAAGTAAAATATCTTAATTTAATGAGATTGGGGAATAGTGTGATTTTTTTGCTAAAATCCAATGGTTTGTCACATTTTTAACTTTTATGTCTTCAGGATTTAAAGTTGAAGAAAATCAGAAGGATATCCTTACAAGCCACGACGTGAGTTGAGAAGAAAGGATTAATCATATGTCCATCAGATATTTAAAATTGTCTATCATTAATGAATTAAATAATAAAATCCTTACAGGCCACGACGTGAGTTGAGAAGAAAGGATTAATCATATGTCCATCAGATAATTATTAATTGTCTATCATTAATTAATTAAATAATAAAATCCTTACAGGCCACGACATGAGTTGAGAAGAAAGGATTAATCATATGTCCATCAGATAATTAATAATTGTCTATATTAAATTACTTAAAAAATAAAAAACGAAATAAATAATTATCCGCATACAATACATCAGACTTCATTCTCACCTCCCTGGGGAGTACACAACCTAAGCTGCCTGTTTATTGTGAAATAATTTGCATTACCATGCCATCCTGCAAGTTGTTGTTTCACAATACAATAAGGCAAGATATGTCTCACTTGTTTTATAGAATCCACAGACTCTAAAGTAAAGGAAATTCGAAAACATTCTCCAATGCACTATTTCTATAATTCAACCAAGTGCATACTTACGGTGGCCCATACCCGACACTGGTGAGATCATGTTTCACTGTATGCCTCTATATTTTATCTGGCAGCCGCCAAATACTTTTCTGGCGGCCGCCAGATACTTCCACTGGTGAGATAAAATATAGAGGTTTACGGGGAAAATGATCTCACCAGTGGAAGTATCTGGCGGCCGCCAGATAAAATATAGAGGCACACCAGTGGCGGGTATGGGCCACCGTACAAACTTACAGGTCCACAGGTAAATGCTTCTGTGGCAACGGTTTATGTTGCAAGATGAGAAACTACTCACATTACAACATATTGAGACCATTTTGAAACTTAAGAAATATGAATTATATTTTCTTTTCTATTCTTTCTCTCACCTACCAACCATGAGTTTTAATACAAAAATGAAAACCAAGAAATAAAAAACTCTAACAGGATATTATGAAGAAATGGAAAAGAATTTCTCTCAAAGTTATATTAAAATGTAATTGACCACTATGTTTCAACATCTAGGTTTCTCTAAGCTGGTGATGTTTCAGCCCTCGGGAGAAGGAGTATCAACCTGACCAGACCCCCACCCCAGGCAGGGGTAGGAGACGAGGGTTCTTCTCCAGCAAAACCTCCCACATCGATACAGAGCCAACCACCAAGGCACCCCTTCCACCCCTCAAGGGTAAACAGACAATAGGTAATATATATATATATATACATATGGCATTTCTACTATTAAACGACCGCCTCCGTGATCTTGTGGTAGAGCGTCCGCCCGGAGAGCGGAAGGTCCGGGGTTCGAACCCCGGCCGAGTCATACCAAAAGACGTTAAAAGATGATACTTGTTCTTACCCTGTCTGGCGCTTGGCATTAAGGTGCTAAAACAAGGACTGGTCGGCTCGGAGTCAGTATTCTGTGTCAGTATTCCGTGTCAGAGTGGGGTATTCCTGTTAAACTGCGGCATGGTATCTCAGGAGCTAGCACTATAAAGCACACACACACACACACACACACACACACACACACACACGTGCATGCACGTCTCTTTGTAAGTGCAATAATCTTGGACGCGACGTTAAAGCTAATTTCACCCCACCTCATTACCGCACATCCCCTTATTCGAGTGACAAATAAACAAATGACCTCTGCTTGCTGAATGTGATTGCTGATATATTTCAAAACAACATATTAATGTTTTAGATAAAAAATATCTCAGCTTAAGACTTGATTTCATTCATGTGAATTTATGTGTTTGGCTCAAAGAATAAATAACAGCTGTATAAACAGAACAATTATTGCAAAGATCTCAACACAAAATACAGCTCGTCTTACCTCAGAAAAAGTCAAGTGACCTGTCACCATTCTTGTCATATTTCTTGAATCTCTCCTATTATTTTTTATCTTTCTATTTGCTATAAAACATTAATATGTTGTTTTGAAATATGTCAGAAATCACATTCAGCAAGCAGAGGTCATTTGTTTTTTGTCACTCGAATAAGGGGATGTGCGGTAGTCTTGTGGTTGAGGTATTGGAGACCCGTGAAGATCCGGGGTAGAATAGGTCTTCAGCAACCAATGCTTGCCGTAAAAGGCGACTATGCTTGTCGTAAGAGGCGACTAACGGGATCAGGTGATCAGGCTCGCTGACTTGGTTGATGCATGTCATCGTATCCCAATTGCGTGGACGGATGCTCATGATGTCAATCATTGGATTGTCTGTTCCAGACTCGATTAGTTACAGACCGCCGTCATATAGCTAGAGTATTGCTGAGTGCGGCATTAAACAACAAACAAACAAACAAACACGTGTTTCTGTGTCCTAAATATCTCACTATAGGAAAAAATAAATACGATTTAAATAAAAAAGAAACAATCTGTGTATGTATTTTAACAGAAAAGGGCCCTTACCTTTCTCGTTTGACCTATTTGGAAGTTTTTAATTGAAATGACTCAGTGTGAGTAAAAAAACTAAAAACATACCTCACATTTTCAGATCCTTAAACAAACTACTGCAAAACGAACAATAAACACACTTCATTCATTCATACATTTAGTCTATATGTCATTGGAACTCGAAGATTGTTGCAAATATTAAACAAATCAGAATCTAACGAATACTAGTAACGTGTCTCTGTATCTGTTTTGTTTGTTTATATACCTTGTAAGTGAATCATCTGTTATATAGAGGAAAATCCAAGTCTGCTTGATCCGACTGGCACGTTTGTTGACTGGGCAGCCTGCAAGAAACACTTCCCTCATATGGCCAGAGAATTTGTGAGTATAACCTTTGCACCAAGAGACGGGCCCATTTGCATTGGTCAGAGACTGGACTAAAGTTAGTAAAAAAGATTTCCTCCCCAAATTGCGTGTATATTGTTTGAACCCAACTCCAGACATGATCATATCGTCCGAAATTGCTAGTCTATTCTCAAACCTTGTGGATCAGGGTCGTCCAGGGCTCACTTGCACAAAGCGATCTGAGCGCTAAGATGATCGTAACTCACATACTTTAACATAGGCTTTAAAAGTCGTAACACTAAGATCGCTTTGTGCAAGTGGGCCCAGGTCATCTACATTTCCGTTAGGTCTGCCAGAAACCTATGATCGTGGGTTCGAATCCCAGCTCATGTTTTGTGATTTCCACGAAAGTGGTAAACCTGCAACACTTCGGATTTTTCTCGTACATTAATCCGACATATATAACTGAAATAATGTCCAAAGCAGCATTAAACCTCTTGGTGCCACCGGACCTTATTTGGTCCTTCACTATTCACACCCTCTTAGTGCCACGGAACCATATATGGTCCCGTGAAAATGTCCCTTTTCAACTGTGAATTAAGATGTCAAACACTGAGTGCGCAAAATCAAAATTATAACCATCACCACCCCAATCATCTCAGCTTTAATATCGTGTAACTGTATATTTTTTGCCATGTTTGGACTTCATACACGTAAATATTTGTAGAAAATATCCATGTTCTTAAGAAATATTCTGAGTGGTCAGACAGACATGCTTTTCAAACCTGTATGTGTAATCATGTAAATACATTTCTGTTCACTCCTTTACTTTACGAACGAGTTTATTCTTAAGTTTGGCATATTTTTATCGACTATCGGTAATGGGGGAATGACGCTCATTGAATGAAAATGTTAAAAGCAAACATATGGAAAGATTGCAAGTCATATGTAATTTATTTCCAGTAAAACAGGGGCTTTATTTTATTTTTGAGAAAAAAAACCTGATTCCCCCCTCCCCTTTAAATGGTTGCTTACAGGAGTATAATAGTTTCCCCACCACTATTTACATAGCAAGGTACATATGTCAAAGACATTCAGCTGCACTTCTTGTGTTCCAGCTTGACGAACAATGGGAGCGATTCAAGGAATATGACAAGAATGGTGACAGGTCACTTGACTTTTCTGAGGTAAGACGAGCTGTATTTTGTGTTGTGATCTTTGCAATAATTGTTCTGTTTATACACCTGATACTTATTCTTTGAGCCAGACACATAAATTCACATGAATGAAATCAAGACTTAAGCTGAGATATTTTTTATCTTTTTGATCTAAAACATTAATATGTTGTTTTGAAATATGTCAGCAATCACATTCAGCAAGCAGAGGTCATTTGTTTATTTGTCACTCGAATAAGGGGATGTGCGGTAGTCTTGTGGTTGAGGTATTGGAGACCCGTGAAGATCCGGGGTAGAATAGGTCTTCAGCAACCAATGCTTGCCGTAAAAGGCAACTATGCTTGTCGTAAGAGACGACTAACGGGATTGGGTGCTCAGGCTCGCTGACTTGGTTGATGCATGTCCCAATTGTGTGGATCGATGCTCATGATGTCAATCACTGGATTGCCTGATCCAGACTCGATTATTTACAGACTGCCGTCATATAGCTAGAATATTGCAGAGTGCGGCGTTAAACAACAAATAAACAAACAAACGAACAAACAAACACAGATTGGATCATAACACAAAATACAACACTTTTTCAAAGCATATGATTGGTGTACCAAGTGGGGTATTGTTCAAAAGAGTAAAATCAGCATAAAAGAAGCGTAAAACCATAATCACTCTCTAACCTGACATAAAGACAAGATTGCACATTATTTTCAGGTGATAGGTGCCTTGAAAGCCCTGGGTATGCAGTTTACAGCTGTACAGGCAGAGGTGAGATTCACATTATTGCCTCAATAAGTCCCAGTGGGGATTCTGGGTTAGAATAGGTCCCCAGCAACTTATGATGGTCGTAGGAGGCAGACAAGTGGATCATGTGATCAGACTCGGTGACTTCGATTATTTACAGGCTGCCATTATGTTGCGGGAATATTGTTCAGTGCGACGTTAAACAACAAACAAACAAAAACATATGAGGTCTATACCTTGACCTGACAGTAAGACGTCCTGATTCTAATGGTAAGCCAGAGAGTCAACATAGACTCAACATCTAGTGGGGAAGGGGCGGTCGGGTAGCCTAGTGGTTAAAGCATTAGCTCGTCATGCCGAACACCGGGTTCGATTCCCGACATGGGTACAATGTGTGAAGCCCATTTCTGGTGTCCCTCGCCGTGATATTGCTGGAATATTGCTAAAAGCAGCGTAAAACCAAACTCACTCACTCTAGTGGGGATTTCTGGGAAGACTGCCTCCATGGTCTAGTGGATAGAGCATGTGCCCAGAGAACGGAAAGTTAATGGTTTGACCCCCTGCAGTGCCATAACAAAGACTCTAAAAGATGGTACTTGTTGTTACCCTGCGTGACGCACAGCCTGGGGCTGAAACAAGGACTGGTCGGCTCGGAGTCAGTATAGTGTGTCTGAGTGGGGTTCCCGTGTCATACACCAGCATGGTATCTCAGTGGGCTAGCAATATAAGAACGACATTAGTCTTGACAAGTACAAGCAACCACACTCACACATAAATGTGTATATATGTGGACGCTATGTTAAACTACATTTCACCTCACCTCAATATTATTTCCTGTGTTTTACTGCAATCATGCCAAAAATTGCGAATAACAGTTTTAGTCTCAATGCACATTTTGAGTTGTTACCGTGGTTACATGGCTATTTCAGGAGGCCATGAGGGAAATTGATGTCAACAGGTCGGAGACTCTTGACTTCTATGAGTATCTTCTTGTGGCTGAAATGATTGCAAAACAGACAGGTACGTGGGAGTATGTTATAAGTGGCCTTGTCCTAACAAGCCTAGTACACCTTTGGCTGTCCTGTCTAAATGAAGGCCTGATACACCCTCCATGAACCCTGAGTAAACCTTTGACTCCCCAGTCTACGTGAAGGCGTGACACACCCTCCACTCCATGAACACTGAGTAAACCTTTGGCTGCCAAGTCTAAATGAAGGCCTGACACACCCTTCACTCCATGCAACTGAGTAAGCCCTTGACTGCCCAGTCTAAATGGAGGTCTGACACACCCTCCATGAACCCTGAGTAAACCCTCGACTGCCCAGTCTAAATGAAGGCCTGACACACCCTCCATGAACCCTGAGTAAACCTTTGACTGCCCAGTCTAAATGGAGGTCTGACACACCCTCCATGAACCCTGAGTAAACCTTTGGCTGCCAAGTCTAAATGGAGGCCTGACACACCCTCCACTCCATGAACCCCGAGTAAACCTTTGGCTGCCAAGTCTAAATGAAGGCCTGACACACCCTTCACTCCATGCAACTGAGTAAGCCCTTGACTGCCCAGTCTAAATGGAGGTCTGACACACCCTCCATGAACCCTGAGTAAACCCTTGACTGCCCAGTCTAAATGAAGGTCTGACACACCCTCCATGAACCCTGAGTAAACCTTTGGCTGCCAAGTCTAAATGGAGGCCTGACACACCCTTCACTCCATGAACCCTGAGTAAACCCTTAACTGCCAAGTCTAAATGAAGGCCTGACACACCCTCCATGAACACTGAGTAAACCCTTGACTGCCAAGTCTAAATGAAGGTCTGACCCACCCTCCATGAACCCTGAGTAAACCTTTGGCTGCCAAGTCTAAATGGAGGCCTGACACACCCTCCATGAACCCTGAGTAAACCTTTGACTGCCCAGTCTAAATGAAGGTCTGATACACCCTCCATGAACCCTGAGTAAACCCTTGACTGCCAAGTCTAAATGAAGGCCTGACACACCCACCATGAACACTGAGTAAACCCTTAACTGCCAAGTCTAAATGAAGGCCTGACACACCCTCCATGAACCCTGAGTAAACCTTTGACTGCCCAGTCTAAATGAAGGTCTGACACACCCTCCATGAACCCTGAGTAAACCTTTGGCTGCCAAGTCTAAATGGAGGCCTGACACACCCTTCACTCCATGAACCCTGAGTAAACGCTTAACTGCCCAGTCTAAATGAAGGCCTGACACACCCTCCTTGAACACTGAGTAAACCCTTGACTGCCAAGTCTAAATGAAGGTCTGACACACCCTCCATGAACCCTGAGTAAACCCTTGACTGCCAAGTCTAAATGAAGGCCTGACACACCCTCCATAAACGCTGAGTAAACCTTTGACTGCCCTGTCTAAATGAAGGTCTGACACACCCTCCATGAACCCTGAGTAAACCTTTGACTGCCCTGTCTAAATGGAGGCCTGACACACCCTCCATGAACCCCGAGTAAACCCTTGACTGCCCTGTCTAAATGGAGGTCTGACACACCCTCCATGAACCCTGAGTAAACCCTTGACTGCCCTGTCTAAATGAAGGCATGACACACCCTCCATGAACCCTGAGTAAACCCTTGACTGCCCAGTCTAAATGAAGGTCTGACACACCCTCCATGAACCCTGAGTAAACCTTTGACTGCCCAGTCTATATGAAGGCCTGACACCCTCCATGAACCCTGAGTAAACCTTTGACTGCCCAGTCTAAATGGAGGCCGGACACACCCTCCACTCAATGAAACTGAGTAAACCCTTGACTGCCCAGTCTAAATGAAGGCCTGACACACCCTCCATGAACCCTGAGTAAACCCTTGACTGCCCTGTCTAAATGAAGGTCTGACACACCCTCCATGAACCCTGAGTAAACCTTTGACTGCCCAGTCTAAATGGAGGCCTGGCACACCCTCCACTCCATGAAACTGAGTAAACCCTTGACTGCCCAGTCTAAATGAAGGTCTGACACACCCTCCATGAACACTGAGTAAACCTTTGACTGCCCAGTCAAAATGAAGGCCTGACACACCCTCCATGAACCCTGAGTAAATCTTTGACTGCCCAGTCTAAATGAAGGTCTGACACATAATCCATGAACCCTGAGTAAACCCTCGACTGTCCAGTCAAAATGAAGGCCTGACACACCCTCCATGAACCCTGAGTAAATCTTTGACTGCCCAGTCTAAATGAAGGCCTGACACACCCTCCATGAACCCTGAGTAAACCTTTGACTGCCAAGTCTAAATGGAGGCCTGACATACCCTCCATGAACCCTGAGTAAACCTTTGACTGCCCAGTCTAAATGAAGGTCTGACACACCCTCAATGACCCCTGAGTAAACCTTTGACTGCCCAGTCCAAATGAAGGTCTGACACACCCTCCATGAACCCTGAGTAAACCTTTGACTGCCCAGTCTAAATGAAGGCCTGACACACCCTTCACTCCATGAACCCTGAGTAAACCTTTGGTTGCCAAGTCTAAATGGAGGCCTGACACACCCTTCACTCCATGAACCCTGAGTAAACCCTTAACTGCCAAGTCTAAATGAAGGCCTGACACACCCTCCATGAACACTGAGTTAACCCTTGACTGCCAAGTCTAAATGAAGGTCTGACCCACCCTCCATGAACCCTGAGTAAAACCTTGACTGCCAAGTCTAAATGAAGGCCTGACACACCCTCCATGAACCCTGAGTAAACCCTTGACTGCCCTGTCTAAATGAAGGCCTGAAACACCCTCCATGAACCCTGAGTAAACCCTTGACTGCCCAGTCTAAATGAAGGCCTGACACACCCTCCATGAACACTGAGTAAACCCTTGACTGCCCTGTCTAAATGAAGGCCTGACACACCCTCCATGAACCCTGAGTAAACCCTTGACTCCCCAGTCTAAATGAAGGTCTGACACACCCTCCATGAACCCTGAGTAAACCTTTGGCTGCAAAGTCTAAATGGAGGCCTGACACACCCTCCATGAACCCTGAGTAAACCTTTGACTGCCCAGTCTAAATGAAGGTCTGATACACCCTCCATGAACCCTGAGTAAACCTTTGACTGCCAAGTCTAAATGAAGGCCTGACACACACCCCATGAACACTGAGTAAACCCTTGACTGCCAAGTCTAAATGAAGGCCTGACACCCCCCCCATGAACCCTGAGTAAACCCTTGACTGCCCTGTCTAAATGAAGGCCTGACACACCCTCCATGAACCCTGAGTAAACCCTTGACTGCCCAGTCTAAATGGAGGCCTGACACACCCTCCACTCCATGAAACTGAGGAAACCCTTGACTGCCCAGTCTAAATGAAGGCCTGACACACCCTCCATGAACACTGAGTAAACCCTTGACTGCCCAGTCTAAATGAAGGCCTTCATTTCTTTACGTCACAAAAAACACACAAAAAATCCTTCGATGGTACTCATTTTGTGTGTTGATGCCATGTCACTTTTAAAAAAACCAAAACGGGGCGGTCGGGTAGCCTAGTGGTTAAAGCCTTCGCTCGTCACGCCGAAGACCCAGGTTCGATTCCCGATATGGGTACAATGTGTGAAGCCCATATTTCTGGTGTCCCCCGCCGTGATATTGCTGGAATATTGCTTAAAGCGGCGTTAAACCATACTCACTCACTCACTCTATTTAAAAAACCAGGGTGTATAGAATATTTTACTCGCTCATTCTTGAGATCCACACTAGTCTTTGTTTGTTATCATTAGAACACAGACGTATCTCCCGTATACAAAACATTGTTGATTTTTCAAGAACATTTCTGTCCATTTCTTTGTAAAATACAAGAACAAATCAACATATTTTGTTTTAATAAGAACTTATTTATTTTATTTTCTGTAGGTAAAGCAACGCTCTTCAAGTCAACAGTGGTGAAAACACACAGCAATGTTGTAGCCAAGACTTGTGCCCTACAGTGATCAGAATACCATGCACCGCATTCAACATACAATAATCATAATGTCATCCGCTGAATGTTACCAAAGGACAATGCAATATAAATGGTGTGATATGTTGAATGTTAGCAAAGGACATTGTAATGTAAGTGATGTGATCTGCTGATTTTCAGCAGAGGACAATGTAACATAAGTGATGTTATTGTCAGCAAAGGACATTATAATATAAGTGATGTGATCTGCTGATTGTCAACAAAGGACAATGTAATATATGTGATGTGATCTGTTGAATGTTAGCAAAGGACAATGTAGTATATGTGATGTGATGTGTTGAATGTTGGCAAAGGACAATGTAATATATACGTTATGAGACCTGATAAATGTTAGCAAATGACAATGTAATATAAGTGATGTGATCTGCTGAATGTTAGCAAAGGTGAGGTGAGGTGAAATTGGGTTCAACGTCGCGTCCAAGATTATTGCACTTATATAGTGACGTGCATGCACGTGTGTGTGAGGCTGCTTGTACTAGTCCGAACTGATGACGATTTATAGTGCTAGCACAATGTTTATTTGTGTGTTTTGTTTGTTTGTTGTTTAACTTCGCACTCAGAAATATTCCAGCTATATCATGGCAGTCTGTAAATAATCGAGTCTGGACCAGATAATCCAGTGATTGATATCATGAGCATCGATCCACGCAAATGGGATCGATGACATGCATCAACCAAATCAGCGAGCCTGACCACCCGATCCCGTTAGTCGCCTCTTACGACAAGCATAGTCGCCCTTTTATGGCAAGCATGGGTTGCTGAAGACCTATTCTACCCCGGATCTTTACGGGTCTGCAAGCCAACTGAGATACCATGCCACAGTTAAACTTGAATACCCCACTCAGACAAAGTATACTCTCCGAACCGGCCAGTCCTTGTTTTAGCTTCTAATGCCGAGCGCCAGACAGGAAACAGCAAGTATCATCTTGTAGCGTATTTTTGGTATGACGCGGCTGTGGATCGAACCCCGGACCTCCTGCTCTCCGGGCGGACGCTCTACCACGAGACAACGGAGGCTGTCTGTTAGCAAAGGACAATGTAATATCAGTGATGAGATCCGTTGAATTTTAGCAAAGGACAATGTTATATAAGTGATGAGATCTGTTGAATATAAGCAAAGGACAATGTAATATAAGTGATGTGATTGTCAGCAAAGGACAATGTAAAATAGGTGATGAGATCTGTGGAATGTTAGCAAAGGACAATGTTATATAGGTGATGAGATCTGTTGATTGTCAGCAAAGGACAATGAAATATAGGTGACAAGATCTGTTGATTGTTAGCAAAGGACAATGTAATATAACTGATGTGATCTGCTGAATGTTATACCTATTATTATGAAACTTATTTCATGTTGTTTTTTCACAAGGCGCATGGCCAAAAGGTGACTATGCTTGTCGTACGTAAGAGGCGACTTACTGAATCGGGTGGTCAGGCTCGCTGACTTGGTTGGTGCATGTCATCGATCCCATATGCGTAGCTCGATGCTCATGATATCAATCACTTGATTATCAGTTCGACTCGATTATTTACAGACTGCCTTATAGCTGGAATATTGCGGTGTTAAACAACAAACAAGCAAACAAAACATGGTCATATTTTGTTTATCATCTACAAGTCTTTAATGTTTTGACTTTGCCTTTTATTCTTGATTATTTTTTTGAATATTTGTGATGATTTTACTTCATTTACCTATGGGATCATTATTTTGTCATTATGTTTAATTCAAAAGTGATAATGTTTGAAAACATTCAGCATATCTTGACTCGTATTGTGATATTGTGAATGGCATATGGACATGTGTGTATGGAAGTATGAATAAAATATTTATATACTATGGAGTTGAGTAATATGGAGTACACGACAGTCATGTGTCACTATCAACCATATCTGCATACCAGGGTATGTCAGTTTGTAATCTGATATGCTGCATGATATGTGAAAGATTTCCCTTCCCTTCCATCGCCGTTCACCTTCACACAATGAGTTGATTTTGTATATAATCATATCTAAATGTATGATGGGGGATGTTCTTGACCAAAAATATTTTTTGATACTTTTGTTTATATATTTTAAGATTTTGCTAACAAAACTACTTTTTTTAAGTCGCAAATAAAAGGGGTGATGAACCGTCCCTCTGTGTTAGGTAGGGAGAATTTACATTTCACTGTTTTAAATTTGTAATGAAACTATTTAATTTTCCGGACAGACCACGTGATCAGTCTGGTTGGGGCTGTTGAACGATTGGGACCTTCCACCCCCAGTCGTCGATGTACAGCAGTCAACTGTAGGTGGACGACTGGCAAGATACTGGAGAAATTGCGACATCCTGGACAACTCGTTCGTATAGAACATTCTCAGGACGGGTTACAGTCCTGCTGTACCCAAGAACCCCCCTCTCTGTCTGTCTGTCTGTCTGTCTCTCTCTCTCCGCCGATTGTTCAATATCCCGAGACACTGCATTCCAAATTGAAAGAAGCCACTGACACACTTCTTACAGGTTTACAAGGGGAAGGTTTCCAATAGAAGGGCCAACATTACCAATGGAAAGTCCTGCCCTTTGGAGTTCCAATAGCCCTGTTGTTATTTACACGGGTAACCAAACCAATCGTGGCCTTTCTACTCAACAAGGGGATCCGTTGCAGCCTCTGCCTGAACGATGGAATTCAAGCTCATCAACAGATAGAGCTACTTCGACTTCAAGTGAATTTCACCCTGAAGTTGTTAACTCTGCTAGAGTGGTAAATCGCTTTTCAGAAGTTCGACCTCCAACTATCCTAAGATCTCAAGTTCTCAGGGATCAGGTTCCTAACCGGGCAGAGCCTTTGTCAGGTTCCAGAAGATCGTTGGATCAAAACCCACAGATATCTTCCAGCAGCTATTCACAAACAGATTTCAGTCAACCAATGGCAAGTGATCTTAGGTCTTCTCTCTTCCGACCAAGCTTTGACAGTACGGGGAATACTTCACCTGTGTCTCATCCAAACATTCCCCTAACCGTTCTAAGGCCACCATGCAAGAACTCAGACTTCGTCTTCCACAACGTTTGAAGAAATATCTCCAGTGGTGGGCAATGAAGTCGAAGGTCTGCGGAGGAACTTACGTGAACGGAATACAATCAACACCAATTTGTTGTTTGTTTGTTTGTTTGTTTGTTGTTTAACGCCGCACTCAGCAATATTCCAGCTATATGACGCCGGTCTGTAAATAATCGAGTCTTGACCAGACAATCCAGTGATTGACACCAAGAGCATCGATCCATGCATTTGGGATCGATGACATGCATCAACAAAGTCCGCGAGCCTGACCACCAGATCCCGTTAGTCGCCTCTCACGACAAGCATAGTCGCCTTTTACGGCAAGCATGGGTTGCTGAAGACCTTTTCTCATTTATGCTTATCCTGATTCAAACACTGAAACACCCACCTTGCCGTCCCCGCTCGCCCTGATGTGATTTCGGCCTTAAAGAGGTTAGGACAATGGTGTGTGGTGGGTCAGCCCACTGGAAATGTCAAATGTGAAATGTATGGAAAACTTTAAAAAAATTGGTATGAAAACTATCAGACATACAGCCTACAACTAACACTTTTTCTTTTTAACACTTGCAAGTTTCAACAACAAAAGAAAGAGCGAAAACGACCACTTTCAGGGAACGTCTGTCTAACTGTGAGCACGTCATTGAGCCAGAATTGTTTTTTCACCATATGTGTGTACCGTCTTTATTTCGATCTTCTAAGAAAATCTGCTTTGGTAAAAGACTTGTGCATGTTCATGTATGGTAAAAATCGGTTCCTGAAACATTATTCTTGTTGACATATCAGTGTACATTTAGTGTCGTTATAACATCAAATTAAACCATGGCTCCTTTGCCCGTGCTCATGATATCAATCACTGGACTGTCTGGTCCAGACTCGATTATTTACAGACCGCGGCGTTAAACAACAAACCAACCAACCAACCTTTGTCCGTGCTCTAACCACAGTCCGTTGGGCTCCAAATGAAAACGATGAATTGCAAAATAACTCAACATTTGGAAAAGTCTATTGAATGTTAATACGGTACACGGCAATAAATACCCTGTACCCAACAATATCTGCTGATTGTTATATTTCTTTCCCATCACTAGAAAAAGTTGTTTAAGAAACGTTCATGCTGTTATGTGTACAAGATGACATATTGAACAGATGGGGGCACAGCGGTAGGAGGAACAGCGCAAACACGCACTGCACTGGCAAAATATCTTTCATATAATGATTCAAAGTACAACTTAGACAATAACAAATCCACAATTTCTATGTTTGATACGCTGCATTTTGCAGCCAAAACTTTTAATTTTCAAATCACCATGAATAGGGACTTATGGGATATTTTATGAACACTTCGATTTACAGTTTATTCCAAACTGGTGACAACGAATTTTGATGCTTATGATGAATAAGTGAGTGAGTGAGTATGTTTTACGCCGCTTTTAGCAATATTCCAGCAATATCACGGCGGGGGACACCAGAAATGGGCTTCACACATTGTACCCATGTCGGGAATCGAACCCGGGTCTTCGGCATGACGAGCGAACGCTTTAACCACTAGGCTACCCGACAGACAGAATAAGGGTGAATCTTGGATTCGAACCAATAGTTAGCGGATCCTGGCACATATAGCCGAACACAATTAAGAGGCATCGGTGCCCTCTTTACAGCAAGTTATTACACAAGGGACTGTTTTTTAATGTCACTTCATTTTCTTTAAATGTACACACGCCGATCTATCTTTTTCAAATTATGAAATTATTTTAACTATTCAAATGTTTTGCCTGAGGTTTGCATCGTTGGGTCAATGTGAACATAATAATTGGCAGGTGCGAACAAACAAAATATAATTTGGGAACCTTTTCAGTAAACTACGGTTATAACGTACTCAAAGGGACTACTAATTTTAGTTCGTTATAACCTTAATTCGTTATAAGCATATATACAACATAACTACAGCATATAGGGGCTAAAAAGTTAGTCGGTTGCTCGGTTGATGCATAATACTGCATGTCGTCGTATCCCAATTACGTACATCGATGCTCATGATGTCTATCACTGGATTGTCTAGTCCTGGTTCGATTATTTACAGACCACCGCCCTATAGCTGGAATATTGCTGATTGCGGCGTAAACAACAATCAAGCAGACAAACAGACCGGAAGTTAACGACGCGTGCTCAATCGGGTTGTAAACTACGCATAAAACTTCCCGACGTCATGAACAATCGGATAATGTCATCTGTTTCGTTGATTTCACGACGGCAGTGTTGTATTATAAGGATAACGCTCTTTTTCAGGGCATTATCATTTGCAGAAGCCCGAGCAATATCGGTTTTGAAACATTTACTGCAATCAACACGAATGTCACTGACCCTCTTTTACAAATATGGAAACGTCATAGAACAAACCAGATGACGTCACTATTGAACGTGAACCATTTCCTATCCCCATGACGTCACCTAACAACGGGTGTGATAATGGCCATTATTACCCACGTGGTGAAGATACAGGTGGTAAGATACTAAATCCGTACGTCACACGTGTGTCGTACAAGGTTGACCTTGTTTTATTCGTTTTGATTGGATAACCGTGACCTCTGTCACACCGGGACTACTTTTTTCATTCATAAAAAATCGCGAGACGTCATTCATTTAGCGATTACAAGGCAGAACTGAAGAAATTCATGCGAACGAGAGATATGTACACACACTTTATTAAACCAAACAAGATAGTCACACGCATCAAATTCGGTTTGCATTCTATATAAGTTATGCATAGAGGTCCTACAGACATATAATCGAGCTAGATCTATAAATCGATTTACAATGTACGACCGCCGATCGAGCGCGTCCCTTGAGCGTGACGCACCCGACCATTTTCGCAACTTTCAATATTTGATTTAACGTAAAAGGATAGGCGTGGTGAAATGAAGTCTGTTTAAACTATCTGGACAGATATCTAGACTTACTTGGGATGATCCGGTTGTGCCATCGGTGTCCCCCTTGAAGCGTATTTTGTGGCGCTGTTTCGGGAGGTGTTGTTCATGAATGAACGAACACGACAGCACGACCAGATCACTTAAAGTTCACAGTTCCGATACAAATCATTCGAAAACTCCGTGGAAGTGTGCTTGACTTCTGATTTTGTGGCCCCAAACATCCCAAATGTGAACAGTAACATTCCCTATCTCTAGCGTAAAACGCTGTGAGTGGATCGCGGTTGTCTTTTCTTATTCTGGTGGCGACCTTGCCCTTCGATCGTTCGAAGCTGTCACTGACATGCAAGCAGATTTGAGTTTGTTGATTTTCACGTCTTCAGTTTATAGAGTGGTACAGTTAACATGAATGTCTTTGGCGAACAGTCTGATTTCCCTCTTCCAAAATGGTACGGACATGATATAAATTCAGCTGATAGATCAAGGAAACCGAACCATTTTGATTGCACAGACGGGACCCCGGCAGTGTGATGCGTGTGACTGTTGGTCCGATATTCAAAGCGCGGCGCTAATGTGACATTTCAAATTTTCTTATCGGTGTCCTGCGTACTAACAACATGGCGCTTGAATTACCATAAGTTGAAGACTTTCTTCCAAAAGGATCTTGAGCGTCGGTGCTGGTTTGTTTGCAAACAGAACAGCAGGCGCATGTTGTTAATGCGTATGCATAATCATGTCAACAATGCCCATATTTGGTCATATATCAATATTCATGCGCAACCAGATTTTGCAACCGGTTTCAGTTTGGTCTGTCAACGAACGAAAGTTGTTATGTATTTACACTTAAATATATATTTAACGTGGGTAATAAATAAAATACCACACTCATTCTCGTTAGATACCATTTTTACGAAACTCGTGAACTTTCTATGGTATCTGACCGAGCGAAAGCGAGGTCAGATACCATAGAAAGTCCACTCGTTTCGTAAAAATGGTATCTAACGAGAATGAGTGTAGTATTCTCTATTTATCAAGTTACAGTGGCCCGCTGATTTCTGATAACAACCGGGCGGTTTAATGATAATTCTATCCATTTTAGCTATAATATAAGGGTAACGCTATTTTTCAGGGCATTATCATTTGCAGAAGCCCGAGGTCTTTCATTAACTGCCAGACGAAGGAGGGCAGTTGAAAAGATCGAGGGCTTCTGCAAATGATAATGCCCTGAAAAATACTGTTACCGTTATTATAGCTAAAATGGATGGAATTTTATCAACTAAAAAGAAACAACAATATCGGTTTTGAAACATTTACTGCCCTCAACACAAATGTCACTGACCCACTTTTACAAATATGGAAACGTCAAAGAACAAACCAGATGACATCACTATTGAACGTGACGTCACGATCCTATCCTATGACGTCACCTAACAACGGGCTTGATAATGGCCCGTCGTCAAGCAATATGAGGGCATTCTCAAGTTACAGAGGCCCGCTCATTTCTGATAACATGCGGGCGGTTTAATGACAATTCTATCCATTTTAGCTATCATGTACGATAAACGACAACGAGTCGTTTATTTCTTATACATGTATTAGATATCAACATTATGTACAGCCTCATGAAGAATGTTAACAAAATGAACAAGCTGTAAAAATATTTTCCCGTATTTGAGTAATGACAACATCCTGATTGGAATCTTACCGCGGCAATGTCGGACAAGTCCATTTTATGAACAGGGGGGTAAATTTGGTCTTTCCAAATCATTATTATTCTCACAATTTTCACGTCGATCATCTGTATCTTTTCTCCCAATACCGATTGTCCTATCTCTCTTACTGTGGAAAGCCATCTTTCGGCCTCTGCGTTTATCTGCGTACCCCAGCTACATCTATGGGGAATAACTTACTAGACACTTCCCTCTAAAAGATAACGTTGTCCAATAGACTGACATCACCATTCACCAAGCGCATGTTCGAATCACCGGAAGTGACGTCATGATATAACAATGTTTTTTCGTGAAATAAACCACGCTTTGCTCTTCAATTTTCTTTGCGATTTATCGCGTAGTTATCCTATATATACACACACTGGGAAGAGTGTTAGACTGCATGCCCGTTCACAAATATCCTCGCTACGACCCGTCCTAGTGAACAAATCGAAGATTTGCTCAACCAAATAGTTGACTCGATCCGAGTCTCAACTGACAGTAGTTGGTTGGTTTGTTGTTTAACGCCGCACTCAGCAATATTCCAGCTATATGACGGCGGTCTGTAAATAATCGAGTCTGGACCAGACAATCCAGTGATTAATATCACGAGCATCGATCCACGCAATAGGGATCGATGACAGGCATCAACCAAGTCAGCGAGCCTGACCACCCGATCCCGTTTGTCGCCTTTTACGACAAGCATAGTCGCCTTTTACGGCAAGCATAGTCGCCTTTTACGGCAAGCATGGGTTGCTGAAGACCTATTCTACGCCGGATGTTAGTCTACAGCAATCTATGAATTTACATCAGAATATGTTGGACACATCTTTATCATCACCTTTCAGTGATCAGCAAATTGATCAGTGATGACTGACTTTGCAATCGCCACAGGTTCATTGACAACTTTGGAAATCTCTCCCGTCACGATTATCGTGTCGGCCATTTTGACGTCCTACAATTGAAACTGTGACTGACTTACTGAGATAGTTAACAATCCCTTTCCTATACAATGATGACATTATTTGAATCTATTTGTTATATCACGTCGGTGGGCACCAGAAATTGGCTTCACATGTTGTATCCATGAGGTAAAAAGTCGAACCCGGGTGTTCGGCGTGACGAGCGAACGCTTTAACCACTAGGCCACCCCACCGCCCCAGCCACGTATGTAAGTTATAGTTATTTTAGTCTCTGGTCGTTTGCTTAACTTTACAGCACTAGGTTGACCGCTAGGAACTCTGGGTAGAAGAGTGTGTTGGAGAGTAAACTAATAAGCCAATCAGCTGGAAGCAAAGATCTCGCCGCTGCACATACAAGACTCTGGACACGCCGGGTCACTGAGGTCATAATATTGCGTATTTTGATTATAAGAACAAGTGCCAAATCACTCAAGGGGACTATCACTTATGGGTTATACAAAAGAAAAAGAAAGATTTTTTCTTATGAATATTTTATTTTTGGTACAGCTACAACACCTGTGCTTGACGTCATATTTGAACTACTTTTCTCGAGTTAACAATGTGTCGCTAGTTGCTTGTCCCTTTGTGTTTTAACGAGTACAATTGCTGTTCTGAATATCACCTTAAGTGACAGACAAGAACTCGTTATGAAACAATGCAATTCAATTATACAGAGATTAGGGATTTTCTTACGTAATTCCTGTATAATCCCCAGGAGTTAATCAAGCGATAAGCCCAATTAAATGTGAAGATTATTGTTTGAAGATTTGAGACATCAATGTCTTTAAATTTGGGACAGTTAAACACTAATTAGAGTCGCTGGGTTTATAATAAAAACAAAACCTTTAATTAGTGCCATAGCAAGGTCATGATTTGTGCAATGACGTTACTTGTATACTGATTTGCGAAAACATCCCTGAAAATTCATTTACTATCTTCATAGACAATCCATTTAAAAAATAAATGGTTCTATATATGTATGACAAGCTAAATATGCAGTGATGAAAACAGAATAAAGATTGTTGGTATGTTAAACAATTTCAAGCAAGTATTGAATTTCAACCTACAACTCAAGGTTTACGCAAGAAAATAAAACTAAGATTTATTTTCGTAATTCCATGTCTGTGTAAAAAGGCATGAACCCAAATATCAAGTTCATGGAGAGTGTTTTTTCATAAATATTATACGTTACTCCACCGATTGTTGGTAAACGGAGGTAGGAAAATGACCATTTTGGCTCACTGGAAATGTCCCATTTGAGTTGCTGAAAACTTTGACATATATCAAATACATAAAGGTATGGTTAAAATGAGTGCAAAAAGGTCGATCTTCCCACCTTCAAATGAAAATCTAAGTCTCAGCAAATCCGCGATCCAATATGTTTTTAAACATATGATGTACTGTTGTGATCTGCATCACCTATGGTAATCAGCTTGGGTCAAAAACTTTCTCATGTTTAAATATGAGGAAAACACAACACGAACACCTAAGAAATCAACCTTTTTGACACATTTTATCCTTACCTATGCATTGTCTGTTGTTATAAATCACAAATAAATATATATATTCAGTTTTCTTGTGCAATGACACATAGCTAAAATTTGTAAAGTATAACCAGAGACAATATACATGTAACTACCAGTCAGACATTTTTTTCCAACTCAACATAACGAAAGGGATTCACCGTCCGTGCGATTGAGGAAATCATTGAGGAGATTGTACGCGGGGCCTAATCTCTGCACACGACACGCTAATCCTCTCGCCTGTTCATACAGACATTTTCAGCTAGAAGACCGAGTCTCGCAAAACTTCCGCCTAGTAACCGTTGACGCATGAGCAAACCGGCTTCACAACTGGTCTTCCTTGGCAACCCATCAACAGCGAGTCAGGCATCAAGAAATAACAGCTCGGACTGGATGTAAACTGAAGTCATCTCACAGATCCAGGAGAGTGTACACATTGCCCACATTGCATCGACTTGAACATGGCGTTGCCATTTTTACCAGGAAATTCCTTCAATGGAAGCGTAAGTATTTATCGTTGTTTACTTGTTGAACTATCGGGACAGACAAATGATGATGCGTGGTATTCCTAGTGTCTCACACTGTAGTCTGTGATACTGTTGTCGTCTTTATTTACAATGTGTTCTAAAATATTAAGTTCTAAAATGTAATAGTGTTAACTGACAGAGATCTAGTCTTGAAAACTTGTTTGTTATTGTTTCTTACTGACGTTAGACACGGCAACTATGGTGTCTTTGACACAGTTCAGAATTTCACAGGTGTCGTGTGTTATATTTAAAATATGTTAACTATATGATAACTACAGTATAATATGCAAATATGAAATGACGAGGGAGAAATAACGACTTCTGCCAACAATGACTGAATCCTAGCTGTGACTTATACGTTTTGCTAATGACATCTTAAATACATATGCATGAGACTAAAGGGTGCCCTGAAATGATTGTAAAATACAGTATGTGTCAATTCTGGACTGTTTATGAAAATGCTTATCGTATATTAACTATATGATCTAGTTATTGAATGTTATTTGATGGGCATCTAGGCCTACCTCGGTACCCCCATCTTTAAGTACACCTTATCAATATGGATATATGTAGGAATCGTTTACATGTTATTTTAAGACATTTTCTAGATAAATACAACACACACAAGCTCAGAAGTTTTAATTTAAAAACCCAAAACCACCAGCATACTAAAGTCGTAGCATTTTCAGCCAATTACTCAGGTGCTAAGCAGTTTCAAACAGGATTGTTTTAACTATTGTGGATGGTGTATATAATTTGGCACCAATATTGAAGGTTTCTACTGTTTTTTTTCATTATATAGGGTCAATATACCATGTTTAGTACCCATAGGGTTAGAAGTAACCGAGTTCATAAAAAACGTATGTGCTCCAGTGCACATATCATTCATGTGCAACTACCATATTCGATGTAATAAGCACCCCACTCTAATAAGCGGCCATGGCGATATTTGCTAATATATTGGCTAGTGAACAATCCCCATTAGCACCCCTTCCGATTGATCAATGTACACAAGACTTATTTATTCGGGTATAATACGCACTCATGTGTTATATGCACCCTTAATTATGGGCAATTAAATTCTGGAAAAATATGTTTGTTGTACATAAACATTTCTGTCTGTCAGCATAAACCACAAAATTTATCTTTCAACCAAAATGATATTTTACTAAGAGCCCCTTATTTCTAATTTTGAGAGTGCCCTGGGCGCTTATTACGTATGAATAGTTTACGTCATCGGAATTCTATTGTGACGTCGGAAAGACATCACACCTGAAGATTGTTAATAACATTCAACAATTTTCATTTATAAGACTGCGGTCGTGATCAGTGCATATTTCTAAAGGGGAGCTCAATAGGATTAAGAAATAATGTGTAATAAAGAAATTTCACATGCATGTCTGTCATACTGATTTATGAAACTCATGTAAGACTTCATGTATTTACTTCACCCTCACTCTGGAAATACAAGAATTTATTCTGACACTTGTTTAAAAAAATTAGTATGAAACAAATGCTTGTATAATAAACTTTATATATACTCCTTCATTCAATCTGTGAACACCTTATCAATCTGTGTTAACTAAGTGATTTGCTTGACTTTTTAGAGAAATGAAACAAGTACATTTTCCATGGGTGTCTGAAACTGATGATTCTATCAGGGTTTTACCTTGACTTACAAAATTGGGGGTGCAGGTGACCCCCAATAATAAATTTTAAGGGTCCTTGCAGGCCTTGATGCTGTGTACTGTACGTTTAGCTAATTACTTTAGAGCCTGGAATGAATCAGTGATCATGTGGACAGTGGTCGTGATTGATGGATAAAATGGCAGATGCCCATAATTGCTTGATATGCTGCTGATACAGTGAATATTATTGTGCATTCCATGGGACGCAGCATATTATATTTTGTGTGTGCATTCTCTACATTTGTGTGTACTGGACACGCGTTTGTGCGTTACATAAAGCCCTGTCCTATACTCTAAAATGATGATTAACTTTGAATAAATTAAAAATTTGGTGACCAATAAACAGTGAAGATTTCTGATGAAATTATACATGCCATTTTACTTTACATTTTATTTGTTTCAGATGGGAAAAACAAAGTACCATAAATCTCATCACTTTGACAACTGCAACGATGTCTCGATGTTGGTCGGACATGAGAAGCCAGGTATTGGCGGTGAGCCTCTCCTGGGACAGAAGTTGAGGCCGAAGAACTCGGTGTTCCCCAGCGGAGAGGGTAGCAATGTTCCGGCGTGGGTGGCCTTTGACAGGCAGGTCCTCTGTTTTGATGCTTTCTTCCAGGAAGCTGTTCACGAGAAGAGAGAAGAACAGTTTAGAATCAGGAATTGTAAAATCTATTTCTACTTGGAGGATGACTCCATCCAGGTCATAGAGCCGAGGGCAAAGAACAGCGGCGTTCCTCAAGGTTTGTGTAGCTACTATTCCGATTTCTTGTAACTAGTGCAGAGGTTTTGTCATGAGAACTTGTAACTGAAAATTGTGGAATCTGTTTGAAAAAAATGGTGTTAATGAGTATAGAAATAGATGATATTAGCTTGTGACTTTAACCACTGGTCTGAAACCTGCATCTGGTAACATTTCATTTGGTCTAGTGAGCTCAAGTAATAATAGTCTGTATAATAACAGTACAATCTATTGAAAATGATGTTAGACAAGTTTGGGGTAGCAGGCTCAATTTTTTTTTGAACAGACTGATAGAATCAGACAGTTTCCAAGTTGGATTATTCTGTGAGGAAATGGCAGTCCTAGGTAATTTGAGGTCGGTCACTGAACTCATTCAGACAAGACTCTATTCATCTACCAACTCATGTTTTTAACACTCGAAGTCAGCTCACTGACACCACCCTTTTCTAAACATTTGAGAACTATTGTTAATAATTTTGAATTTGTCCTTTATAGTTATTCAACTAGATTCACTTCATGCAGTCAAGTCTCGTTAATCAGACACTCGTTAATCCGACAATCAGCTTTATCCGACACTGATGATGGGAACCAATTAAACAGTGCTATTTAGACCCGTTAATCCAATAGTTTCGCACTCCGACTCCGACACACCTAATTTGCAACAAATTATTGAAATAATTCATTAATCAGTTCGTTAAGCCAACACTCTTATCAACATACTCCGTGGTCATCTGCCCTCGAGTACACAGCCCGTGTTTTGATGCGAGATGAGTCGGCTACTAGCTGCATACTACAACAGTTGCAGAGATAAACTTGCTGAACAATAAACATTTAATGCTTTGTAATAAACAGAACCTAATTAATCACATGCGTATATTAACTTAATCTCATTAAAATCAGATACAAGTTCTCGCTTAATTTCGTTTATCCGTCATACTCATTTATCCGACATAACCACTTGCAACCAACCATGTTGTATTAACGGGACTTGACTGTATATATATATATCATTATGTATTGGTATTTTCCAGGAACCCTGATCCGAAGACACCGAGTGCCAAAGCCACCGCCACATGACGATGTGTTCTACACGGTGGAGGACTTCAACATCGGAGTGGAACTCAATCTGTACTCCAAGGTGTTCAAGGTCACAGGCTGTGACCAGTTCACTCAGAACTTCCTCAGGAAACTGGGCGTGCGGATCAACGGCACAGAGGACATTCCCACTGATCCCTATGTACAGCACCGGAAAGCTGTAAGTAACCCGTGAGAATAGACAGAATGGAGGACATTTGTCACGTCACTGTTTGTTTTAGATAGAATAATCTGAATATTTGCAGAGCTCCAGATAAGCTGCGTATCTGCGTAAAATACGCATCAGAAATGCAGAAATACGCAGTAAAATAAAATCCAAGCCTATCAAATACGCAACGAACATTACAGATATGCTACAAAAATAAAACTTGTGCGTATCATCAAAATATTGTGAAGTAACCCTGCATATTCGATTAGCAAATCAGCAACTTATTTTGAAATTATAAACGGGCATTCTGTCAACCTTGCCAAACTCCACGTAGACAGTTACATCATGATCATTTTCCATCACACTTTCTTGTGGAAGTATCGTGGTATTTTTTAGCTTTATAAGCTCTCAAACCCTCACGACACCAGTTTGCAGGGACTAGATGAATAGTGTTTTTTAATATTTAACTTAAATACCCACATGTGTAAAAACTAGTGGGTAACAGAAATTTGAATACCCAGATAGAATTACTGATACCCAATGATTTTAAAATGCATGGGTAAAATACCCACAACACCAAAAGCTTATCTGGAGCTCTGATATATGTGTCAAATATGCTTTAGAGTCATGTAAAACACAGAGAGATGCTAACATTTCTTTGTGTTTTTCGTTGACAATATCATCTTTGATAGATCACTTGATGTGATGTTTAAAATTAAAGTAAAATTAAAGATATAGTACGGGTCTGTCATAAGAATTAATTTTTTGTGTGATGCCATGGGTTATGAGGTATAGGCAGTGGTATAGCCTGGTTCTCACTGACTGCCTCCGTGGTCTAGTGGTAGAGCGTCCGCCCGGAGAGCGGAAGGTCCGGGGTTCGATCCCCTGCCGCGTCTTGCCGAAAGACGTTAAAAGATGATGCCCGGTCTGGCATTCGGCATTAAGGGGCTAAAACAAGGACTGGTCGGCTCGGAGTCAGTATGCTGTGTCTGAGTGGGGTATTCATGTTAAACTGCGACATGGTATCTCAGTGGGCTAGCACTATAAATCGGCATCAGTCCGGACTACTACAAGCAGCCACACACATATGCATGCATGTCGCTGTATAAGTGCAATAATCTTGGACGTGACGTTAAACCCCCCATTTCACCTCGCATCAAGCTCTCACTATTTGTACCAAAGGAGGCACATGCAGCCCAATCATCATAAGCGCTGCAATTTGTATGCACAGAGTTGTGTCCCCTAGGCATGAAAGAAAACCATAACAAAGTGTTCAAATCCCAAATGACCCTAATTGATTCTGGGTTTGTCACCACCATGTCCATACTTGTGGGTTTCAACATGGTGGTAAACCACTTAAAGACTTTCACTACTTCTGCTTTCCCCTAGTCTGTCATACAGACCCTGAAACAAATATATCCAATACAGCCCATGCAAGTCTATATTGTTTGGCAAGTCAAGATTACTGCAGTGTCTGAAAATGAAGAGAGTCTCTGGGATCCTTGTTATTATATTTATAACTATAATTTAACAACTGTTTTTTCTGTAAAATATGTTCATTTCAGAGACCAGGGCCCACTTGCACAAAGCGATCTTAGCGCTAAGACTATTGTAAGCCTATGTAAAAGTATGGGAGTTACGATCATCTTAGCGCTAAGATTGCTTTGTGCAAGTGGGCCCAGATGTTAATCAAGCTTTCCCAATACGAGCTTACACCATGTACACACTGTGTTGTAAAAATGGAATATTGTTCAATGCAGTGTTAGACCGTGTTTTAATGGCCTACATGGTTACAATGAGTGTCATTATGTCCCCTCGTTTATAATGGCTGAATATTGCTAATAGCAGAGAAAATCCTTCTTGAGAAAATTTGAAAATAGTTTAGTCGACTTTTGGACCGGGTCGGGTCGGGTTATAGGGGACAGGTACCTGGGTAGTAAATTTGGATTCGTCCCAGCCCTAAAATCAGCATAACAGCCTGTGTGTTTAATGGTGTCATTTGTTAGTCACTAAATGACTAATGAGAATGTGGGTTTGTAAGATAATATATTGTACAATGATAAGAGACTAATTGATTAAATTTTCTCTATTGTTTAAGGGGGCGGTCGGGTAGCCTAGTGGTTTAAGCGTTCGCTTGTCACTCCGAGACCAGGGTTCGATTCACGACATGGGTACAATGTATGAAGCCCATTTCTGGTGTCCTCCACCGTGATATTGCTGGAAGATTGCTAAAAGTGGCATAAAACCATACTAACTCACTCAGCTGTTGTTTCAGATGGACGAGAGCATGCAGCCACTGCGCCCCTACGAGAAGCATGACACTCTCAAACAGTTCCTGGACCATGACCGTCATGTCCTGCGTTTCTACTGCTACTGGGATGACAGTGACAACATGTTCGGTGATCCAAGGGAGATGATCCTGCACTACTTCCTGGCTGACGACACAATCGAGATTCGCGAATCCATCCCACCAAACTCTGGCCGTGATGCTGTCCCTGTGTTTGTCCGCCGAGGCAAACTGCCCAAAGATGTCGATTCCCTCAAACAGCCTGGCACTGTCACTGACCGGACAGTTCTCAATGTGTTCGGACCAACTGGACACGGAGGCCGATATATTCTGGACAGCTTGAAGGTTGGTGTGTTATTTGGGTCAGTTTAGATATTGGTGGTGTGCTATGGTTAGTGTTTGTTTGTTTGTTTGTTTGTTGTTTAAAGCCGCACTCAGCAATATACCAGCTATATGACAGCGGTCTGTAAATAATTGAGTCTTGACCAGACAATCCAGTGATTGACATCATGAGCATCCATCTGGGCAATTGGGATACGATGACATGCATCAACCAACTCAGGGAGCCTGACCACCCGATCCAGTTAGTCGCCTCTTACGACAAGCATGGTCTCCTCTTACTGCAAGAATGATTTGCTGAAGACCATTGGACTCGTGGCTGAAGTTGCAGTGTTATTATTGTGTGCTAAACATGTGCATTAACTTTGCCATTTCAGACTGGAGCTGTTCACACTGATTTCTACACGGACACTGACCTGTCAATAGGGGCTGTGTTAAGTGTGTGGGGACGGAAGTTCCTGTTGACGGACTGTGACCAGTTCACGAAGGAGTACTACCAGACCAAGTATGGCATCGGTGAGTCATACACTTGATCCAGTCTCGTTAAAATCACATCTTTTACTCTGAAATGATACCTCTCTGAATGACGATGTGAAAAACTCTCCATAGGAGGTCATCAGGTGAACATTCACATCAGCCAATAAGTCGAGACTTCTAATTCTCTGTACCAGCGAGCGAAGCATTCAGAACAGCTTATCTGATTTCCATGTTTCTAAATGAACATGAAGGGGCTGTTCCCAATGTAAAATTGTAAAACCCACACTATATATGTTGTGGATATTTAATTCACCCTGTTTTTTCGGAGCATCTACATCTATACTCAAAATTTTGAACTATCCGTGGAATATTCCCATATGATTACAATGTAACAAAGCCCATCCTTGCTGTCCGTCACTATTTTTTATGGTTGGAATATTTCTAGAATGGACATTAGCTAGCTAGCTAGCTAGCTCGCTCCCTCCCTCACTCACTCACTCACTCTCGATGAAGGTAGTAGTTCTCCACACCAAGTTTCATTTGTGTTACAGATGAGTTCTCCCCCATCAGCTACAAGCAGAGCGCCAGCCGAGCGGTAAAGAAAACCTTCCCCCCCTTCAATGGGTTCGGCAGTGAGGAGGATTCCCTGTGCTCATGCATGGGCCTGATGCCTAAACCCCCCAAGAGAGACTTCATCAAGTTCATGGAGAAGGATCGTCATGGCCTGGACAGCAACGTCCTTCGCTTCCTGGCCCGCATGGACACCAACAAGCCCATCGACATGGACAGACGGTTCATCATCTCCTACTTCCTCAGTGACGAGAGTGCGCTTGTGTTTGAACCACCCATCAGGAACTCAGGTAACTCTTCTTACATTAGCAGATACTGAACAGTAGATAATTGAACATAATTTCCAGTGTTTAACAAAATACTTCAAATTATTTTTATTTCTGGAAAAGGGAACAGTATTTTCATTAGATGTACACAGAACAGGTGGCATTGGCTTGTGATGACTTCAAATAAAGAGTCACCTGTGTCTAGATTTTGTGGGACTTTTAACAGCAGTGATTTTATTTCTTGTGGGCTATAAACTTTTCAATATGATAAATATCTAAGGGTTTGTGTTAATGCTGACTCTATAAATGAATCTCTTACATTTTGTGATTAAGTAACATATAGCATACTGCATATGGTAATAAAATGTTTTCACCCTTGAGATGAACATTAAGTCCTTAGTATTTAGAAAAGGTTTCTAAACTGAGTCAACACAATCACTAAACATGTCTTCACTGACAGGTTAACAGAATGTGCTTAAATCCTTGTTCACTGTTGAATATGTTTCAGTAGTTGTTTTTTGAATGTTAATGATTTGTATTAAATTCTAATAGTTTAGCATGTTATATTTATATTGCAAAAGTATTTCTGATGATGGTCAAGGGACATTTAGACTGTTTTGTCACGTTTCACAGGCTGATGGAAGGGTGTTATTGGCAATGATATAACCTAGGTGCCGGGTTTAAGTGACAAGAATAATTCATAACAAGTTTTAGAGTTTCTATATATTGAGATTCCTGTTATCTTTAATCTTTCCAACTCACCAGTAAAGGGTGTAACATCTGATAATAATCCAACAATAACCCATTAATTCTGTATTTTTTCATCAGTTAATTAAAATTTGATACTGGGCACACTGTTTTCATCACCTATACTATACCTTTAATTCCATTTATATCTATACTATACCTTTAATAAACATATACCCTTTAGTTTCTGTTTTTCCAGTGTGCCTGATGTCTGTTAACTGTTTCTAGTCTTGTCTTTCAATTGATCACCCAAAGCTCTGCAATAATGTTAGTTGTTCCTTGACGTTTATGAAGTGCTGAAGTGTCAGAAATAATATTATTCAATTTATTATTGCCTTAAGCCTTTTATGTCATTGTTATTCTGATCATGTTTCCTAGAATCTCCACCACAAACAGAAGGAGGTAGGGTGACAATGGTTCTCCTTGCCTACCGCCTCTTTCATTTGCAATATTGATGATAGATGGCCATTTTCAGTGAAATAGGAGCTTGCATTATTTGTTATATATTTATTTGCTAAAGGAAGATCAAAGCCAAATTTTTGCTATACTAGTTAATATTTTTTTAGAGACCGTGACAAATGCTTTTTCAAAGTCCTTTAGGAGTAGTATTTTAGATTATTCTCTTTCTTCATTTCATACATTATAATATTAAATAGTCAAATGTTGTCTCCTATACATCTGTATGGGATAAAACCAGTTTGGTTTTCATGAATAAGAGTCTTTTTTATCCTTATTGTAATCAGGCTTACAAATCATTTTTTATATTCACTAGTCTTACAAATATACCGTAGTGGTAGTCCACATGGTAAAGTCATCAGAGGTTTACTTGCCTTTGACAAGTGGACTTGTTTATTTCCAACCCTGGTAGCACATGTACTTGTATTTTGTATATTGAGATCAAAATTGATATCTGTAACACTTCTTAAGGTATTTTCTAATTTTAGCATACTTACGGTCTGTGCCAAATGTTTGTCAGTCTACTAACTCAAACCTGCCTGTTGGTAACATTTTCAGTAGATTCTAGTGTTATATTATGTAGACTATAGTTAGCAAAGTTTACAAGACCAAACAGAATATTTATTCTGTCTTGTGGCTCAAGTTGCAGACTGAATTTAGGTTTACAAGTTATATCCCCTCTACTTATTGTCAGAGTTCGTTCATTATTCTTGTACACATCTTCCATATATCGATGGATCCAAAGCCATAACTCATTCCAGAAAAACATAAAATATTCTAAATCTAAACTCTAAATAGTCTATCTAATACTGGACTATTATTTTTCATTGATATAAAAGCTATAGCCATTTCCCTAGATTAATATTTTGTTTTCATTCACCCGTTTGATTGTATTTTTCCCATTTTCACTAGATAGCATAGAATATAGTCTTTCTCCATAAGAAATGTTTTACAAAACACGTTTTTCGTCAATATTGAAGTTTAAATAACATCCTCCATGCTATTATTCTCCTCAGGATTAATTCCATCTTTAGCATATTAGTTATAATTTTTTTTCCTTATGTTCCTATTTGTTGCCTAGTAGCCTTTTCCCCTTTCTTGACTGAGAATTTGAGAGGATTCAATGAGTGATACCTCTTTCTGAGGCAAGGGAGTTAACTGACTGTAAAAGTCCAGTTTCAAACCCTTACGGAGCACCTTGATTAAAAACCCCGAAAAGATTTGGAAAACATTTGTCGACGCCCTTTTGACGGTACACATGCTCAGTAAATACTGCAATTGACCGAAATCTGCAAGGGAGTCACCATGTTGTTAATGAACCAAATATTGATTTCACGGTTTTGATTGGTCTATGGAATGGGGATAACTGGACGTTTGTAGTCAGTTAACTCCCCTACCTCGGTAAGATGTGATTCACAGCCTGGCAGTATATCTGTTGACAAAGTCAGATTGGCCACATCTCTGGAGACAATAAGGAAGCCAAGTCCTCTGTCCAGATCTCTCTTTCACAATGTGTTTTATCTACTCGTTTGAGTTAAGCCTCTCCAAATGTCGGACAAATCACAAGTTGTTTACGTTCCTATAGGTTCTAGGTCTACACAGTATTTCTGGTATACCGGTATACTGCATTGCACTTTACAATATGTATTGCATATTTTTTCCGGTATTTTGGGTAAGAAAATATAACAAGTTTCGTTATTATTTGTATTGTTAAATCTACACAGAAATTCATTCACAAATGATTTTTCCCTTCAAAATTAACTGACCAAATTGTGGAAACATGGAAGTGATTACTCTCTCATATCGTTATCTCCCCTGTATCCATGACTGTAGAAACTAGGATCAGCATGTACAATCAGTGTCAATCGCTGTCAGTCACTTTAGCTCCCAATACGTTGCAATACAGATACCTGCACACTACAATTTCCGCCGGTCAATACATACTGCTTTAGTTGTTTAAGTCTTTTGATGGATTCAAAACATACACATCAACACAAATTACTCAAGAATTATTCTTAATATTTTCAATAAAATCAAATAGGAGTTTTTCTATTGTGGGATTTACATTGTTCTGTTTGTACAAGTTGGAAAGTGCAGTAGTGACAGCTGTAATATAGTTTCCTTTACCATCTTTATATATTCATCAATCTCTATTTCAGTGTTCTTGAACAGAATTGCTTCTTTTCTTGAGTTTTATTAATGTCGAGCCATACTACTGTGTAGACCCCACTCATTCCTCATTGTAGATTCCAGTGCCATAGAGATTTGTAAACCCTCATTGCAGCTATGGACAATTACTTTTTAATTATATTCATTATTTTTTTGCTTGTAAGCTTGACCTCTACAGTTTAAAGATGCAATCTTAATCTTACTTGCCATAGTCTAGAATTGATAACAAGCTTACAATGACATGTACATGATGAAGCGATACATCCGATACTGTCCTTTTCTTGTGCTGTAGTGTTAAGAGATAGGTATGAATCTGTTGGGTTCTTGTCATGAACCTAATGTTACAAAATAAAAGGTCAGCTGTCCCTAGATTACAATGCCCCAAGAACTGAAGGATCCCCATAATTTAATTCTAAAAATGATTTCCTTAAAAATGTTTGATGTGGTACGTAAATTTCTTTGTGAAGTTAACTTGGAAAGTGATGGTTTGCTGGTAACCAAATGGTTTGGTATTTAGAAATTTTAGAGTCTATTATTTGCTGGAGTAAACTTTATGCAAATAAGTTTTTAAGTAAACAGATTCTAAAATACAACCACTTTAATAGGTTTGATCATTTTAACCTCATGTTAACATTTATTTCAATCGGTCAATCAGATATAAGGAAAGCGATCAGACAATTCAAGATTATAGAAAAATATCTCCAACTAGAGATATCCAAACATATCCTACTGTGTATCTCCTGTGGAAGACAGTACTGGATTTTATATGTGTGCATGCCAGTGTTCGAAATTAAGCATGAAAGTCAAGAGGTCATGGTCATAACCCTGATGTTGAATGTTAGAGATTGTGGGAATCCCTAGATTCAAATACTATAGCAGCAAACCTCAAGGAACTGAGAGTCCTCTGAATTCTGAATACTTCACGCTGTCCATAAATTCTAATATTCATGTTAATTGTGCCATCATGTAGGAATCATTGGTGGCAAGTTCCTTGAGAGAGGCAGAGTGAAGAAACCCTGTCAGGAGCCCTACAGTACAGAGATATCCAGCTACTACACTGCCCAAGATCTGTATGTTGGAGCTGCTGTGGAGTTCAATAAATTCAAGTTCATCCTCATTGATGCTGATGAATATGCATTCAGATACATGGAGGAGAACCCTAGAGAAGTGAGTACTAGGTTTTAAAATAGGGGATCAACCATTTGATGTTCTTTGAGCGAGGTGAGAATGGTTTTACGCTGCTTTCAGCAATATTCCAGCAATATCACGATGGGGACACCAGAAATGGGCTTCGCACATTGTACCCATGTGGGGAATTGAACCCAGGCTTTTGGTGTGACAAGCGAACGCTTTAACCACTAGGCTACCCCACCTGCCCTGATATTCTCATCTTCCTGAGGCAAGAGAGTTTACAGACTGTAAAAGTCCAGTTTCCACCCTTGCCGAACTAGGCTGGTATTATGGAGTAACATTTTGGCTGGACTAATGAGTCTATGCATAGTCCAATCAAAATCTGTCCACAGATTTCGGTCGATTGCAGGATTTGCAAAGCATGTGCATCACCAACTCAATGTCAACAGATATTTTCCAAATCTTTTCATGTTTTAAATCAAGGTGCTCACATGATTTGATGCATTTGGCGATGTAAGACCCGTTTTATCACAATATAGATCTTGATTATGGATCAGAACATCTTGACTGGGTGCTGATTGGTCCATAGGAGAGGCTTAGAAGGGATGTAACTCGTAAGAGCCACTGGTGGCGCTACAATCGAGCCCAGGAATTCCAGCCTAGTTCGGCAAGGGTGGAAACTGGACTTTTAAAGTCAGTTAACTCTCTTGCCTCGAAATGTGATATTCTTAGAGACAAGAGGACCGTATAGGAGTTTTTAGAAAAATATAATTTGTTCTAGTAAGTTAATAAAATAAGAAACAAAGCATACATCATTAGCCCTATGGCATTATGCAGCCGCTATTGTTAATGGTAATCTCTGTAATCATTTCACGATAATGTGGTTTAATATATATACCTTTCAATTATGTGAGGTATTTTATTTGCGATAGAACCAACATGTAGACGGTCATATCACAGGGGGTGTAATAACCAGACTTGTATTACACCACCTGCGGGGTTGACATGGCTTGTCAATTGCGTTTTGAATGGGCGATCGATATCAGCCTGGGTGGTAAGAAATTAGAGTTACGTCCCTTAGTGTGTCGTCTGCTCGGCTAGCTTTCCCATGACAATGTCTTCCAAACAAGGTGAAAATGTATATGATTCACTTGAAAATAGATATGTGGCTGATATGGAGGTCTCGGGTTGATATTGGGTATGATATGAAAACTGCTATATAATAACCTCTAAATATCATCTCTATATCTGACGAAAACAGCATTTATTTTGCTCTCTCTGGAGGAATCCAAAATGTCTGACATTGGCTTTCATAGTCAGCAAAACTCATGTAATAATCTCCATGTCCCAACTTGTTTGAATATTTGATTGGTATTCTTGAAGTTGGTGAGTAAATAAGAAAACAATTATAGATAACTTCTTCTTATTGCATTTAGAAACATTTTTATTCTCTTTTTCCAAGGTAGAATCTCAATAGATTAATATTTAATATGAATGCATTTATGGTGCCTACCATCCACTGTTGGTCATGGAATTCATGTTATGAAAACTATCAACCCACACTACACTATGAAACTTGAAAAGAGGTCTGTCCAAGTGACATGGACATTAGCATAACATTTAATCTGACGATTATGTATTACATGCATGATATGCTTGTTGCCTATATTAACAAAGATGTATCTGTTTTCAGTTCCCCAAGGCTGATGTGAGAGCCATTAGCCAGAAGCTGTCCAGCAGGATCGGCGAGAACAAGGAGGATATCCAAGCCTTCTTTGCCAGGAACGACTCCAGTGGCAATGGACTAGTGTCATATGAACAGTTCAGTGGTCTCCTGCAACAGATGGACAGCTCGCTGACCGAGCACGAGATTATGACTGTGGCACGGTACTACAGTGAGCAGAGGGCGGAGGATGCCATGGACCAGATGAGACTTGTGGCCATCACACAGGAACAGCTCAGGAAGAGGAACTTTGAAGGGTTTGGGACACTGGTACAGAGCTTCCTGCACACAGACAAGGAAAAGTGAGTGAAAGCATAAAGAACTTCTGTCAAATTGCACATAAGGGATGTGACTATACCAAATGTTCCTCCTTATACTGAGCAGAAAATGGTTCTCTGTAGATGAGGTGTCAATGAGAATGGGTACCTTCTTATGCTTTGTGCCCTGTGGAGATTCTGAGGTAGACTTGATCCCCAGCAACTATGACAATTATAAGAGGCGAGAAATTGGATCGTGTGGACTTGGTGAATTGATCGATTGCGTGTCATCATACCCCGAAGGCATGGATCATTACTCATAATATCAGTCACTGGGTTGTCTGGTCCTGACTAAATTATTTACATGCCACCATCATATAGCAATCCAGCTGAGTGCAATGTCAAACAACAGACAAAACATAAATAAATGAGGCATGTGACTTTATTTAAAATACATGTACTCCTCAAATCACTGAGCATCAAATAGTACCCAGTAGGACGAGATGCTAATATGTATCCAAATCTTCTCGTGCTGGATTGGTAACTTTGGTTGTAACTTCCCCATAGAACTGAGAATAAGTACCACTGATCCATTGATCTGGCTAAAATGTCATGTGATCTGCGCATCACCCTTCTAGTAAGGACTCTGGTCATCATCATTGAACTATACTAAAACACTACATCAAACAGTAAACCATGTTTATTGATTTCAAAATTATTGTTTTGAAGAGGACGATGAGTCCATCTGGCCAGTCATTCTACTTATTTCTGCATGATATTCTGAAAGACAGCCTTAACACGAATGTTTGTTTTTGTAGATGTGGCTTCCTAGATGGAGAGACCATCCGCACAGTATTCCATGCACACCATGTTCCCCTGCCTGATGATCTCCTTCGTGCAGCACTTGCAGCGTAAGTACACCGACAGCCTCGGGGTTAAAATAGGTGCTAGTTGTAATAGGTGACTTAGTGGCCAGACTTGGTGACTTGCTTTACTTATATTCATTGTACCCCTATGGCGTGGATTGTTGTTCATAATATTTATCCCTGTATTATCTGGACCCTGTATTTATAGTTATATATATAGCTGGCATATTATTCAGTGGACATACACCCCCCCAAAAAAAATAATAAAAAAATAAATAAATATATATACAAAATACAAAAACAACAACTATTATTATTGAGATATTATTCAGTGACCTTAAAAAAGTGTGAAAATATGGTCTCAATATACGTGCCTGTGTGCGATATGTTTTGTGACAGTCCCTCACTTAGCATGAATCCAGTTTTCTGCATACGTAGGATAAGGGTTCCACTTATGATTATTATAAGATATTGAAAATCATATTCAAGCAGCAAACAATCAGTGCTTGGAATGATTTTTTTATGACTACATTAAATGCAACAAAACTGTTTCACCAATGACTTATTCTTTGTAGTGCACCAGCCAATGAGAATGGCTTAATCCAGTATGAGGAGTTTGTGAAGCAGATCAACTGGCGTGATTTCCCAGTACCGCCCATGCAGTATCAGCCTGTGTCTGAAGATGCAGAATGGGCAGGCACTGCTGCCAGGAATGCTGTCAATGCCGTCAACTACCAGGCCATGCTTTCAGACATGTATGGTTCTAGTTAATTGTGCACATGCATTCACAGACTCAAGCAGCAATGCTATAACATTATAAAAGGGAAATATCTCAAGATAACTAAACTATGTGGAAATTAACTGACATTTGTATATATAGATATGGAGAGTTGTACAGGAATTTGTCTGAAGTTCATGTAAGTCAATAAAGTGGTGTGTCTCCCAATTGGTTACCAGTAGAGAAATTCAATCACATGATTTTCATTAGAAGAACATTCATTATTCATTCCGGAAACATTTTTCAACGCCAGTTGTACGGATCAAATATCAAGCATAGACATGATTATAGCAGCATTTTTGTGCTGTCGTTATTTGACCACTTAAATCAAATGTTATATGGTATGGAACAAGTTGAAATTCATACCAAGTTGTGAAAGGAGGTTTATATCATAATTTGCCTTTGTTTACATCCTTGTTTTTCATGAACACTTTGTTACAGTATCCTTTAGACGTTTTTATGGCTATTTATGAAATAATGTTTTCATGATTTTTGAGGTCTGTGATATTAAGTTCAAATATATACATGTTTAACCAAAAGATGCAAGATCAGTCAGTACTATAGTTTGGTCAGTGCTAGTGAAATGAATTCAACTTTGCCACTGTCACTATACTCCTTTACACACCAAGCAAACTGTAGTTTCAGTTTCACTGTCTTGTCGAAGTCCTTTCAAGATCGCCGGAGATACATTTTAAAATGGACAGCTTTTCACAGTTTTATTACTGGTACACGTGATATGTCTGAGGACTGGACTTGTGATCTATAAAGATCTGGACATTGAGACACAGCTTTAACATGTATTCACTCACTGCTGATGTAGTAACATGTCCATTGCAAATGTAGTCATCTATTCTTATATGCCTACATTTGTGAAAAGTGTTTTGTAAATACTGACTTATGCTATCCAAATAAAGTTGTGCATAATAGTGAAAATGTCTGTTTTGCCTTTTTTCACCTAACCTTGACAGCGCTGCAAGACATATGTGTTTTCTCTGAAAAGGACCCAAACAATTGTTTGGGAACCATTGTTTGGGAACCATAACTGATTATTTTCTAAATAGCAGGTTAGTGTTTATTTCTTTCAGTGATTTTACACATATCTAGAGGATAAATTTGAGTGAGTAAATGTTTATGCTTTAGTCAGCAATATTATTACTACATTTAATCCTTGATATCTGTAACTTTCATTGGTGCTGACATCTAGTACCTAATATCTAGATTGTGAAACTAGTCATTACAAATACTTTTACCCGTTATATTGAGTGAGTGAGTGAGTGAGTGAGTATGGTTTTACATCGTTTTTAGCAATATTCCAGCAATATCATTAGGGGGGAAACCAGAAATGGGACCCATTATATTGATATAGTTGCATAAATATACACCGATATTCTACAAACATGATGTACATGATATATATATATACTGATTCTGTGAGTCCGTCCAAACAATATACTAGTAGACATGAAGGTGTTTGACACATGCAAACAAAATCTGGGCCTCTCTCCATGAAGCGATCTTACCCCAAACGCAATCGTAACTCCCAAACTTCAACCACAGAACCTTTTAACAAAATTCATGCATATTCATGTTCTTACCAGTGACCATGAACATGCATGAATTTCACGAAAAGGTCCTGTGCTTCAACATATACTTACGACAGTCGTAGTGCTAAGGTTGCTTTGTGGAATTGTGCCCAGGTCTAGATAAATCAGAGGTCAATTAATGCTGAGCAACCATAGATTTGGGTATGATGACGTGCATCAGCAGGGTCAGCCGACAGTTTCTTCTCTTCCCACAACTTCAAATTGCAAGGGGCACGGTTGCCCAGCAGTCGTCTAAAGAGCCACAATTCGCTATGCGAAGAGTTGCGTTCCTTGGGCGCCAGAAACCTGTCATTGTTGGTTTGAATCCCGTTGTTTCTAGGTTTGTTAGCACCACACCTGTGCTTGTGGGTTTCACCAAATTGGTAAGCGTCTGCGACCTGCATCACTTCTGTCTTTCCTCCCACATTAAGCTGACATGCTGTGATATAACTGGATATACTGTTCAAAGCATCGTTAAACCCAAATAATTTTTGTAAATTTTTGTCCTTTCATTCTGCTCAGGGTAAACAATATAAGGTGACTGACATTTTTAAATATTAAATGACTGACATTTAAAATTTAAATATGTTGAAGAAAGCATTTATTGGTATCATGAATACAAAAGAAGAATGAACTTATGAAGTTAATACACCAAATCTTTTACAAATGTGGTTCCTTATGATGCCTTCATAGCTGGCAGCTCAATACATCCTAGATCCCTCATACTTATTGACTGGGAAGTTCTGCTGACTATGTTAACACGATCCTGGAGTAAGAATAATTAGTCTAGATGTATAACTTGTGGTATGCTGATTCATTAAGTCAGTTTGTATGATGTACATAAGCTCTGTCATGTTAATCTATTGCCATTTTCTTAGTCTCCTGGGACAGGGTTGTGTCGTGAATAACCTTTAAGTCTGTCTGCAGCTGGTTCAGGTAACTGTGAATTGTCTGGTTCTCATCCTTCATCATTTGCCTGCAACATACACAGAACAATTATTGTGATGGCAACAAGTATTGTAAACTGAATGGGACTTCGCTGCACATGAGACCGCCTCCGGGGTTTGATCCCCAGCCGTGTCACACCAAAAGACATTTAAAGATCATTAGATCGTACTTGTTGTTACCCTGTCTGGCACTCGGGATTAAAGGGCTAAAACAAGGACTGGTCGGCTCAGAGACAGTTTACCTTGTTTGAGTGGGGTATTCATGTATAACTGTGGCATAATATCTCAGCGTGCTAGCACTATAAATCAGCATCAGTCCGGACTAGTAAAAGCAGCCACGCACGCACATGCATGCATATCACTGAATAAGTGCTATAACCTTGAACGTGACGTTAAACCCCATTTCACCTCACCACTGCACAAGAATACTTTTCTTGATAAGTATCTTTTTCTTGTCAATCAAATAGCTGTATTCTAAGGTTAACAGCTTTAAGAATTGTGAAGCTATGAAGCAATATTAAGGTTAAGATATGAGGTTTAGTAAATGGAAATATACAAAGTCTTGTATTCTTTTTTTGTGTGATATTATTCATTTAACAGTGCCTCAAGAAAATAATAAAATTACATCTTTAAACATGGATGTGTGTTTTTACTGAACATACTTTATCAATATAAAAACTCATCAGATGGTATATGTACAATATAACACAAAAGTATCACTGCTGTAGGGGCTTAACTATGTGACCAAACTTTTTTAAAGTGCCCTTGGCAGGAAAACTGGGAAATAGTCATTTTTTAAAATAAACTGGGATTTTGTTAAAGTTCTTATTATCTCAAATTTGGAGGTTTTTCAATTTTCAGTCAGTGTAATAGTTTAAAACAACATTAAAGCCTTTTCAATCCTCTTTATTGGTGCTTTTAACAGTGTGTCACTTCCACAAAGTCCTGACCTTGGCTGCAGACTTGTGGGATGAATATTGTCCTCTAGATAAATACCTGTTATGGCTTACCAAATATGTTTGCATGTTTCCTCTGGTATTTCCTGTTCCTTGTCATCTGTCTGTGACTTGAGTTGTTCTAGGGCATCAGTGAGTCTCTTCACTTCCTGGTTCCGTTTGTTCACTGTAATGGTCGGCAACATAATATTGAGAAGTGGATGCTATAGTTTCAAAATGTGTTCTAACCTTTTCTCATTATCTCAAATGTTACATATAGCATAATATTCAGTACAGTTTCGTTTTTAAAGATAATTTCAGATTGTTAATATTGTCAAGGGTTTCTGGACACATTATTGATTGTACTTTAGGTTTGGACTGGAGATACAAGGAATGTTAGTTGCAGACTGCATTTTGTTTGATATACAACAGCATCAGAAATTGGCACTAACTCCCTTGAGCAGCATTTAGTCCTGTAGTCCTTGCCAAACTGCCCAATAGTTAAGGTATCATAAGGAATAGCAGAAATTTGCCATTTTTAAGGGTTTTGCTATATGTTATCATTATAAGGACTAGTGGACTAAAAATGTTAGTTTCTGCCGCTGTTCAGTGATACTGTATTAATACAAATAGTACTGCTCCAAGTGAAAACTCTGGATTGACAAATTTCTTAAATTACATGAATGCAGTCCTTTTAAATCTGTACATTTAACATCAATTTTCTGAAAAAGGGTGTCTTTCACTGTACATACAGTCAATGTCATGGTCAGATATTACCTTCAAAAAAAGAAGATGAACTTTTGAAGTTGCATAATTCTCGTTATAGTGTGTGGGGGCAGTGGGGTAGCCCAGTGTTCGAAATACCTGCCTGCCCGACCGTCCGAGACGGGTTGATTTCAACTCGGGCTGCCAGATTTTCAAATCCCCCTGCCCGACGGTTCGGGTTATATTTCATATGTGAAAATATTCTAAATATTTCCCGATGATAAGCATTAATTCACATGTAAAGATGAATGATAAAATGTAACCAAAAAGAAACGTTAGCTTATCCTGAGAAACATATGATTACAGTGGGCCGGCAGGTTTTGGTCAGGGCTGGCAAGTATTTCAGCTAGCCAGTCCTGTGGCCTGGCTGAAATTTTTGGGAGTTTCATACCCTGGGTAGCCTTGTGGTTAAATCGTTAGCTCGTCATGCCAAAGACCCAGGTTCGATTCCCCACATGGGAACAATGTGTGAAGCCCATTTATGGTCTCATCTGCCACGATATTGCCGGAATATTGCAAAAAGGGGTGTAAAACCAAACTCACTCACTCATAATAATGGGAAGGTTATTTCATGATGATCTTTTTTTTGCCTTCTAATTATTGCATAATCATATGAGCAGTCACTAACCAATGGGGCCAGACTCGATTATTTACAGACCGCCGTCATATAGCTGGAATATTGCTGAGAGAGGCATAAAACAACAAACCAACCAATGAACCACATTTCATTCATTATGAGTACCGGTAAATCAGGATTATATGCCTGAGAAACTTACAGTTCTGTGTCAGTTCATCCAATTTCTCTTTGCTAGAAACAAGTACATTATGAAGATTTTCGTCTTTCTATGAGAAAAGTACAAACAATTCTTAAAATAAATTTTACACAAGTGTAAAACTACATTTTCTGGGGCATGTCAGTGTTCAAAAGGTGAAGCAGGAAAGTCATGAGCGCCTTGTCATTACCCTTACACAGACACACACACACAATACTGGAATCAAAGTCTCATAAGAATGTAACTGATTGACATTTGATTGAAAACCTGTATTTATTTTTCTCTGTTGTCTTTAAGCTAGACATCTACTCATGTTGGTTGTCCCGTAGAAAGCATATGACAGCATGCTTATGTCATGCATTTACAAAATGATGTAATTCTTCATACCAGGTACCTGCTTCAGTAAATGTAAGGCCTTCATTTAGAAATCTGCAGCTTATTGTGACAAAGTAATCAACGTGTAAATTTACTGCAGGTCATAAGGACCCATACAAATCTGAAACTGCAAGCCCGACACGAGATCTACCTGCCATGGGCCTAAGGGCTGGCGCTTATTTTGAACACTGGTGTTATTAGAGTTGCATATCTTATAAGATTAGTTAATTTCATGGAATTGTGATGATCACTTATCTCATGGTTAATGCTGAAAGTTTCAAATGAAATTCGTACATCATGTCAAATACTCAAAAAAACCTGCAAGTGTGAATGCACATGATAACTATTTACTTCCTCATAGTTGAAAAATAGTAAGATGACCACTAATAAGATTTGATACCTACATAATGTGCCCTAGCCCTCATCAAATCTTCTGTAAGTTCAGACAATTTGTCTTCAAAGCTGTTGCTGGAAAAAAACAAAAAGATATATAAATATTTTAGTTCACTTCATTTTCTTAAAAGCAATAAATAATGGAAAATGTTTTATCATAGTGGCTTTCATATTTTAGTACCTGTAGGTAAGTTAGACAATGAAAAGGACACCACAAACAAAGGCACGAGTAGCTAAAACAGTCAGTGTACAATTTTACAGTTTAACTGCAGACTTTGGCATCTATCATTTTAACCATGCTACATGCGCCTACCTACATCAAAGTAACAAAGCTTTATTTTTGAAATAACATTATCTGACAAAAAAACTTACATATTTTCTTGTTGTTTAATCTTCTCATTTGCAATGTTGTTATTAATGCCAGCTATTCTATCCCTTCTTCTCTGGTTGGCTTCCTCCAAACTTGAGTTGATGAAGAAATGCAAAGGCATAATAACATAGATTAAAAAAGCATGATAATGGTTATATTTGTCTTTATTTGATTTTATTTATATATTTTTTTGGTCCTTTTTGCTAATTTGTACAAAGAGCAGGAAAAGGGGATGAGGAAACATTCAGTTCCATAAACAATTTCAATATTAATTCTCTTGATATTAATATCACACATTCTGATTTTTCATAACACATTCATTTTCAGAAGAAATATTCTACCTATCTGTTTGTCCTTGTGTCTGTGTAACTTTCAGTTGGGCAACTTTCAATGTCTCTGTAAAGTTAAGATACTGCAATTTAATATCTTAATTCACAAATAATCAAAGAGTGGTTTGTTGATTGTAGCTCTTATTGTCCTTCAATCAGCGTTTTTTATTAGATTTTAGTTGTTATAACTACTGACTATTATTAGTTTAGGATTGCAATTCTACTAGTTTAGCCCTTAGGTTGACTTATATAGAGATTTGAGACTTGAGAGCAAATATATATGTACTTACCAACCATTTTGCGATGCACATCACTGACTTGCATCATCTTGCCTTCAACTTAAATGGAATAAAACAGTAAATATAGCATAAGTCATACACTCTTCCTGCCTCAGTAAAGAACATTACTTTTACAAATCCATGTTTTGATATGAATTTAGAAGTCATTCAACTTTACAGTAAGCATGTTCTTTGATACTAGATACTGTTTGATGTCATCACACCAACAGCAGTGGTTTAAATTAATTGGCAAGGTAGCTAGGGCTGGGATAAGTCCAGATTTACTGCCTGGGTACCTGACCCCCTATTACCTGACCCTCCCCGGATACCCACTGTAGGTCTCAAGAGTTGGGTACAAAATGACCGACTGGGAAATTTTTTAAAGGATCCCTGGCAAAAAGTATTTAGATACACGTATAAGATGATCTGGTCATGAATACACAGAAGTTGACTGAAGCTTTATTTTTACTTAAACATATAAAAGTCAGAAAACATGCATCACGGTGTATAGTCAGAAGGCTATGCTAGCATTAGCGATTTGGTAAGGTAACCATGGAGCTGTAGACCCGTGAAGATCCATGTTAGAATAGGTCTTCAGCAACCAATGCTTGTTGTAAGAGGCGCCCAACAGGATTGGTCAGGCTTGCTGACTTGGTTGATACATGTATCCCAATTGCGTGGATCGATGCTTATGACATCAATCACTGGATTGTTAGGTCCAGACTTGATTATTTACAGACCGCCATCATATAGCTGGAATATTGCTGAGTGTGGCGTTAAACAACAAACAAACAAATATGGTGTTACAGTAGATCTAGTGAATATTTCTCATTAAACAATATATCATGTGACTAACCACGGTTCCGGGTAGTCCTATGGGTACCGAGACCAACTGAGTACCCACCGGAACCAAGTACCCAGTGTCCTGTCCCAGCCCTACTGGTAGCTCTGGGACTCCTGGTATTGCTGCTACATTGTTTGTTCTAGGGACCTCTTTTCATTTTTAACAATAAGGTTATGACAAGTCCCTATGGACTTCATGCATTGTATAGGGGAAGAGTATAGAAAACAGTTTTATTTGAATCATGGGGGACATGTGATACTTGTACAAATATTTACCCCCCCCCCCCCCCCCCCCCCCACGGCCTTCATTTGTACAGGGTGTCGGAAGTGTAAGGGGTTTAACCCCTTCTCAATGTAATGTTTGAAACCATAGGTAGTAAGACCCAGTCAGGGTGAGAGACATCGAAAGAACATGTCTTCCAATGGCGATGTTATTCACCTCTTTCAAGTTCGCATTCACATTGTCTTCTTTTCTCACGACGTTTGTTAAGTTTCTGCTCTAGGCAATTCTTTTCTAAAACAAAATGTATATTCATAAAATAGAAGTATTCGAACCTGTTAGGTATAGGCTTTTTATTCCACCTTATAAAACCATAACTTTATTATTACTCAAATCATTTTCATTACATAAATTTACAATTATCTTAGACAATGATTACAAACCACTCTGCAAATCCTTCAGGCTTATAAGAAGCGAGTCAACTTTGAAATTCGAGGACATTTTCAAATTTAGACTTGCAAAAAAGTGATTAACTGGTAAAATTTTTAAAAATCTCCCTCGAAAACGTTCACACAGCAGACGACATTTCAAGGCCGGAAATTACTGCGACGCCTAGTGTTCCTAGCTCCTCACAGCGGTAACGTGTTCGCGGAGCTCTCTATAATTTGGTATTTTGCGAGTAATCTCCCCTTTAAGAATCCAAGCAACGCGAGATATACCGTTGTTACCCACCCAAATTTGGGTGGGTAACAACGGTATCTCGCGTTGCTTGGGTTCTTAAACGGGAGATTACTCGCAAAACGAACTTTTGTTAAAGAATGATTGCGACTAAAGTGGTATATGTTCACTATTCGAATCAATCAGCGTTAATATGATTGAGCTGTTTCTATTTGGCATTTTAAATATTTTATTAAGTGGGTGAACTCTGTCAAGATGATGAACTTTGAACAACCGAACCAACACCTGACCAACCAGCTGCGTTTCCTAATCAGAAATTAAATCTTTTACTTATTTGACATAGCGCTTCTGCCTCTCCAATCAGCGGGTAGGGTCACAGCTTGCGCACCAGAAACACGTAGAGCGGAATGTGGGTCACGTTGGTTGACATCTTCATAACCCCGCGTCCATTGCAGCATGTCGAAGACGGTGTTTATTCGACCCAAAGCGGTTGGGATTACATTCGGACTTGCGTCAATTATATTAGTTTTCCATATAATTTTAGGTGGTTCAGGTAGGTCAATATTTAATATATTTCCTGATGATAGATTGATATTATACTACAAACCTCAAGCGTTTGTCAACCAGCCACCAAAGCACGTGTAACTTAAATTCCACGTGGGTTTTTGTTGCCATAAACCCTTGAATAAAAGCACGGCGTTTATGTATTTCGCAAGGTCCCGATACCCCGACGATTATTCAAGGCAGGCGTTTATTTATGACAGAAGGGGAGTTTTATATCAAAGCCTTGTGTCTTTTTCTCTGACAAGAACATGTCTGAACAAGAGTATTTTTTTCATTTCCACCGAGCCTGGAAATCACAGGTCGTTTCTCTATCTGACACAGTCAGAAAGCTGACAATTAACAAATAATTCTTTTGAGAGGATCTGAATGTCAATTTTTGTCGCATTCTTCCGATATTATTTTGTACCCATACACAAGAAATGAAATCAATTTATATTTTGATCAACAGCAAATACGTATATTGCTGTAATGTTGCTGACCGCAGCCCTATACAGCAAGCAAGCAAACAAACAAACAAATCAATGACAAATATTTGAAAATGCATTTGATAAACGCATGGATGGAAATCCTCGATCGAGCGTGTAGTAAACAATATACTCCTATTTAATATTCACCTTGAAATAGTTGAACAACACTTTTTTATGTTAATATATCCAAAGCTTCCATGTATTGTTTGGATCTCATGTTTATGAGCGTCCAAGACACCACCGATACCTCTTTACTGACAGCGGGGAGGAGGCTGCGTGTTCCCCCATAGTGGCGGTAGTAGAGACTAACATTTAGTCCCAGAAATCATTTATCTTATTTAAAAATATATATCTACATTATAAAAAAAAAATCCAAATGGAGAACCAGAACAATCCTTAATTACAGGGACTAACCAAATCTGCAAAGCTCTAATTTGTTGGAATTTCTGTAATCTTGTCACTGCCAACCTTCATTCCTGTTTACATGCCACAGCTACCCAGACGGCATATTTCTGACCACTCCCTCTTCCCACGGTATCCCTTCTTCCCCTAGAGTGGCACCAAGACTATTGGTTTTTTTTGGTGCTTTTAGCTCTTTGTATAAAAAATTAGCCATTTCAAATGTTAGTGACTTTCCACTAGTTTAGACAGGTGAGTGGGGGTTCCAGAGGTGTCAGTTGGGGTCACCCACATCACCTGTAAACACCGGTGGACAGAACAAGATTAACTGATAAAAACAAGCCAGAATCACGCTTGTGAGCCCTGCAGATTTACAGACCCTAGGCAATCTAGACTTGCCAAATCATTCTAGACTTGAGTTGGACTCCTTTTATATTTTCTTCTCCAGGGTCTGGGAAACAGACCAGCGGGAGTATTGCATGGGTCATATCACATGATACACAGAAGTAGAGGAAGCAATTGAAAGGGCAGTCCAGTTACTATTGCCGTGGATAAGTTACATGTCATTAGGTCTCCGGTTTCTGGTTCTGTATTTGAATGTGTATGTCACTGTGCAAACCAAAATAAATGCATTTTGTCATGAAATTAAAAAATAGTATTCGATTTAAAAACTTACGATTTTATATTGAAATATAGATTAAACGGCGGTTATCTTTTTCCAGGTGTATATTTTAAACGATATTCGTCCAATCAGCGAAATTCGACCATCCCTTATTTCAAAGGTGACGTTTTCACGCCCATGCCTGACATGCGCAATGCGCGTCTCCAAGGGAAAAGTGTGGATGAAAGACATCGACATGAAAGGCGGACCTCTTACTCTGAAGGTGACACATTGTTTTATTTGAAGGAAGAGACTGCCGATATTTACCGCAGGATGCTTACAGACGCAACACCATTCCAAAAAGTGATCACGGGTTTAAAAAGAAAAGATGTCCCGGACCTTGACCTTGGGGGGTTGGCGGAAGTGCTGTCCAATAGGTCGTCTGCTGTGGAGCTCCAACACCATCTCTATCTGCGGCGTTATGTGCACCGGAAGTTGACGTCACAGATTCCGTTCAAAGAGTTCACGTCAAAAAAATCTGTATGTTGACTGTGTATTTAAGTATTGTCTTTAAAATGTTTTGCGTTTGCATACGGTATAAATCGGATTTACTCAAATTGTCACTTAACCTATTTGTTGGTACCAGTGGTAGTACATTGTTTTATGAATATTAATTCCTTTCCGTGTTATTTGTGTTTCAGGACCAGGAACTAGAAAATATATACTTGAAACGACGCGAAAGGCTAACACGCTTCTGCAAAACGAAACCAAAGGCCAAAGTACTGGTTGGGCGTTTTCATGTTGACCAAAAACGAAAAACTTTGTATTGTGGAACAGCCAAATGTGGTTCAACGTTTTGGCGCCGGATGTTCGACGTCATGACCGGAAATGATCGAGACATTACCTCCCCTTTTGAAATTTCCTATGGTTATGCCGATCCTGTTTTGATTGAGAACATCATACAGAAGTCACAGAACGTAGTTATCGAAATATTTAGAAAATATTTTCGGTTTATGTTTTCTCGAGAACCATATGGCAGGTTGTTTTCGGCATACTTGAATAAGTTTTTTGCGGTTGAAAAACATTACTGGATTTCTGTAGGTCGAGGTATTAAACAGAACGGTTTCAACCAATCGCTTAGAAGCAGAGCGTGTGGGCATGACGTCACATTTGCCGAATTCGTCAAATATGTGATATCTGAATCCAACAACACAAACATTGTAATGGATGAACACTTCACCCCTCAGAACACTCTCTGTGGCTTGTGTAACATTCGATATGACGTCATCGGTACCATGGAAACGTTTACAGATGACACGCAATACATTTTACGAAAGATGTCTTTTTACGGCAAAGAGTTTACCTTCAAGAATTTCGAGGAAGAAATAACTGGAGACTTTATAGCGGACGAAATTACTCAAACATATATATTTCGGGATGACGTCACTTCCTGTATGACGTTTCACGACAGTCTGAAAAGATTATGGCGATTATTCCAAATTTATGGCATCTTGTCTACAAAGGATGAATTTCCATTTAGCAAACGAGAAAGTAGAACGCTGACAATGTTGAACCTGACAGAGACAGTTTTTCAGTACCGCGGTCGTCGTGGTTCCTCTCACAGCCACAATAAACACGACGCCATGTTGCAAGCATACCGAACCATTCCACACGCGGATCTCCGAGCACTGCGCTCACTACATGAGGATGATTTCAACATGTTTGAGTATGAGAGCGAACCGGCAGACATTTTTAGTGTGACAACTTCTGTCAAACAAGATGACTTCGATTATTTTGACATTCTGTGAACTTGTCGTGGGACACAGGTGGCCCAGTCGTCCAAGGCGCCGCAATTCGCCGTGCAGAGTTGTGTCCCTTGGGCACGCCAGAAACCTACGATCGTGGGTCCAATCCAAACCTGGTTCTCCCCAATTATATTTCTAGGTTTGTCAGCACCATACCCGTGCTCGTGGGTTTCACCGAAGTGGTAAACGTCTGAGACCTGCATCACTTCGGGCTTTCCTCCCACAATAAACTGACACACCGTGATATAACTGGAATACTGTTCAAAGCATCATTAAACCCAAATAACTCACTCAATCATACACAAACCATTCAAGGCATCTGCGAACATGTAATGTTCTGATGCACATGAAGCATGAACGTTTGATAGGACTGTGTTTATGGTGTGTTTCATCAAGTAGAGGAAGATGGAAACACAGTGACAATAACATGATATTTGTTTGTTTGTTTGTCGTTTAACGCCGCACTCAGCAATATTCCAGCTATATGACGGCGGTGTGTGAATAATCGAGTCTGGACCAGACAATCCAGTGATTGACACCATGAGCATCAATCCACGCATTTGGGATCGATGACATGTGTCAACCAAGCCAGCGTGATGTAAAACATGGTATTTGATGTAGTGGTGGAGAGAAAATCTAATAATAATACCTATTTTGATTTGTTTGTTTGTTTAACACTACACTGTGCACTATTCCAGCTATATATGACGATGGTCTGTAAATAATCGAGTCTGGACCAGACAATCCGGTATTTGATATTGTTAGCAGCGATCCACGCCATCAAGGTACAATGTCACGCCATCAACAAAGTCACCGAGCCCAGCCGTACATGAAGTCGTCTTTTGCGGCCAGTAAAGGTTGCTTGGGACCAATTCTTAGGGGGCTTGATTCGCTGCGCAGAGTTGCGTCCCTTTGGCGTACCAGAATCCTGTGATCGTAGTTTCGAAACCCAGATTCGCCCCGATTAGGTTCCTAGGTTTATCAGCACCATACCTGTGCTCGTGGGTTTCACCAAAGTGGTAAATGTCTGAGACCTGCATCACATCCGGGCTTTCCTTCCTCATTAGCTGTCACGCCGTGATATAAATGAAATACTGTTAAAAGCAGCGTCAAACTCAATCACTCACTGTATTACCCACAGGGTTAGAAATAACCGAGGTAATAAAATCGTATGTGCTCTAATAATTTCATTTATTATGTACTTCAGTGTGAAAGACTGATTTTTCTCAAGTTGAGAAAAGTGATTTTTTCATTGCAGTGAACATAACACTTTGACGGAACTATTGTCAGACAAGAGTTACCTCCCCTTAAATTGTCTCCCTTTATCGTAAGTGTCCGTACACAAACTGTTGACGTCCTTTTCACGTTAGTTCCACATTGACAAGGCAAAATAGGTGAGGTGAAACTGTGTTTATTGCACTTATATAGCGACGGGCATGCACGTGTGTGTGTGTTTGTGTGTGTATGGCTGCTTGTACTAGTCCGGACTAATGCCGATTTATAGTGCCAGCTCACTGAGATACCATGCCGCAGTTTAACATGAATACCCCACTCAGCCACAGTATACTGACTCCGAGCCGACCAGTCCTTGTTTTAACCTCCTAATGCCGAGCGCCAGACAGGGTAACGACAAGTACCATCTATTAACGTCTTTTGGTATGACGCGGCCCAGGATCGAACCCCGAACCTTCCGCTCTCCGGACTGACGCTTTTCCACTAGACCACAGAGGCGGCCACAAGGCAAAATAATGGAGTTAGTATCACTTCTTGTCGTTTGTTATTCTCTCGAAAATGTTTCGTTATAAACTGTAAATTTCTCAATCGAGATTGTTCGTTTCGCAAAGCGCCATTTTTGTTACTTGACCAGCGTGTATTCTTTCGCTTCCAACAGCGGTCTCCTACATCGGTGACTCATGAAAATATCTCATTCACCCCCGTCACTCGATGAGAGAAACATGACAGTTCACTCGACACATGAAATTTCCTCTATAATTTTAGGTTTACACTGGTTCTTTCATGCTGATTGGCTGAATGGGTAGTCATGTGATCTGATATCTGGAGTTCACACATCTGTGAACGCACAGAAAAGTCCACACGATGTGAATTCTTTTTTTTATGAACTGTGAACTTTTGCTGGAACTATTTTCCGGGGTTTTCGATCGCTGTTCACAAGCAACTCGTTTTTCTATTTTCTTTTTTATCCCTGCATTTATCAGCAATATAATTATTTTAGTATATTGCCTGGTCTTGTAACATTTTATCTGATTTTAAAATAAATCATTGCTTTGGTTCTTGTGTTTGATGTGATCTGTTACATGAAACAAAATGGATTGTCCTTACGGTGATTTGGATATGGAATGGCTATCTATGAATACTAGTAACGCAAGTAGGAAAAGGAAATCTGCAAAATTATTGAGGTGAACAAAATTGAAGCTTACGTCATTTGAATCCTATTGTGACGCAAGGTCGAAATGACGTCACTCTAGAAATGACGTCATAGCTGAAGATTATTTACGTCATTCGACAAATTGTGGTTTTCTAGGACATCGGTGGTGGTCAGTGCATTTTTCCAAAGGGGAGCTCAAAGGGATTACGAAATAATGGCTGATAAAGAAATTATCACGCTCACATGTGTGTCATTCTGCTGTTACGAAACTCGTGTAAAAATTCATTCTTACCCTCGCTCTCGCTCGGGAAATACAACAATACTGACACTCGTAATAATACCAGCTCGTATAATCACTTCATTGTAACGCACTTGTCATCTACACTTCGCCAACGTATAAAGGGCCGACGGAGTAGTGTAGTAGTTGGCGTTGCCGTCGTCACGCCGACTTTTCGGTTTGATTCCATCTCTGTGTACAGTGCCTGTAGCCCACCCTTGCTCTCTGTCGCTGATATTTTGGAAAGAGTTGTGTAAAGCCATAGTCACTCACGTTAACTGTAGCTTCTCCAACCTCGTACTTTGTACCCCGAACATCTTATCGTAATCAATGAACGGCCTACGCCGCGATGACTCTGCACAGTTAACAGCCACAGTGCATAGTAGTCATCCTTTACTATTCTCTCTGGAGGTGTGTGTGTGTGTGTTTGTGTTTGTGTGTGTGTTTGTGTGTGTGTGGTGTGTGTTTGTGTGTGTGTGTGTGTGTGTGTGTGTGTGTGTGTGTGTGTGGTGTGTATTTGTGTGTGTGTGTGGTTGTGTGTGGTGTAGTGTGTGTGTTTGTGTGTGTGTGCGTGCGTTTTGTGTGTGTGTGTATGTGTGTTTGTGTGCCCCTATGCAATTTGTGTGTATGTGCGTTATGTTTAGTGTATGTGCGTTATGTTTACAGTTAACAGCCACAGCGCATAGTAGTCATCCTTTACTATTCTCTCTGGAGGTGTGTGTGTGTGTGTGTGTGTATGTGTGTGGGTGGTGGTGGTGGTGGTGTGGTGTGGTGTGTGTGTGTGTGTGTGTGTGTGTGTGTGTGTGTGTGTGTGTGTGTGTGTGTGTGTGTGTGTGTTTGTGTGTGTGTTTGTGTGTGTGTTTGTGTGTGTGTTTTTGTGTTTTGTGTGTGTGTGTGTGTGTGTGTGTGTGTGTGTGTGTGTGTGTGTGTGTGTGTGTGTGTGTGTGCGCGCGCGCACAGGTTTTTCTCTTAGTGAAAATAAATCATGGGCAATTTGTCACTATATGTCATATGGTTACTTTCAAAGGCAATTCATACTACACACGACTTATTTGTACACAGTGTCAAGGTTACACGAATAACGGCATTATTTTTACAGTGTCATGGTTACATGAATAACGGCATTATTTTTACACAGTGTCATGGTTACATGAATAACGGCATTATTTTTTACACAGTGTCATGGTTACATGAATTACGGCATTATTTTACACAGTATCATGGTTGCATGAATAACGGCATTATTTTTACACAGTGTCAAGATTACATGAATAACGGCATTATTTTTACACAGTGTCATGGTTACATGAATAACAGCATTATTTTACACAGTATCATGGTTACATGGATAACGGCATTATTTTTACAGTGTCATGGTTACATGAATAACGACATTATTTCTTACACAGTGTCATGGTGACATGAATAACGACATTATTTTTACACAGTGTCATTGTTGCATGAATAACGGCATTATTTTTACAGTGTCAAGGTTACGTGAATAACGGCATTATTTTTACACAGTGTCATTGTTACATGAATAACGGCATTGTTTTACACAGTGTCATGGTAACATGAATAACGGCATTACTTTTACACAGTGTCATGGTAACATGAATAACGGCATTATGTTCACACATGTTCACTTGTCACTAAACACATGCCCACCCGTGTATAGGAAAGATTCAGGGCCTTCACTCCTTGAGACTATATGATCCTTCTTATTTATGCTATTTCAATAATTGTGTCAATTAAAATGTCTTCTTATATTATTTCGGTTTCTTTCAAAACTTTTTACAATACAATATTTTACAATATTCTGAAACTGTTCTGAAATATGCTCCAGTTAGCAATGTAAAACCCATTCATAACATCCCGTGAGATAACAGTAAGCAGTGAAAGAACTGATAACCTCAGCATCCCCAAACACGCTGGTTTATCGCGGGAGATTATCACAACGCGTGACGCAGTGACCAACTTGTTTTGTCTCTTTGACTACAGTAAGCGCGTCACGTATCTGATGATACACTGTCCCACTTTTCTCGGCCATCTGCTGGATTACCAGTTACTCAAAGAACAAACATACTCGTCTCTGAAACAAGCATGGAAGAGAAGGAGACAGGAAGATGTCACAATTTGCCACGTGGAGGAGTTCTTACCATTTTTGGAAGCATCTGTATTGTGTTTTGCATGGGGAATGGATATACCTTCGGTAAGGTGGATTTAACCATAATATTTCTTCGTCTTGTAGTTCAAAAGTTGGTGTAAATGATACCGAGTGGTCTAGTTTTACGCCGCTTTGAATAGTACGTTTTTGGTGAAATTGTCATACAGCTATACATTTTATGTATATATATTTACAATGTGCATACATATTTCCACTTATAAGCATAAAGAAATATAAAGTTAAAAGTTAAATTATTTAAGTAAAACCTTATCGTCTTGCACAGTTTGCGCACTATTAAGTACTATTATATAATTATGTGTCAAAACTTGGCCTGATTGACACCCCAAGCGACATGCCACCTGCGGCTTCACTGTAGATTAGTTAAGCATCAATGTCAATCAAGCAAAGTCAATTTATTCATGTTCATCCAAATGAGTGAGTGAGTATGGTTTTACGCCGCTTTTAGCAATATTCCAGCAATATTCCAGAAATGGGCTTCACACATTGTACCCATGTCGGGAATCGAACCCGGGTCTTCGGCGTGACGAGCGAACGCTTAAACCACTAGGCTACCCGACCGCCCCTCATCCAAATGAAAGTGTATCCTATTCATTGTACATATTGTCCAATCAGAATGTACTACGTACTTCTGTAAATGCATTCACTATCATGTATAAAACTATATACACTGTAATTGTACTACCAAGTGAGTGAGTGAGTGAGTGAGTGAGTGTGGTTTTACACCGCCTTTAGCAATATTCCAGCAATATCACGGCAGGGGACACTAGAAATGGCCTTCACACATTGCACCCATGTGGTGAATCGAACCCGGGTCTTCGGCGTGACGAGCGAACTCTTCAACCACTAGGCTACCCGACCGCCCCTTGTACTTGTAAGACAGAAGATACGGCCTGAGTGGCAGTCGACTTATAGGACTCGGGACCCACTGTCACGCTCTTGGTCGACGCCTACTTTTCTTTCTTTGTTTGTTGTTTGACTCCGCACTCAGCAATATTCCAGCTATATGACGGCGGTCTGTAGATAATCGAGTCTGGACCAGACAATCCTGTGTTTGATGTCATGGGCATCGATCCACGCAATTTGGATACGATGACATGCATCAACCAAGTCAGCGAGCCTGACCATCTGATCCCGTCAGTCGCCTCTTACGACAAGCATAGTCGCCTTTTACGGCAAGCATGGGTTGCTGAAGACCTATTCTACCCCGGATCTCCACGGGTGTCGACGCTTACCACTCTCAGTGTAATGAAGACACGGTGTACAGGAACACTTGATACTCATATGCGATCGCCTATCGCCAGTTAGGGGCGGTCGGATAGCCTAGTGGTTAAAGCGTTCGTTCGTCACGCCGAAGATCCGGGTTCGATTCCCGACATGGGTACAATGTGTGAAGCCCATTTCTGGTGTCCCCCGCCGTGATATTGCTGGAATATTGCTAAAAGCGGCGTAAAACCATACTCACTCACTATCGCCAGTTAGGTTACTGTAACGCACCAAAAAGTAACGGGTATTCGCCATCGATACACCCATAGGAAACAATACGTCAGTTGGTGACCTGGTCTCACCAAGAAGTAACAGTACCACTGGTATTTTTCGTCCATCTGACGGTATTGCCATGTAGTCAGGGAAATGATTTCTTATTCACCCAGGTTTCATCAAGGTCAATGATCTGGATGCGCCGACTCCGATTGTCATGAATGGTGCGGAGATAGTGTGACCTCATAAAACAGGATGGGATATCTTCCCCTGAAAACGGCAAGGTCATAAACCATCAAGCAGACTTATTGTGTTTTCAACTTCCTCCCGAATCCTACGACAAGTCTGGGTTACCTTCTGCTCATTAAACGTTTACACTGTACGACAAATCACCACTGTATCAAAGCTGTCTGATATCCTTTTACGTCCTGGATGTTTTTGAGACGACCCCTACCTTTGTTTTATTTATCATACCGTAGACTTGTTTGTATGACGGCCACAGACATTGGTCAGTTCAGTGATACACCCTATGTAAACTGATAAACGTTGCCTCTATCTCTCTCAAGTATAAAGAACGTGTATACATTTCCTACTACATAATCCATGTCGTGTACCTTGGCTATGGCGATACATGCATCATGGGAGCAGTGTTGACAAAACAAATGCAGCGTCATTTTGTTTATTTCTAAGATGCACATCTAGAATCTAATATAATTGACTTGATGAAGACTACATTATTATTGTAACGGAGTCACAAGCGCACATTTCTATGTCCGTTTCAGACTTCCCTCACTGGGCTTAAAGCTGAATTTGCTTAAATCGAAATTTGCTCTTGTAAAATTGCCGATAGAACTCCTTGTGACTGAAATACTTCAAACCACAGGTAGGTAGATCGGTAGTTACTTGTTATTTTAAAAGCAACAGTCTGTGAAACTTTCTATCTTGCTTTAATGGGCAAAAAATATTTCTTTAGCATTTTCGTTAGTACTTTAGCGAAGCTTACTTACTTCCTTAGTGAGTTTCACTGTCCACTCAGACACTAACCTGTTGGGAGATTTTTCTAACCAGATAGTAAATACTTGCTAATTAGACCAGTACATGTGGAGTAGAGTATCGTAGATCAGTTTACTAAGATGTAGGGAGAATCTAAGTAGAGATTACTATCCATCTTTCAAAGAATCTTTAGAAAGAAACTGCAAAATGCTCCAAATAACTGCTCACTGACCGAAATAATGTTTAGTTACCCAGTTATTCAGCGAATTTCACTGTCCACTCAGACACACTTGATTTTACTGACCAGTTAGTAAATATTTGCTAATTAGACTGGTATAGGTAGATCGTAGACTAGTGCAGATAACTAATCAGTTAGTAGAGATTACTGTCCATCTTTCAAAACATCTTCTTCTCATAATTTACTAACTGCAATAGTATATTTACTGAGCTTATGTGTTTTACTACAATTTAATAAAGGCTCGTGTCGTGGTCATTTTGCGATCCCTGTTGACAGCTGAGGAGATACAATTTGAAAAAAAACCCCAAGCAAATAACAAACAATACAGGTGAGAGATAACGTGCAATGATTTTCAAGGGCATTTTTAGTTTATTTACACAACTCTACGTAGACGTAATTGACAGGTAAAATAAAATGAAGAAATATGATTTTATTTTGGCAAACTTTGCAAACCTTCATTTGAGTACATGCTGTAAGGTCATGAAAAAAAATGCATATACAACATTACAAGGACAATATGTACCAAACACTGACTCATAATCGTCTTCTTGTCTCAAAAGCAAGAGCCTGACACCGAGGAAGGTGGAAGTGTGGAATGTCAGGTGGTGTACACGCCCTAAATGAATTAAAACACATTTGTGATGTCATTCTCTCCATTCCGAGTCACGACTTTATTTCCCTATTTAAAACCTACTTTCACACTTTGACGTACCATCTTGCGGAAAATATTTGAAAAATAAACCAGAACACTTTATAGACTGTATTTATTCTGTGTGAGTCAATCTTGCGTGATGTTCGAGGAATACATTCTCTGCTGCTGTTGCACGTGCACCAAGCTCTGTCGCGAGCTGATATTTACAATGAATGGTACAGGGCCATCAAGAGTTCGTTGGGTACGAACATAGCTTTTCAGGAATTGAGAGTTCCTCCACGGAGGATACCCGGATTCTCCACCAACTGTTACATATGCCACGTACGTATCCTAAGAATCGTTAAGGAAGTAATGGCGTAACAAGGTCGCAGACTGACCACATGGGATCGAACATAAGTCTTATTGTGTGAAGAGCCATTTATTACCCGACATCTTTTATGTGTGATGTCAGTGCGCCAACTCTGCTAGAGAATAAGGTTTTACCTAAATGAACTTCTAACTTTATATTTCTCTATTGTTATAAGTTATGGAATTTTATCATCCAAAACTGGCTCCCACAGGAGATATCGCTTGGATGAGATCAAGCGATATCTACACTGTAGATATCGCTGCAATGAAATTGCATCACAATGCTTTGCAGACCATTGTGACGTCACTGTTACATGATGTCACAATCAAATGACATCACTAATGGCTCTGAAAAAGTTTGAAGAATGATGTTGGATGATAAATAAAATCTCACCTTGTGTCTTTTGATATCAAATATATCAACACTCGTTGATATATTTCATATCAAAAGACACGAGGGTGAGATTCTCTATATGTGTGCACATTGTATATAGAATCAAGAATTTTATTGTACAGAACACCCTCATAGGGCAGGTTACAAACTATCTACATATGGGAATAAATATAATTATAGACATGAAACGTAGGTATACATATAATGTACATTATACTTAGATATATTACATATATTTGCAATCACAGTACGTAAAGATTTATATATATCATAAGGTGGCTGGCAGGATACTGTACTGATAAGCCACAGTAATTGTATTAAAGATTTAACGTCATATCTAAACGTTTTTTTTAATAATCATATACACATGTCAGAGATAATTCTTGCAACAGATTTTGCTTTTCTTCAGAACAGGAGTTCAATATACTTGCAAACATTTTGTTATCCTTTTGGCAGTTTAATAAACCTAGTGTAGGAAGAAGTAGCTATATAGCTGTCGTTCGTAACTATAATTCGGAAGGTACAAAAGAAAGTGTTTTTTATCTTCTACCTTGTTTTGTAAGGAAGAGAATTTATGGATGTCAACTTCTTTATTGTGAGGAACACAACGTTTCGGAGTACATGCTTACTCATTCATCAGGTGTTTTGGTTACATATCTTGCATATTCTCTGGTCGACAAGGCCTGTTAATGTATCTGCCTCTTTCAGTCTCCAGATTATGGCAACTGAGCCTTAATGTGGTTAGAGCTAATCCACGATCTTCACATTTTACTGCTGAAACATACTTCTTAAGTTCAAATTTATCTTTAATAAGTCCTAAATGTCTAAGTTTGTGGGAGCTGTTAGTGTTTACATGGTCACTTTCTATGAGAAAGATATTTCAAAATTTGGTTTGAAGAGCTTCATGGAATTTTGGGTAAGAGGCATTTTCACTTTTGGATTTGGGAAATACGTGTGCCATCACATGTTTAATAGACGTCCAGGATATTTTTGGTGAGGCCAAAAGAATATCCTCCTAGTACTCAGGTTGGTTGGTTTGTTGTTTTACGCCGCAGTCAGCAATATTCCAGCTATATGACGGCGGTCTGTAAATAATCGAGTCTGGACTAGACAATCCAGTTATTGATATCATGAGCATCGATCCACGCATTTGGGATCGATGACATGCTTCAACCAAGTCAGCGAGCCTGACCATCCGATCCCGTTAGTCGCCTTTTACGACAAGCATAGTCACCTTTTACGGCAGGCGTGAGTTGCTGAAGACCTATTCTACCCGGGATCTTCACTGGTCTGGTATTCGGGTATATATATCTAACATACCTATCAATGATATGAGGCATTTTGCTTGTGTGATAGAGCCAACATGGAGACGGTCATATCACAGGGAGTATAATAACCAGACCAGTATTACACTGGGCTGATATGGCTTGTCAATGCACTTTGAATGGGCAATCAGCCCGAGTGGAGAAATGAGAGTTACGTCCCCTTGGTGCGTCGTCTGCTCGTCTGCTCAGCTCGCTTTCCCGTGACAATGTCTTCCAAACAAGGTGAAAATGTTTTGCATTCACTTGCAAATAGATCTATTTACAGTTTTATGTGATACTGTAAGGTAAAAAGGTTCTTATATGGCAGTCTTTTTATAGCATACCACATATCAACCCTCGACCCCAATATATGGAATATGATATGAAAAATGCTATATAATAACCTTTAAATATCATAGAATGTCAGCTAACTGTAGGAGCTCTGAACAGCGTATTCCGGCGTCTCTTAAACCCCGTTCACATGCACCTAAAAAAATAATATGTGTGTATATTTGCATAATGGGGGTCAATATACACACGTGGGTATACTTGTCTTGTGAACGCGTTTTCCCATGTGTGTATATTTACACCAGGAGCAAATATGCACCGTGTCTGGAGCAGGTTCAAGTGTAAATTTGTACTGTACATTTTATATTGTCATGTTAACGTTTGTGACAACGCCAGGGGATGATGTAATTAATATATCTGTTGATTTGCAAACAGCAAACAAATTGGCAAAAGTTCTGTATTTTCAATTTGACGCTATTCAGTATACAGAAATGACAACTTTTCTGCCGACATCCACAACTGGGCGGGCACTGGTCATCTGGTTTGTTCTGTGACCTTTCCATATTTGTAAAAGTGGGTCAGTGACATTCATGTTGATTGCAGTAAATGTTTCAAACCCGATATTGTTTTTTCTTTTTATTTGATAAAAACTTCCATAAATTTTAGCTATAATAACGGTAACGCTACTTTTTGGTTTTTCCTTCGTCGGGCAGTTAATGGAAAACCTCAGGCTTCTGCAAATGATAATGCCCTGAAAAATAGCGTTACCCTTATATTATTTAAAATTTTGCTAAAACCCTCGGACTGTTCGAATGTCCTCGTCAGTTAAAGGCAGACCTCGGGCGTCTGCAAATGATAATGCTCTGAAAAATAACGTTACCCTTATATTATAGTTAAAATGAATAGAATTATCATAAACCGCCCGCTTGTTATCAGAAATGAGCGGGCCACTGTAACTCGATAATGCCCTCCAATTATATGACGACGGGTCATAACGCGTTGTTAGGTGACGTCATATTGATGTTCAATAGTGACGTTATCTGTTTTGTTCTTTGACGTTTCCATACTTGTAAAAGTGCGTCAGTGACATTCGTTGTGTGGTAATTGCAATAAATGTTTCAAAACCGATATTGTTGTTTATTTTTATTTGATAACACATGCTATCCATTTTAGCTATAATAACGGTAACGCTATTTTTCAGGGCATTATCATGTGCAGAAGCCCGAGGTCTTCCATTAACTGCCCGACGAAGGAGGGCAGTTGAAAAGAGCGAGTCGTTAGCGTCACGTTTCTTGGTTATGACATAATCCTATATTATGCCGAGCCAGATACTATGATTTATAAGCGACTGCCTCCTCGGCCGTGAGCGCCCGCCCAGAGAGCGGAAGATCCGGGGTTCGATCCCCCGCCGCGTCATACCAAGAGACATTAAAAGATGGTACTTGTTGTTACCCTACCTGGCGCTCGGCATAAGGAGCTAAACCAAGGACTGGTCGGGTCAGAGTCAGTATACTGTGTCTGAGTGGGTATCCATGTTAATCTATAACATGGTATCTCAGTGGGCTAGCACGTCGCAAAAAGTGCAATAATCTTAACCTCATTTCACCTCACTTATTCTCTGAAACCTATTGCAGGTAATTTCAACCCATACATCACCTCCTACCTGCGGAACAGAAGCGCCTCGACTGACGTGGCGTATGCCGACTCTGTGTGGATCTCAACCTCCAACACCATCGTCTACGGTCTGACCATGCCGATACTCACTTTACTGGAGCGGTGGCTGTCTGCGCGGGGGTGCATCATCGTAGGAGGTATCATTTACAGGTGAACAGGGTACTCAGACATTTTAAGACCAGTTTAAAATAGGTCTTCAGCAACCAATTCTTGCCGTAAAAGGCGACTATGCTTGTCGTAAGGGGCGACTAAAGGGATCGGGTGGTCAGGCTCGCTGACTTGGTTGATGCATGTCATCGTATCCTAATCGCGTTGATCGATGCACATGATGTCAATCACTGGATTGTCTGGTCCAGACTCGATTATCTACAGACCGCCGTGATATAGCTGGAATATTGCTAAGTGCAGCGTTAAACAACAAACAAACAGTTGTTTTAAACTGATATCGCTAAATAGATGACACAAAAATGTGAAAGTGTAACATTCCTAAATCATATGTCAAATATTTTCTGCATGCCAAGAGGATATTTAAGGGGTGAACATTGTGAACAATTTTGAAGTTTAACATACCACTGCAACATACTTTAATGTGAGTGATTTAGGTTTAACTCAGCTTTTAACAACATTCTATAACAGCGTGTCAGCATTACCCAGGTGGTAGTCATAACGTATAATAATTCTGTCGGAATCAGTAGAACTGAGTGTTTTCCAAAACCGCAAAGTTTCAATTCGCTGGATTGTCGGAGATGATAACCAACCCATGTCACCACGGACGGCGGAGTTAGCAGTCTTGCAGCCCACACCTAGATGGAATCGGCAAACTCGGCATTGAACGTTGTCGCAGATCCATATGACAGAATGGGTTGGGCAGGATTACCATATAAGGTGATAAATACGTCATTAGCCATTCACCCGACTGCCTTGATGTTCATGATTAAGACGCCAAATGCCCTGTTGGCCGACTGTTCTTTCGCTGTAAAGTTCAAGTCTCTATTTTCGTGGAACCATAATCCTAGATATCTGTAAGCTTTAGACTACTTGATGACGGCATTTCCAAAGCTGAAGACTATATCAGAGTTCTTGAGATTTACTGGATTTACACATCGTGGCCATTACTATTCTCCGTCCGGAACATCCCCTTTACACTCGATTTCGAATGACAGAAGTTAGATTTGCTGCTCGCTCTGAGAATTTGGAAGTCTCCACGCTGGTTGTCAGTTGCGATTTACAGATTTTACACGACTATGATCTTTAGCTATAAAACTCACTCACTCACTCACTTGGCTTGCAATAGTATTTCAGTGGCATCAACCTACTTCAGCATCAACTACAGCTACATCACTGTCGCCGCATCCTACGGCGCCATCGGGGCAGGGAAGGCGCTTGCATACCCCATTACAACCAAACTGGCATTCAGAGTAGGTGATTATACACTGTACTTGTGTGTTTACAATGTACACACATACAACGCATGCATAGGTCTAAAGGTTTAAACGAGTATGGGACAATGACCGTGTTTAGGTTTGTGTTTAGGATCTTAACACATTTCAGACAGTGAAAGCACGCTTCCCTACATCCATTCTCCTGGGGAAACCCGGGTTAGACATGAGCGCACCACCTACTGATTGTCGTAAAGGCGACAAAACTCGACCCCCGAGGAGATTCGGGTTAGAACCTGCTTGGTCCAGACTCGAATATTTACAGAGTTTTGTCATAGAGCTGGAATATGCTGAGTGCGGCGTTAAACAAACAAACAAACAAACAAACAAACTTTACAAAATTAGATCGAATGGTCAGGATCATTCTCTCAGTTGCTGTTTTTTCAGCAAACTTTTAATTATGGTTCAAAGTTAATTATGTACAGCCACCGGAATTCACTGGATATTGATAACTACGGCGAAAGAAAACAAACAATTACCATATATTCACCTAACAACTAGTTCGCACTAGACCTGCGCATTGCCATCCTATTGGTTACAGTGTTGGCTAGTCCCGCAGAGGACCCGTTTTTGACTCCCTACAAGGGTACTATGTGTGTCCAGTGGCCTAAAAGAGGCGTAAAACTCCATGTGTCCAGTCAGCCGCTCACTCCATGTGTTATTTTTCAGTGGTTTCCGAACCGGAAGGGTTTGATCTGCGGGATCCTGGAAGGAGGGTACGGCGGCAGTGGCTTCATCCTCAACCAAATCGTCACTGGCTTCATAAACCCCGAGAACCTCTCCCCTGATCAGGAAGTAGGGGACAACGAGTGAGGAGCAGATTGCCCATTGAACAGTACCTTGTCTCTCTTTGATAAGAGATTATAGTCCAACAGTTCAGCTTAGCAATATTCATAATAGTTGTGCGACTATGCTTGTCGTGAGAGTCCCGACTAACGGGATCGGGTGGTCAGGCTCGCTGACTTGGTTGATGCATGTCATCGTATCCCAATTGCATGGATCGATGATCACGATATCAATCACTGGATTGTCTGGTCCAGACTCTATTATTTGCAGACTGGTTGGAATATTGCTGGGTGCGGCGTTAAACAACAAACAAACAAACAAACAAATCATAATGTTTGTATTTTGAGTGTCCTTCCATTCATGCACACATTATTACACGCACGTAATCATAGCAAAAGTGTAACTATCAACATCTGTTGAAGTGGTGCTTAATCAGCAGGTGTATATGGTATGCTTACTTAAGAAATAAGGACGAGTGCGAGTTGTTTATTTACGATAAACAACGTTTATTTCGTATATAATATATCAACAAAATGTACAGCCTCTTTAAGGATGATAATAAAATGAACAAGCTTTAAAAATATTTTCCCTTATTTCAATAATGATGACTCCCTGAATACAATCCGACCTCGGCAATGTCGGACAAGTCCATTTTTATGAAATAGTATAAAAATCGAATGTATTCCACTACCTTGTTCAGAATACGTACTAGCATGATCACACTAGCCATCAATGGACTCTTGCTGGAATATATTGAGAAAGTCAGTTTCCTGTAACTGTACAGCTCTACCGTCTTTGCAAACATATTTTTAGTAGGTCCAACTTATTATTACCTAAGTCCATTATATAAGTGTAAACACAAGAAATAGTTTCAATATTCGTAATTGTTATGTAATAGTTTACAAAAGAAACGCGGGGCACGGGTGGCTCAGTCGTCTAAGGCGCCGCGATTCGCTGTGCAGAGTTGCGTCCCTTGGGCACGCCCGAACCTATGATTGTGGGTTCGAATCCCGGTTCGCCCCGATTATGTTTCTAGGTTTGTCAGCACCATACCCGTGCTGGTGGGTTTCACCGAATTGTTAAGCGTCTGAGACCTGCATCACTTCGGGATATCCTCTTACATTAAGCTGACACACCGCGATATAACTGGAATACTGTTAAAAGCGGCGTTAAACGCAAATCACTCATTGCAACAGAAACGAATCGGAGAGTCAGGTTGATGTTCAGTGATCCATTCATATACTTTCATACACCTACTTTGCCTTTTACGCCCAATGGAATCTGTTTCGGGACATAATCGAGACTGGTTCTTCTCTGGCTTTGGCGTTTTATATTTACTATAATACATTCCTGAACACCCAGCGAATCTTACAATAAGCCTGACTCTCATTTGCTTGTGTCCAGATACTTCACCCAGGCGATTCTTCTGGACAAGGTGCCGTACACGTACTTGCTGCTTGGAGGGATGTACACCGTGGTCTTCGCCATAGGCATCTTATTAATGAGGGAACCGCCTGATGGCTCGACCCAAGTGAGTTATGGGTCTATATATTTTTTTGACGTTTACATGATATACGGCTTTTCTATTGGAAGAGAGGCCGGTCACATGACTGCAAAACTGACGTTCATAAGCGTATGAACGACACAATTTGACGTTTATACTTTTATTTACGAGACTGTATTCTTGAAATGACGTAAAAACTGACGAGGAATACCCTGGAAGTTCCCTAGCACGAATACCTACAATAGCGTTCTTTCTGGTCATTTAGACCCTTTAATCTTGAACGTTTTTTGTTTTGTTTTTTGCACACACTGAGAAACGTTAGAGTTTGTTTGCATGATCGTTCACGAATATCCTCGCTGCGACCCATCCCAGAGAACAAAACGTACAGATGCACATCCACTATCGTAGTATCGATTCGATCCGTATCCACAGCGACAGTGACAATCTACAGCAATCTATCAATTTTGTCTCTTTTTGACCCATCTTTATGATCACCTTTCAATGATCGGCCAACTGATGTATGACGACTAACACATGTAACCGCCACAGGTTGATCAACAAGTTCGGAAATCTCTCCCCGTCACGTATATCGTGTTTGCCATTTTGACGTCTTGTACTTGATGTAAAATGTATTACGACGCGCTGTCATTGTGACTGTGTTTCTGAGGTAGTTCTTAACAGACCTTTTCCACCCAATGATGATATTATTCGAATACAACAGATGTTCCTGTAAAGCAATTTGAGAACACAAACGCTCATGTCACCTCTCTTTTTGGGGAACTATTTTTTCCGAGATAGTGAGTGAGTGAGTTGGGTTTAACGCCGCTTTTAACAGTATTCCAGTTATATCACGGCGTGTCAGCTTAATGTGGGAGGAAAGCCCGAAGTGATGCAGGTCTCAGACGTTTACCACTTCGGTGAAACCCACGAGCACGGGTACGGTGCTGACAAACCTAGAAACATAATCGGGGCGAACCAGGATTCGAACCCACAACAATAGGTTTCTGGTGTGCCCAAGGGACGCAACTCTGCACAGCGAATCGCGGCGCCTTAGACGACTGGGCCACCCGTGCCCCCTATTCCGAGATAAGCTGGTTGATGTATGACTGTAAGTGTAAAAATGATGTATAAAATAGTGTCATAAAATTTATAAGAATTGACTTTTGAAGTTGTGTGTGTTAGAGTATGAACCTTCATAGAGTTAGGGCCAACCATGAAATGTTAGTACCAGACGCTATCTTGTGTTCTAGCAGACGAGTCAATATTCATCACGTGACAGCTCAATATTGATCACGTGACGAGTCAATATTCGAGATCAGTGTCAGTCACATGGTTTGGGGGTCTACATTGAAATGTATTATTTCATCACGTGGTACCGATTAACCAATTGGAATTGCAAGGTTCTTAATAAACGTAAACAAGAAACACTCTTGTCCATCGACAGTGATACATATCTTATGTGGAACAGCCCTCCAGATGTCGCTAGTCATGTAGGTATAATGTAGTTATGTCAAAGCCCCACGAAGTGCCACTTGTCACATTGTCCTATTTTCGACCACAGGAAATGCCAGTGCAATACAACAATGACGACGAAGGTGGCGGCACAGTTGCTGTTTCAACGATCAGTCAAAAAGACATGTCCGCTGGTGTTAATATTAAGTTGGAACCCACAAGTCAGACTCACACTCCTAGGTAAGCTGCCCCATTCCCCACTCCAACCCACCCACATCACCTACCCACATGTATATACTACTCAAATGAAGTTGAAGAACACCTTCTTCCTTCATATTACTGTACTTAATCCGTCAGGCCATGGAAATGAAAGATGCGTGTGTTTCTCAACACAATGGACTTCTTTGAGTAGTATACAATTCAATGCAAAGATATTACAACAGTAAATTATATGAGGGTATGCTCTAAGAGAAATAACACATCTACCATATTGTTTCGGAAATTATTCGCATTCATATAACGTGTTTTATGGTAGACATGTGGTGGCCATTTCAAAATTTAACGCATCAGTGACAAAAATGAGATCTGACGCAATTTCCCATGTTGATTTGTATCATATATTTCCATGACCCCGGTGGGGATACGCTTACCTTTTCGCGAACACCTGGTATCATCACTAATTGATAGATGAGGCATACGTATGTGTTTTTGAATCACATTCAAATAGTGATGATACCAGGTGCCAGTCCCGTGAACACCTGGTGGCAAGACTATTTGATAGTGATTCATAAGCACGGGCTCATGATATAGTCGGAATCGTACAGGGGACACATACATATGTTTCTTTACAGTCCCTGCTGCATTCCGCACGCCCCCCCCCCCCCCCCCCCCAAAAAAAAAAAGAAAGAAAAAAAAAAGATAAAAAAGAGAGAAAAAAAAAAGAAAGAAAGAAAAGAAAAAACATTTAGATAACTCTGCACACAAATCTGCAAATTTTAAAGCTCAGTTTTCGTGAATTTCGTAGTTTTGCATCTGTGTGAGTTGTGGCAGAAATTATTATGATAAACATATCCACGGCTAGAATAACTTATTGAAATGAATCTGGAGATCACTAGTATAAACATACAGACATACACCTGTTGTAAGCAATAATACAACGGTCAACTTTACTTCAAACGAAAGGAATGTCTATTAACACGTCTAAAACCAACTATCGATTTACATTTTATTCTTTTGTGTATTTGACGAATTCGGCTGCAGATAAACGCAAAATTCTGCACAAGTTCTGCACAAAATGGGATGTTCTGCTAGACCGGTACATTTCTGCACCGACTGGGCAATTCTGCAAAATATTCCGCGACTGCGGAATTGCGAAATGGAGCGGGGCAGTGATTATGGGAAATCTTTGTTCACACATGGTTATGTCACACACACACACCAAAGGTTCCTAACAGTTGTTTCCGCGTTGTGACTATACTCCACGTGCTATTGCCAGTTTATATTCTTGGTTGAGCAGAAGTAATGATGTGATGCGCTAGAATATTGCTGGGCGTAGAACCACACTCACTCATCTTCTATTAGTTAATCTATCAGACACTCTTCACCCCAGACCTTTAAAAGATGTTAATGGGGAGAATTACGTAAATAAACTATTTGGCCTTTAATCGAGGAAATACGGTATGTCCTGTGTTCTCCAGCCCCGACATGACACCGAGGGATGTTCTGCGCTCCTGGATATTCTATGCTGTGTGGTTGACATACTTCTTTGAAGGATTTGCAGTTGACGTCAACTTCTTCTTCTACAAGGTAAACTATCGGTGCATTATAATCAAGTTCATTAAAAAAAGTATTCTGAAGAGTTTTAGCCCACATCAATAGTTTGGACAAATCGAATGATAAAATTTTAACAGAAAATACCACATATCTTGTTGGGAGTCATAGTCAACATGACTTGATAAACACGACGTTTTGTCAGAAGAACGTAGTGTATACGGACCCGTGAAGTGGCCACGATGAGGGAGAGAGTGAGTTTTAGGTTGGGTTTCTGGTGAATACATGTTCAATTTCAAAGACCGAACTACATGCCCCTCTCCCGACGTTTTAAATGCATCAAGATTGGTCAAGTCGTCCACGACGCCGCTACTTGCTGTGCAGAGTCGCGTCCCTTAGATCTGTCAAACACCTATATTCGTAGGTTCGACCGCCCTGATTAGGTTTCTCAGATTTGTCAGAACCATGCTCTTGGTTCCAAAAGCGGTAAACGTCTAAGACCTGCTGTAAGCCATGCTGACACGCTGTCATATGACTTAAATATTCCAACTCACTCACCATAAATGCTAGTACGCGTTATATGTAACAGACATATGGCGAGACGTTTATTGATGACGACTACTTCCTTGCCCTGGTAGCCTCGTTTGGATCTGTGTCTGTTGTGGCCGGGAATCTCTTCTGGGGCGTTCTTGCTGATAAGTATACGTACAAGGTAACTTTGTTCTAAAGTATTTTTTCAGCATATATAACAACTTTCTCTCTCTCTCTCAGTCTCTCCCTCCCTCCTCTCTCTCCGTGTCTGTCTGTGTCTCTCTCTCATCTGTCTGTGTCTTACTCTCTCCTGTCTATCTTTCTGTCCGTTTGCCTGTTTCTCTGTGTCTCTCTCACACATCTCTCTGTCTCTCTCTCATCTCTCTCTCTCTAGGTCTTACTCTCTCCTGTCTATCTTTCTGTCCGTTTGTCTGTCTCTCTGTGTCTCTCTGACACATCTCTCTCTTTCTCTCTCTAGGTCTTACTCTCTCCTGTCTATCTTTCTGTCCGTTTGTCTGTCTCTCTGTGTCTCTCTGACACATCTCTCTCTTTCTCTATCTAGGTCTTACTCTCTCCTGTCTATCTTTCTGTCCGTTTGTCTGTCTCTCTGTGTCTCTCTGACACATCTCTCTCTTTCTCTCTCTAGGTCTTACTCTCTCCTGTCTATCTTTCTGTCCGTTTGTCTGTCTCTCTGTGTCTCTCTGACACATCTCTCTCTTTCTCTATCTAGGTCTTACTCTCTCCTGTCTATCTTTCTGTCCGTTTGTCTGTCTCTCTGTGTCTCTCTGACACATTTCTCTCTTTCTCTCTCTAGGTCTTACTCTCTCATGTCTATCTTTCTGTCCGTTTGTCTGTCTCTCTGTGTCTCTCTGACACATTTCTCTCTTTCTCTCTCTAGGTCTTACTCTCTCCTGTCTATCTTTCTGTCCGTTTGTCTGTCTCTCTGTGTCTCTCTGACACACCTCTCTCTTTCTCTCTCTCAGACATCTTTATCTCGACATATCGGTTAATACGATGGAATGTGAACCCTCATCAGCACACATATGCCTAGATATCAACTCTGTCAAGTCACATTCAGAGGTATAGATCTCATATGACCAGAAACTACAATAAATAATGATATGCTCAAACTGAGAAAAAAGTCTAGTGGATTCTACTAACTTAAAGACTGCGATCAGAAGGCTAGTAAACAAGGATTTTACTATCCTACCTGGTAGATTGCTCATGGATGCTCAAGATTGGTAAATATCACTCATTATATTAGTATAATTCACTGCTTAAACCACACTGTAACAAATGTGGTAAGAATGTAAACACATACAAGACATGTTTAGGAATGTGTTTCAATCGATATGCACATTAGTCGTGTTCTATCTAAACACGTTTAGGGTCCAAACATATGAAATGAGCTATCGCCTCATAGCCTAAACAACACCTAAACGCAACATCCCCATAATTTAAACATGTTTTGCATTTAGATACATTTAACAAGTTTAGAAGTTAAACGTGTTTAATAATTTCATCAGGAGATAAAATTATATGTACAAATCAGATTCTCATGCACTTGGATAACTCATATACCACCAGGACTTACAATGAACTTAGTACAATATTAACATAAAAATGTACAGATAAACAAAGCTGATGGTGACAAAGAAAATTGACACTTGTGAAGACAACAGTCTCCGTAGCACAGGTAATAGCGTGACGGACTACAACTCGATAGAGGTTGAAGGTTAAAACAACACATTTATGAACACAGAGATGTTTTGATCTTGCACATCAAAGCATCCAATCAGTTGATATAGGCATAAACACGTTCTTCAACTGTTAATCATATTGTCAACATACTCAGACCTATTGACTCTGGGGGCGGTCGGGTAGCCTAGTGGTTAAAGCGTTCGCTCGTCACGCCGAAGACCCGGGTTCGATTTCCGACATGGGTACAATGTGTGAAGCCGTGATATTGCTGGAATATTGCTAAAAGCGGCGTAAAATCCAACTCACTCACTCACTATTGACTCTGGTTCATGATGTTCGTGTTTGGCAAGGTGACCTTCAAGAACGACGATTAGTATATATACAATGGCCCCTTGGAATTAACGAAGAATTACTGTACAGTAAACTACGGTTATAACGAACTCAAAGGGACTACTAATTTTAGTTCGTTATAACCGTAGTTCGTTATAAGCATATATACAACATAACTACAGCAAATAGTCGGGACCAAAAAATAAGTTCGTTATATCCGTCAGTTCGTTATAAGCGTGTTCGTTATAACCGTAGTTTACTGTATTTGTATAACGTCTGACCACTGCGCAGCCTGTTCTGATGATCGTCACATGTGTGTTCGGCGTCTTCACCTCCACATTCTGCATCACCGAGTATGGAGGAAAGCCAATGTACTTCATCTGGGTGTGCGCCATACACTTCGCCTTCACTGGGCCCTTAACCATTCTCCCTTTGATAGCCATGGAGACGTTTGGCAGCAAGCACTTCTCCATCAACTACGGCCTTCTCAACACTACAGCGGTAAGCGCGTCACGTTTTGTATCAGTCTGCACTAAATCAGGAACCGATCATTTTTTCATGGGCTGGGATTTTGTTCCAGAAAAATAATTCTGAAATATTATTGTGTTTTGGGATCAGGTGCAATAAAAAAATGTTCCCTGGATGTCCTAAATAAACGTGTTGATTCAGAAACAAAAAATTGTAGTGAGCGATAAAATGCCAGCCCCACCCGGCCCACCAACCTTCTCCCCCAATACTATTGAATGATTGGTCCTCCGCACTTCCTGTTTTTGAATTTTTTGCATTTATATTGCAATATTGCAATGCTAGGGTTCAGGAGTCGCATTAATTTAAAGACACAATAATGTCAAGATTTACAGAACATTTACGTGCAGCGTTTTCCCAGACAACCACCCTCCTCCATACTATATATGACCAGTCCCTTATTTGATGACCAGAGTATAATTGATGTTTAACACTTTGCAGGTTGCCTTCAGTTTTTTCATGGCGTTTTTCTCCTCACATGTGAAAGATACCATTGGCTGGCATGGGATATATTTACTTGGAGCTGGTTTCCTCGTCATTAGTGAGTTGCGTTTCTTCCTGTTCAGGATTGATATTTGATATCCGCTTCTGCAAAGGCCATGATTTTGTTTGTGGATATCAGATGAGGGGTTTAGCTTAGAGACAAAAATATTTTTTGGTTGTTTTACGTCCATCAGTAACCGGTAACTCTCCCACCAGATTTCACATTTCTTTGACACAACAGTGAACATTTTCACACTGTTTGTTTCGTGTTAGCTTTGTTTAGTCAAGTGTGCAGGTTTAAGTATCAACTATAAGAGTATTTAAATACAATGTCGTAAATACAATTCAAAGACCTGTTTCATTGTATGATCATCATATATATGCGGACGACATTTTAAAATGGTGCTCAACATGAGAAACTGTTTTGTCACATTTTGTGTTTTATCGTTTAAAATTCTCGGTCTGTTGCAGGTTTTGCATTTTCTTCTGTCGTCTTTTTCAAGAAGTTTCGAAGATTACAATGACACCTTCAAAACTCTTTACGCTGAAAACCTTTGTATATAAACATGATTTTGTTCATATTATCCTGTTGTTATTGATCCATATTTGCGTTCATAAAAACACCATACTCTAGCAGCTGCGGAGTGGGTCCTTGTCAACTCCTGCTTAAGCAAAGGCTAACTTTAAATACAGCTAACCCAGACTAGAAGGAAGTAGGATATATAGTCACAACATGGTTGCTTGTAATATAAATCGGTGATCGATCTTCTCCGTCACGTCACTACATGTAGAAGGGGACTGTAAATCTAATCCTTTATCTTCTACCGGCTTTGATAATCAGTTTCTTCCTCAAAGGACATTTTCCTTGCAAACATGACTTTGATCTGATAATACTTCAGTGCAAATGCACACTCACCTGTATGCAGCATATTTATGCTTGACTTTGTGTAACATTTAATTTTTTTATACATAAATAAAACGTGTTGTTATTTTTGTAATTATATAGTATTAAGGAAACACATATACTTGACTTTGTGTAACATTTATACATTTTATACAACCATAAAACGTGTTTAAATATTTGTATATATATTATTAAGGAAACACACATTTTTGCTCATTGATGAAATATAGAAGTGATATATTTTATATGTTACAACATCTGATCCACATTAATTATTTTATAACATCTATCATATTTCTTTTCTGAAGAATATAGATCTCCAGAAGATAGCATAATTTGTTATTCCTCAATAAAGACAAACACGCGTACGTCTCAAAGGCATTCCACGATAACACACCTGTTACAGTGTGTATGAATGAAGCTCACACTACAATAACACATCTGCTACAGGTTGTATAAAAGGAGATCATACCACGATAACACGCCTGCTACAGGTTGTGTAAAGGGCATACCACGATAACACGCCTAGTACAGTTTGTATAAAGGGCATACCACGATAACACGCCTGCTACAGGTTGTATAAAGGGCATACCACGATAACACGCCGGCTACTGGTTGTATAAAGGGTATACCACGATAACACATCTGCTACAGGTTGTATAAAGGGCATACCACGATAACACATCTGCTACAGGTTGTATAAAGGGCATACCGCGATAACACATCTGCTACTGGTTTGTATAAAGGGCATACCGCGATAACACGCCTGCTACAGTTTGTATAAAGGGCATACCGCGATAACGCGCCTGCTACAGTTTGTATAAAGGGCATACCGCGATATCACGCCTGCTACAGGATGTATGAAGGGCATACAACGATAACACATCTGCTACAGGTTGTATAAAGGGCATACCGCGATATCACGCCTGCTACAGGTTGTATAAAGGGCATACCACGATAACACATCTGCTACAGTTTGTATAAAGGGCATACCGCGATATCACGCCTGCTACAGGTTGTTTAAAGGGCAACCACGATAACACGCCTGCTACAGGTTGTATAAAGGGCATACCGCGATAACACGCCTGCTACAGCTTGTATAAAGGGCATATCACGATAACACATCTGCTACAGGTTGTTTAAAGGGCATACCGCGATAACACACCTGCTACAGGTTGTATAAAGGGCATACCACGATAACACGCCTGCTACAGGTTGTATAAAGGGCATACCACGATAACACGCCTGCTACTGGTTGTATAAAGGGCATACCACGATAACACACCTGCTACAGGTTGTCTAAAGGGTATACCACGATAACACACCTGCCACAGTTTGTATAAAGGGCATACCGCGATAACACACCTACTACAGGTTGTATAAAGGGCATACCACGATAACACGCCTGCTACAGGTTGTATAACTGAAGCTCACACTATGATAACACACCTGCTACTGGTTGTATACAGAGCATACTACGATAAAACAACTGCTACAGGTTGTTTAAAGGGCATACCATGATAACACACCAGCTACAGTTTGTATGAATGGAGCTCACACCACGATAACACATCTACTACAGGTTGCATAAAGGGAGGTCATACGTACCACGATAACACACCTGCTATAGGTTGTATAAAGGAACCCCATGCCACGATACTACACCTGCTACAGGTTGTATTTACTGGGTTGTTTTCGCAGCAGGTGAGTTTAAATGGGGTTTAACGTCGCCTTTAAGATTAATGCATTTATATAGCGAAGTGTGAGTGTGTATGCATGTGTGTGTGTGTGTGTGTGTGTGCGTGCGTGTGTGTGTGTGCGTGTGTGTGTGTGTACGTGTGTGTCAAGCGCTACCTTTATCAACTGTCGTGACGGAAGGTCATCATAAGGTCGTATAACCTCCTTACCCACCTTTTCCGTTTTCCTTACACATTGGGTGATTTGTTAGTGTTGAAAAGTATTACTGACAGTAACCTATAAATGAGAATTCACTTGTTGTTTAACGCCGCAATCAGCAGTAGCGAAGCTTTATCTGCGAAACTGTAAATAACCTGATATCAAGGGCAACGGTCAAAGCCGTCAGGATACGATGACAGCAATCAGCCAAGTCATCGAGCCTGGCCAGCCGATCCGTTAAGCCCAGCATTCCTAGTTTTGGTTTGGTTTGTTGTTTAACGCCGCACTCAGCAATATTCCAGCTATATGACGGCGGTCTGTAAATAATCGAGTCTGGACCAGACATTCCAGTGACTGACAACATGAGCATTGATCCACGCAGTAGGGATCGATGACATGCATCAACCAAGTCCGCGAGCCTGACCACCCGATCCCGTTAATCGCCTCTTACGACAAGCATAGTCGCCTTTTACGGCAAGCATGGGTTGCCGAAGACCTATTCTACCCCGGACCTTCACGGGTCAGCAATCCTGGGGTTAAATCATAATGCAGAATCCTTTTGCGGCATATGATGACGCAACCAAAACAACCCCAATGGGAATATTTTCCTTATAACACTAAAGTATGATAACTACCAAACCTGGTCATATATACATCGTACAAGACAAGGATAATTAACACAACCACGAAAACCATACCTTGCCCCCCGGCTGGCTACGGCACTGGGCATGTACATGTAAATCGAGTCTGGACCATGCCGTCGGGGTGCGATGGGCCAAATCATCAAGTTTGACCACCCGGTCCGTCAAGTCGCCAAGCATAGAATTGCCGGGGATCAATTATAACGCAGAATTCCCACACGGCAAATGATCAATTACCACACAAATCGTAAAGCATCATCATCATTATATTCATCATCATGTAATTTGTTAATGTGTATTCTCGTGTTATCAGTTTTCGGTCACACAAGAAACATTGCCGCGCCCTAACAGTGAATATATACATGTGGAACCTAAGTGTTATCGTACCTCTGAACTTGACTGTTATTGATACTTTGCGCAAATTATATATGATCATTGTTTCTCTTGTAATAACGAAGTGATCGGCTGATCGGTTCAGCTGCCAAAGCAAAACATCTTGAGTGACGTCATCGGATTTCCGTCAGACGATTGGCTGATCAACATCGATCTCTCTTGAGCAAATATGGTGCGCTTGGGGGGCTATAGCTTATGAGCCATGTCTAAGGTTTCGGAAGAATATTGGCGGTATTTCCCACTCCCAGTCGGCTGACCATTCGTCAAAACTTGTAAAATACGTCGCTCATTTCAAAAACTCTATTTAATAATTTCACAAATATAAGAGATAACCCAACTAACTTTCCATGCATAAAAAAGTGCAAAAAAAAAATGTGATAAGTCGTGATTATTTATTGCTAAGCGTAAACATGCTGACGGCAGGTTCCATCGGAATCCTCAACCTATGATATTATCAAAACTTAATTTTTTTGACATTAATATACATACGTGGCATTAATATACATACTTGACATTAATATACATACGTGACATTAATATACACACGCGAAAAGATAATGTCTACCATTGCTTGTATCTGTTTTCCTTGTTGAACTTGAATCACATTTCGCAATGGCTGACCGAAAATATATTAGGAACGAAAACACATGACGGGAGGATAGATTAATTTTCCTTTCCATATTCATAAGAAATCTCGATTGTACGATTCCGACTATAGCACGAGTATACCAGTGTTCACGAAGAGAAGAGCATATCCTGCACCGTCGATGTTACATGTCACAAACACATGCAAAGGCAAGTCAATTGCTCACCTGAAAAAAACACGGGAACATATGGTTCAAGTAAAAAATAGCGTTTTGCGTCGGACATATTTTTTGTCACTGGTGCGTCAAATCTGAAATGTTCTTCACGTGTCTATCCTTAAATTTTTGAAAGCTTTACTGAAATAAGGTCAATAAAAGATTTGTTTGTTTGTTGGTTTGTTGTTTAACGCCGCACTGAGCAATATTCAATCTATATGATGTCGGTCTGCAATAATCGAGTCTGGACCAGACAATCCAGTGATTGACATCATGAGCATCGATCCCTGAAAATGGGATACGATCAACTAAGTCAGCGAGCCTGACCACCCGATCCTTTTTAGTCGCCTCTTACACAAGCATAGTTACGACAGGCATGGGTTGCTGAAGAGCTATTCCACCCCGGATCTTCACGGATAGTCATTCAAAGAACCATGATAATTACACATCATATTTGTTTGCGTAATTTTGTAGTATATGTTAGAAAAACATTGGAGCGATTACGAACAAGTTGATTAGTTTAAAAAAATAAAATAACATTTGCAAAAAACATGCAAACATTTGCAAATAATTCGAATTTTGTGTCCATGTTCACCGAGTATGTTCACCCCTTTAATGGCCATACACATTTGACCTTGGTCGTTACGGTTGTTCAAACAGCAAACTTTCCTCCTTCCTTCTGCCGATTCATGTCACACAGTGTGGCGGTATTACGTGCCGTGTACACTCCATTTGTACCTGACTGGGCGTTTGCAAACGTGGAGAGGTTTCTGGTCATGTAAGTAACTCTAATCAGTATATATGAATATGTATGACTGTATTTTGTACGTCCTGTTTTAATAAGTGGATTTGGGTTAATGCCGGTGTTAACAGTATTCCAGGTAGATTACAGCGTGGCAGCTTAATGTGGGAGCAAAGCCAAAGAAATGCAGGTCTACATATATACATACATATAAAGCCATATATTAAATAACTAATAACTAATATATACTAAGAAGTCCCATCTACCAATAAGTGACAACCGACGAACTAAAATTATATTCAGAGACGTACTTGCCATTGTAAATGTTTAAAATTTAACATGTTGCTCTCACAGACACAGTTTTAGACATTTTCTTTGGCTACAGTTGGGTTAATGCGTATCCTCCTGGAATGACAAGTTTGTAGTGTTAAATCTTGTGCAGAACTTTATTGGCTCTACATGAGCGTGAAAAACACGTGTATAATTCAATGGATGATGTTTATAACATAAAGTTAGAACACAAAGGGCATGTATAAAATAAATAATCGTCCTTGGCCACACAACCTATCAACTTAATCGAATTGCATTTCCAGCAGTATGAACACGTGTTTCATTATATGCAAAATGTGATGATGTGCGAGCTCAAGGATATCACGGGGTATGAGTTAGTGAGTTTGGTTTTACGCTGCTTCTAGCAATATTCCAGCAATATCACGGCGGGGGACACCAGAAATGGGCTCAACACATTGTACCCATGTCGGACATCGAACCCGGGTCTTCGGCGTGACGAGCGAACGCTTTAACCACTAGGCTACCCGACCGCCCCGCTTCGTACTACACAAAAGGAATGCTGAGGACTGTCCCAACATGTGTCCCCCCGAGCATTTCATATGTTCTAGGGGAGATGTTATACATTCTTAAGAAAATACAATACAAGTCTTCACAACATTGGGGGTCACAGGTGGCCCAGTCGTCTAAGGCGCCGCGATTCGCTGTGCAGAGTTGCGTCCCTTGGGCACACCAGAAAAGTATGATTGTGGGTTCGAATCCCGGTTCGCTCCGATTGTGTTTTTAGGTAAGTCTGCACCATACCCGTGCTCGTGCGAAGAGGTAAACGTCTGAGGCCTGCATCACTTCGGGCTTTCCCCCCTGACACGCCGTGATATAACTGGACTGATAATGTTAAAAGCGGCGTTAAACCCAACTCACTCACTCACTTCATAACATAGACTAAATAAATGACTTCCTATTCTTTCTCAGGCGCAAGAGGAAATGGAGTGGCTAACGTTTACACAGAATGTGCATCGGCACCTCATACAGCACCTTTTACTGATACATATGATGGTGACTGCCAGTGCTGACACCTGTCTAGTGAAGAACCAAGTTGCCAACTGCAGTGCAAGAGGTTTGACTTCCGTTCCATCAACATTGCCTGAAAACATAACAACGTTGTTGATGGCCGATAATAAACTGGTGGACATTGCAGGATTTGCTTTTAAAAAATACGCACATTTGAAGCACCTTGATTTGTCTAATAACCAGATCAAGCGACTCAACAATAACTCGTTCTATGGCCTTACAAGCTTACAAAGTTTACAACTTGAACGCAACCATCTGAATCTGTCACGCAACGCATATCCCGCACTTTGTTTCTCGGGACTGGTGTCACTTCAGAGGCTACTGATTGGGAACAATGTTGCGATTGAATGGTTCTTAGACCCTCAAGACTCATTTTACTACCCCGATGAAGCCATAGGACAGCTTGAGGCATTAGAAGAATTGTCAGTGGATGGTTTACCCAATGCTATGTTTGGAGTGGGATTTTGTCACCTGCACAGCCTAACATATTTAGATTTTAAGCTGTGTTATATTAATTACGTCGAGGAGGGCATGTTTGTCAATACACCTAACATCACCTTTCTTAGTATGTCTCACTGCCATATCTTCGATGTCCACAAAGAATCCTTTGCAAAACTACCGCACATTGACACACTAGATCTATCCGGAAACACAGAGGTGGGTTTAAATGTAACACACATATTCCATGGTTTGAGAGACACACAAATTAGAGTTCTTATGTTAAGCAGCATATATCCCCCATATTCGATTTGTGTTGTCATTCCCTCTGATTGTTTGCGTTATTTGTTCAATACATCAATCAAGGAGTTATATCTAAATCATAATGATATTAGAAAACTTGAACCTGGGGCGTTGGATTATTTTCCACCAAGTTTAGAAATCATTTCTCTTCGAGACAATAAGTTTACGTTTGGTCATTACATTTTTGAACTTAATAAATTAACAGGACTAAGGCGTATAGATCTCAGTGACAATATCGTGGGCCATTCCAATTTTCCGCTTGAAGGCAATGGAATATATAGTATTCCTTGGATACCGTCTTTTCCCTTGCCACCAAATCTAGAAGATATTGTCCTCAGAAATATGATTATACATGCAGAAATACCATCAGTGTACTTCTCAAAGAACAGACTCAGATCCCTTGATGCTTCTCAAAATGGGGTTTCCTTCTGGCGGGGACCTGTTTACGGGCTCAAGAATTTAGAAACTCTTGACTTATCATCAAATTATTGTTCAAAAGTAATTGCAACCTTTTTCAACAGTTTTATGACTATTCGCATTTTGAATGTTTCTAATAACTATTTGGGAGATGCCCTCAAAGATCTCAAATTCACTAGAGTTTTTAGTTCACTGACAAAGCTTGAAGTACTTGATTTGTCTGCTAACAGATTCCGTATTTTGCATCCAACATTTTTCAAACATAACAGAAACCTGAAGTATTTGAATCTAAGCCAGAATGCAATATCAAATCTCGACTTAGACGTGGGAAAGATAAACCTCACAATGGTGAACCTACAGATGAATGAAATAAGGTACATAGCCAAATCCACGCGGGATATGTTTGATGCCATGGACGTGAACAATCACTTAACAGTCGATCTGTCAGATAACCCTTTAGACTGTTCTTGTGACCATCTTGACTTTTTGTTGTGGATATTGAAAACGAAGGTTAATTTACAAAATGTTGGCACTTACACGTGTGTTAATGAATTCGGCAAACGTATGCTTTTGGACAAGGGTTTCATTAAGTCAAAGAAGGAAACCTGCAAATCCTATGCTGGTGTAGTTATTGGTGGATTATGTTCTGTCGTGTTTTTCTTGTCCGTCTCAGTCGTTGGACTGGTGTATAGGTATCGGTGGAGAATCAAGTATCTGTATTACATTGTTAGGGATCGGTATAATTTTCACAGAGGTCAGGATGATGGCGAAAGACAGTTTATGTTTGATGCTTTCATTTCCTACGCAAATGAAGACCTTGTCTTTGTCGACACACTGATTAATAACCTTGAGGGTCAGGGGAAACGTCTGGTTGTTCACCACCGGGACTTTCGTCCCGGAGAACCCATAGGTGCAAATATTGTTAATGCAATTCAGACTAGCAGGCACACTGTCCTGATACTATCGGGTAGTTTCCTTGAGAGCAACTGGTGTCGTTATGAGTTTGAGATGGCTAGAATGGAGGCAGTGTACGACTCTAGAAGTGTCCTTGTCGTTGTCAAGATTGAAGACGTGTCATCTGCTGCCGTACCCCGAGAGCTGCTCTATCTGATGAGGTCGGACTCGTACCTGGAATACCCTGATGATCCTGAGGATCAGGCGATATTTTGGGTGAACCTTGGAGAAGCTGTCAGCAACTGATATATCCCCAGATGTACGGGGACGTAATCTTATCTGAACAAACAGAAACTCACAAGAGTTGCGTCCCTTGGGCACGCCAGAAACACATGATCGTGGTTTCGAATCCCGGTTCGCCCCGATCATGTTTCTTGGTTTCTCAGCATCACACCCGTGCTCGTGGATTTCACAACAGACCTGCATCACTTCAGGCTTTCCTCCCAGTTTAAGCTGATATAACTGGAATACTGATCAAAGCGGCTTTAAACCCAGCGACCATACCTTATACATAGTTGATATCATTGTGTGATAAATAGTAGGTTATTCTGTTGTTTGATAAAGAATAGTTTTGAAGGGATTATCTGTCTTTATTTCAATGCAAATGTAATAACATGTCCGAGACTACCAAGTAATCCTACGCTGATTGGCCCCAGTTGTACATTGCATATATTGTACTTATATGTCACAGCTGTGTATTGCATATATTGTACTTATATGTCACAGCTGTGTATTGCATATATTGTACTTATATGTCACAGCTGTGTATTGCATATATTGTACTTATACGCCACAGCTGTGTATTGCATATATTGTACCTATACGTCACAGTTGTACATTGCATATATTGTACTTAAACGTCACAGTTGTACATTACATGTATTGTACTTATACGTCACAGTTGTACATTGCATATATTGTACCTATACGTCACAGTTGTACATTACATGTATTGTACTTATACGTTACAGCTGTATATTGCATATATTGTACGTATAGTTATTTTTTCACAATGCCATTTTCCAAAGATGCTATTGTTTAAATGTCATCGCGAGAGAAATGACCTTGAATTTTATATTCCCACTCATTGTTGCTTTGAATTTTGTTGGTTAAATGTAGTCTTTACATGTACATGTTTTCTTTGGCAAAATAAAGTCACTATCTTTTAAACTTTCATTTTTGTTCTAATTGCACTCCACAATAGGAAGTAAAACCTTAACTTTGTAACTTTATGTACTGAACCGCAAAAGAAACGTCAACATGGATAGATATAGGAGAAACCTTATTTGTCCAAACACTGAAGACATACCTTGAGAAATATTAAAAAGATGAAACCTGGCAAAACTGATCATCAAGGTTGAAATTAAAGTGTCAAATGTTCTTAAAGTGAAACAGAAAACTTGTAATGCCATTTTCTCAGAGACAAGTCAGTATCTCGTGTGTCTACCATGTGCATTGATGACTGCCGTGCAACGTCGATACATGGAATGGATGAGGCGGTTGAAGAAGGCCATAGGCACTTGAGCCCACACTCTGAGGAATGCCTGACGCAGTTCAGCTGCAGTTGTAGGCCTTGGTCGGACGTCATTCAGCCGTCTTTGAATCTCGTCCCAAAGGTGCTCAATGGGATTTAAATCGGGACTGAGGGAAGGCGACTGCATGGTTCTGATCCCATTCTGTTGGAGGAAGTCTCTTGTTGCTCTCGTAGTGTGGCACGGGCGTTATCATGCTGAAACTATTGGTTGCGGCGACGTGCCAAATGAGGTATGGACTTGATCAATGTACCGAGCTGCTGTGATACCCTTGGACCCTTCCCTGGACCGAATTTCTGGAAGACCACAGGGCCGACCCTCTGTGCAAGACCAATTCCACCACACAACATGATGCTCGGACCACCCCACGAGTCTCTCTCAACAACACAAGCATCCGAATAACGTTCCCCACGGCGTCACCAGGCTCTCTCTCTGCCATCTACTGTTGAGATACAGTAACGGCTCTCGTCTGAGAAGGGGACTCTTCTCCACTGCTGGTGGCGCCAATGCTGGTGCTGTGTTGCCCACTGAAGACGGCCCCGGCGATAATGTGGTGTCAGAATGGGTCCTCGGTGTGTCCTGTGACAGTGGAGGTGTCGGCTCTTCAATCGTCGACGCACGGTGTGGCAATGATGAACAATGAATAGGTTTGTGAATGAAGCCATCTAAGCCAGCAGTCAATTTGGCTTTGATAACTGTCAATGGTGTGGTTCAATGTATCCATTGCACGCGAATTCGAATGTACATTAAATGTCTTAGCAATAGCAACTTGTTAATTTTATTTATTTCTAGTATATAGTAAAGATCCAGACCAACCTTTAATATTTTGGGGAGAGATAGTGGAGGGATTTTGAGTTTTACTGGAGACAGAAAATTATTTCGGATACTGCTTCATTATTTTCTGTGGGGCGGTTGGGTAGTCTAGTGGCTAAAGCGTTCGCTCGTCACGCCGAAGACCCGGGTTTGATTCTCGACATGGGTACAATGTGTGAAGCCCACTTCTGGTGTCCCCCGCGGTGATATTGTCGGAATATTGCGTAAATGCGGCGTAAAACCATACTCACTCGCTCACTCACAATTTCTGTGTGTCCCCTGAAGTTGTATTGCTGGAATATTGCTAAAAGAGCCGTAAAACCCAACTCACTCACTCACCATCAAATTCCTGTTAAGAAATGTTTTGGTAAACGTTCAAAGGAATCAACTAAATGTGACACGTTGCTTGGTAACGTGATGCGTGATGCTACCCCTTACTATGACCTGTACAGGGAGTTTTCACACATCCTTACTCACTTGGTTGACAGCATGACGTCGTACATCAACGACGCGGGTCAATGCTCATGATAGCGACCACTTGATTGTCTGGTCCAGATTAGATTGTTTACAGGCCACCGTCGTATGGCAGGCAAATTGCCGGGTGCGGGGTTATCAACAAACAAACATTTACTTTTTATGTTTGTGAGTGGCGGTTGATACCCTAGTGTACCAGGGCTAGTGTACTGGGTCTAATATGCCGGGTCTAATGTTCCAGGCTTGTGTGCTGAAGCTAGTGTACTGGGTCTAATATGCCGGGTCTAATGTTCCAGGCTTGTGTGCTGGAGCTAGTGTACTTGGTCTAATATGCCGGGTCTAATGTTCCAGGCTTGTGTGCTGAAGCTAGTGTACTGGGTCTAATATGTAGGGTCTAATGTTCCAGGCTTGTGTGCTGGAGCTAGTGTACTGGGTCTAATATATGGGGTCTAATGTTCCAGGCTTGTGTGCTGGAGATAATGAACCAGGGCTAGTGTACTTGGTCTAATATGCGGGGTCTAATGTTCCAGGCTTGTGTCCTGGAGCTAGTGTACTGGGTCTAATATGCCGGGTCTAATGTTTCAGACTTGTGTGCTGGAGCTAGTGTACCAGGGCTAGTGTACTGGGTCTAATATGCAGGGTCTAATGTTCCAGGCTTGTGTCCTGGAGCTAGTGTACTGGGTCTAATATATGGGGTCTAATGTTCCAGGCTTGTGTGCTGGACCTAGTGCACCACGGCTGGTGTACTTGGTCTAATATGCCGGGTCTAATGTTCCAGGCTTGTGTGCTGGAGCTAGTGCACCTCGGCTGGTGTACATGGTCTAATATGCCGGGTCTAATGTTCCAGGCTTGTGTGCTGGAGCTAGTGTACTGGGTCTGATATGCCGGGTCTAATGTTCCAGGCTTGTGTGCTGGAGCTAGTGTACCAGGGCTAGTGTACTGGGTCTAATATGCAGGGTCTAATGTTCCAGGCTTGTGTCCTGGAGCTAGTGTACCGGGTCTAATATGCCGGGTCTAATGTTCCGGGCTTGTGTGCTGGATCTTGTGAACCAGGGCTAGTGTATTGGGTCTAATATTCGAGGTCTAATGTTCCAGGCTTGTGTGGTGGAGCTAGTGCACTGGGTCTAATATGCGGGGTCTAATGTTCCAGGCTTGTGTGCTGGAGCTAGTTAACCAGGGTTTGTGTACTTGGTCTAATATGCGGGGTCTAATGTTCCAGGCTTGTGTGCTGGAGCTAGTGTACCGGGTCTAATATGCCGGGTCTAATGTTCCAGACTTGTGTGCTGGAGCTAGTGTACTTGGTCTAATATGCCGGGTCTAATGTTCCAGGCTTGTATGCTGGATCTAGTGAACCAGGGCTTGTGTACTGGGTCTAATATGCAGGGTCTTATGTTCCAGGCTTGTGTGGTGGAGCTAGTGTACCAGGGCTAGTGTACTGGGTCTTATATGCCGGATCTAATGTTTCAGGCTTGTGTGCTGGAGCTGGTGTACCAGGGCTAGTGTACTGGGTCTTATATGCCGGATCTAATGTTTCAGGCTTGTGTGCTAGAGCTGGTGCACCAGGGCTACTCTACGGGGGCTAGGGTACTGGGGATGTGACACAGGCCAGTGTTCAGCAAGGTCAACCCCAGATGCGATGAAGGATGCCACCCTGTGGAAGTAAACACTCTACAAGTCAGGACGATACCTGGCGACGGAATGCACCCACTAATCACACACTGTTATCTCCGGGGAATACAGTTATTTGGCCTAGTATTCTTGTAAGGGCAACAGCTCCACGGCTTCATGTCTTATTTGATGGTGTGAAACTGCTGAGCATCAACCCATGCCTCGCTCGGACTGCTGCGGAATACCACTCCGTGGAGCGGTAACAGTTCTTGGATGTGCCTTGGTCGTGTTTTGTCTTGGAAATGGATACACATACGGTGAGTTTCCTTTTAGGTATCATCTGGTGGTGATGACATGCCCTACACAGTGAGCGAGTATGGTTTTACGCCGCTTTTAGCAATATTCCAGCAATATCGGGGGGCAAGGTTGGCCCAGTCGTCTAAGGCGCCGCGATTCGCTGTGCAGAGTTGCGTCCCTTGGCAACGCCAGAAACCCATAATTTTGGGTTCGAATCCCGATTCGCCCCGATTATGTTTCTAGGTTTGTCAGCACCATACCCGTGCTCGTGGGTTTCACCGAAGTGGTAAACGTATGAGACCTGCATCACTTCGGGCTTTCCTCCCACATTAAGCTGACACGCCGTGATATAACTGGAATATTGTTTAAAGCGGCGTAAAACCCAACTCACTCACTCACTCCAGCAATATCACGGCGGGGAAAACCAGAAATTGGCTTCACACATTGTACCCATGTCGAGAATCGAACCCGGGTGGAAGAGCGAACCCGGCGTGACGAGCGAACGCTTAAACCACTAGGCTACCCGACCGCCCCCTGCATGCACTGTATTACTGAGGTTTGCGTTTCTTGTTGTGTTTACGCTTCGTCTGGTATTGGAATATTTATCAAGGTCTTAAAGGACTGGGCGCTTCACAAAGCGATCTGTTCGTTTGATTGTTTGTCGTGAAGGTCGCACTCAGCGATACTCAAGCTGTATGTAAATAATCGAGTCTAGACCAGACAATCTAGTGATTGACATAAGGAGAATCTATTCGCGAAATTAGGACACGATAACATGCATCAACCAAGTCAGCGATCCCGTTAGTCGCCTCTTACGACAAGCATAGTCGTCTTTTACGGCAAGCATGGGTTGCTGAAGACCTATTCTTCCCCGGATCTTCACGGGTGACAAAGCGATCTGAACAATATAACTATGGCAATATGACTTTGTCTGTGTTATAGTATGGGCGTTCGATCATTGTAGCGTTCTCATCACTTTGTGGAACGGAGAGCAAAGCGTCTCAGTTATTTTGATATGTTATATTTTAACCCGATCAGATAAAAAGGCAAAAGAAAAAAGGGGTTATTGTGCTGAATAAGTGAATTGTCTAAAAATCTCCCCTTAACATATTTTAGTCGGCTTTGATAGAAGGAGTGTGAATGATTTGAAATGGAACTTCGCACTAGTATCTTTGCAGCTCAAATTGTCAACATCTGTTTGTACGTGTTCCATCGGATTCCAGACCGCCTCCGTGGTCTAGTGGTAGAGCGTCCGCCCGGAGAGCGGAAGGTCCGGGGTTCGATCCCCTGCCGCGCCATACCAAAAGACGTTAAAAGTTGGTACTTGTTGTTACTCTTTCTTGCGCTCGGCATTAAGGGGCTAAAACAAGGACTGGTCGGCTCGGAGTCAGTATACTCTGTCTGAGTGGGGTATTCGTGTTAAACTGCGGCATGGTATCTCAGTTGGCTAGCACTATAAATCGGCATCAGTCCGGACTAGTACAAGCAGCCGCGCGCATGCACGTCGCTATATGAGTGCAATAATCCTGGACGCGACGTTAAACCCAATTTCACCTCACCTCACCATCGGATTCCAGGGCCAAGTAGGCCCCGTTTTTCCATTCTTTTCGTAAGAGCCAACGGATGAGGATCGGATAACTGCGTACCATCCTGCCCCAAGGTCACCGACCGTTGCTCATGCTGTCACCCATCGGGTCGCCTAGCCTAGACTCGATTATTTACAGGCCAATCGTGATTGGGAAGGGCAGATTGTAGAGTAAAACAACATTCATTCACATCACTTACTCGAGAAGCAGCAGCAAAGAGTCCGATTATTCCCTTCACCCAATTTTGGTGTATGCGGGGCGGTTGGGTAGCCTAGTGGTTAAAGCGTTCGCTCGTCACGCCGAAGACCCGGGTTCGATTCCCGACATGGGTATATATGTGAAGCCCATTTCTGGTGTCTGGTGTGGAATATTGCTTGAATATTGCTAAAAGCGGCGTAAAATCAAACTCACTGACTTGGTGTATGCAATCACAGATCATTAATCATGGAGGGATTCGGGGTTAGAATAGATTCCAACAAACCTATGGTTGTCATGAGAGGCCACTAAATGGATCGAGTTGCTCATAAACTCAATCATTCGTTTGTCTGGTCGAAACTGTATTATTTACAGTCCGACGTCATAGAGCTTGAATATTACATATTTGCATAAAACAACAAACACATACTTTTTCAGGAACACGCAGTGTCTGTTGACCACGATGACCTTTTGGATTGTTTTTAGGCAACATGACCCCGTACCTGACCTCGTACCTGAGGAACAGAAGCGCGCTGTCCTCGGATGTCAGGTACGCGGATACGCTGTGGATCAGTACCGGGAGCATCCTCTGCTCCAGCTTCTTCATGCCGATTCTGTGTATGGCGGAACAATACATCCCATCCAGGATTTGTATCCTCGTCGGCGGATGGACCTTCAGGTGATTCAGTAGTTGCTTTGTTTTCTTTGTTTTTTGTTTGTTTGTTGTTTAACGCCGCACTCAGCAATAGGGGCGGTCGGGTAGCCTAGTGGTTAAAGCGTTCGATCGTCACGCCGAAGACCCGGGTTCGATTCCCGACATGGGTACAATGTGTGAAGCCCATTTCTGGTTTCCCCCGCCGTGAAATTGCTGGAATATTGCTAAAAGCGGCGTAAAACCATACTCACTCACTCACTCAGTCACTCAGCAATAGTCGAGCTATGACATTTCTGAATAAGATTAGTTAATGTTAACACAATAAGACTTGTCAGCGGATGCCAAGAAGTTTGGATTTTGGATTACTTACACAATGTGAGTGAGTGGCTGTATTGTGCTTAAATATAATGAGAATGGATTGTGCCTTGTCTTTGTCAGTCTTGGTATCGCGGTGACATACTTCAGTGTCAGCTACAGCTTCGTCACCACCATCCTCTCCTACGGAGTCCTATACGCTATGGGGAAGAGTATGGCATACCCTATCAGCCTGAGGATGGCTATCAAGGTAAGTGTGGTTATGTGTCAGGGTAATGGATGGCCCAGTCGCCTAAGGCGTAACCAGTCGCCGTGCAGAGTTACGCCCCTTAAACCTATGATCGTGGGTTTGAATCCCAGCTTCGCGCTGATTGTGTTTCTGGTTTGTCAGCAGAATAATTGTGTTCGTGGGTTTTGACAAAGAAGTAAAACGACTACATCACTTCGGGCTTCCTCCCACTGTATTAGACCCGTGAAGATCCGGGGTGGAATCGGTCTTCAGCAACCCATGCTTGCCGTAAAAGGCGACTATGCTTGTCGTGAAAGCGACTAACGGGATCGGGTGGTCAGGCTCGCTGACTTGGTTGATGCATGTCATCGATCCCAATTACGTGGATCGATGCTCATGATATCAATCACTGGATTGTCTGGTCCAGACTCGATTATTTACAGACCGCCGTCATATAGCTTGAATATTGCTGAGTGCGGCGTAAAACAACCAACCAACCAACCCACAGTATTGCTTTTCACGAGGTGTCTTATTTATATGCACTGGGCAAGCTCGGTGACATGGCTGATGCGAGTCACCGTACGGCATGGGACGTTGCTCATGATAGGAATACGAGAAAAAATATTATTCTTATGTTTTTGTGATTAGAAATACTTTATATTTCGAATTAAGGCAGACATTAAAACGTACATCCATATTATAACGCTGGTGGTTTCAGAAGCTGCAGAGCAATGTTGTATCGTGTTGAATAAATCGACCTCATTGATGCTATGTTCTGTTGTTTTATGTGCAGTGGTTTCCTGGACGAAAGGGTCTCGTGATTGGAATAATTGATGCCTGCTATGGCGGCAGTGCATTTGCCCTGAACCAAATCATCACCAGATTTATCAACCCTGACAACCTTTCCCCTGACCAAGATATCAACAACAACCAGTGATTAATTACCCTGAAATATTTCTGAAATGTATTGTAACAGTTTGTTTAAGATAAATTTTTTTGTTTTTTTCAATTTTAAACATACAACCTAAAGAATTGTGGTTGCTATTACTGCTAAATATGAATAATAATAATTTTGCTTTATTTCGGTCTTCACGTGAATGCCAGATACAGTCGAAAATTTTAAATCGTTTTTTTTTGGACTTTGTTGTCTTAATGACATTTGTCTTTAAATGAAACATAGTGTTAATAAACGCTTTAGTTTTGCAATTCAGAGCCAATTTGAGGCACGAGTTGAGACACTTAGTGAAGGACCCGTGAAGATTCCGGGGTAGAATAGGTCTTCAGCAACCCACGCTTGCCGTAAAAGGTGACCATGCTTGTCGTAAAAGGCGACTAACGGGATCGGGTGGTCAGGCTCGCTTACTTGGTTGATGCATGTCATCAATCCCAATTTCGTGTATGGATGCTCATGATATCAATCACTGGATTGTCTGGTCCAGACTCGATTATTAACAGACCGCCGTCATATAGCTGGAATATTGCTGGAGTGCGGCGTTAAACAACAAACCAACCAACTTAGTGAAGACAACTTCACGTCTCTTCCAGTTATTTCACTCAAGACAGTCTCCTGGATAGAGTGCCCTACTGTTTTCTCCTCCTGGGAGGTATTTATGCAGCACTAAGTACAGTCGGGGTCCTGCTAATGAAGGATCCAGCAGTGCAGGTAGAAAATGGGGATGTGAGTAAATGGAAAGTGCGTTTTATCAATTAAAAAATACAGCGTAGGTTGTTCACTGTGGGTTCTTTCGTCCTACAGGAAGGGCTTTGCCAACTTGCCAAGCACATTCATGCTTCAACGCCGAATATCAGTAACATCACAGCACTTATATTCTTTAAAACCACATATCAGTTATAACACACCAGTTGTGTCCTTCAGCTCTGTATTGAGTTTAATCACAGTATGTCAAATCTATATAAAAAATCCAAAGTGACAACTACCACTTTCGTATGCACAAACAACAGCAAGGTATATAATAGTTGCCAGCTAATGGTTGCATCAATTAAATGCTATTAATTCTGATATTAAGTGTAACTGACCTGTTCTAAATACTGGTGGGCATGTTAATTTTAGTTATAGTTTTGTTTAACAAAATTGCCAAACATAACGAGATCAATTAACCGAAGTGTATAATCAAGCTAATGGTCATATGATTACATGGATGTCATCTAATGGTTTTAGGCTCCTGGTCTGAAGGACACAATTCAAGAAATAGGAGACACTGGAATTAAAGAAGACGAAAACAGAGACGAAAGGTATCATAAAGTAGAGGATAATCACTAATATCAGTAATGAGTTTTAACAAATTCCTGGAGAACGAATATTTCATAAGAATAAATTGTGTCCTTTCTTCCATGCGGACGGAGGTAGCCAAATCCTCAAGGAAACTACAAGGACAGCGTGGTTCTCCATCCTTCGAATGATGTACCATGAATGTATATTGTGTTTTCAGACCCGTGAAGATCGGGGTAGAATTGGTCTTCAGGAACCCATGCTAGCCGTAAAAGGCGACTATATATGCTTGTCGTAAAAGGCGACTAACGGGATCGGGTGGTCAGGCTCGCTGACTTTGGTTGATGCATGTCATCGATCTCAACTGCGTGGATCGATGCTCATGACATAAATCACTGGATTGTCTGGTCCAGACTCGATTATTTACAGACCGCCGTCATATAGCTGGAATATTGCTGAGTGCGGCGTTAAACAACAAAGCAACAACAACCAACAATCTTTCAGACATGATGACGACGGAAGCCTGAGCCCGATGGAAACATTAAAGACAGTCCGGTTCTACATCATCTGGCTGGTGTACTTCAGTTTGGGAGTGTCCATTGACATCTTCTACGGCTTTTACAAGGCATGTCACAGTGATAATACTGGCATTTATATTCTCCATGTTTTAAGAGTTCCGATGTAATGGTAATGATATACATTTCTACATAAATCACAGACCTGAAAGGTGACGGGTCTGTTTGTATTGTACACTGACACATTTATTATTTCGGAAGCCTCCTCTGTTCAGGCATCGTGCATAAGAAAACGAAAACACTGTTGTGTTAAATTCAGACCAGCATCGTACATCGAGGATAGAAGCCGACTAAGATATAGTTTGGAAAAGATATTATTTGATCAAATCTTGTCAAAGATCCTAAGAAATCAACATCGATAAATCTTACTACAGGATTCATGGAAGGGAGGTTATGTATTTGGATTGGAGTTGAATTTGACAGAAGTCCACCTAAAAGTATCTAACTTAAACATTTCATACACAATACAACAGCGTTTAGCTGTACTGTAAGTTCTCGATCAGATTTTAAACTGTATATATCTACATGTTTTTGTTCAGCCATATGGTGAAACATTCATCACTGATGACTACTTCCTGTCTTTGGTGGCCTCCTTTGCTGCTATAGCAAATGCTCTGGGAAACCTGTTCTGGGGGTTCATGGTTGACAGGTATTCATACAAGGTAAAAGTAACTGACCCATGTAGTTGGTTTATTCATTACATTCACGGGAGACCCGTGAAGATTCCGGGGTTGAATAGGTCTTCAGCAACCCATGCTTGCCGTAAAAGGTGACTATGCTTGTCGTAAAAGGCGACTAACGGGATCGGGTGGTCAGGCTCGCTGACTTGGTTGATACATGTCATCGATCCCAATTGCGTGGATCAATGCTCATGATGTCAATCACTGGATTGTCTGGTCCAGACTCGATTATTTACAGACCGCCGTCATATAGCTGGAATATTGCTGAGTGCGGCGTTAAACAACAAACAAACAACAACATTCACGGGAATAATCCGATTGGACGCCTAACTGGACAAACATGTAAAAGAATACATTTCCTGCAACGTTCCCAACATATTTGGCGTTAGTAGTATGTCCATGTTGATTGCTAAAATCTTCTTCAAACCCAAACTTATCCCATCGAGTTTTAGTTGCAAAATTCAAAAGAGTTTAAGATTCAACACCCACACCCCTCGGCATAATTTCACGTTGAAAAGTGCTTTCTCCAATAATTTTTTTTCAAATAATTCAGTGTGAATAGTTCTGGAGTCAAATATGCCGTGATACGTTTTAGTCGAATGCATTGAAATTTGCCATTTTGAATAAGCTGTGTACTCTTACAAGTAACCATCACAAGTATGGTTTGTGTAAATGTTAGCTGTTTTCTATTTTAAAACTGTCGTTTTCTCTTTATTCAAAAGATGTCTGCACACTAGGAAGGAATAGAAACTGATCATGTAAACTCAGACGTGTAAAACTTTGTCTGAAGGGTCTTTTTCAGTATCTGTGAAGTGCTGCGAGAAACAAAATCGTGGTTAACTGTATGTTAGTAGTAATTGTTATTGTCAAATCCAGAAGTATAGATCACATTTATGGTGCTGACAAACTGAATCAACGCGAACCAATGATCCTTAGTTCAGGCACGCCTCATTAAATGACGTAGCTCTGCACAGCGCGTTTCGGAATTTAGACGACTGGACACACACACAACACAACACAACACAACACAACACAACACACACACACACACACACACACACACTACACTACACCACACACACACACACACACACACACACACACACACACACACACACACACACACACACACAACACAACACAACACAACACACACGGTTGTTGCAAGCCTATGTCAGCCATTCCATAAACTGCAGATAAAGCTCAAAAGTACGACCGAAGTTGACTGAAACCTATCCATTTCCAGCCCGTCCTGGTGTCCTTGATCACAGCCAGTGGTGTATTCCAAGCTACTCTAATCGCAACAGAGTACGGGGGAAAGGCCATGTACTTCATCTGGGTCTGCTGTCTTGGTTTCTCCATGAACGGCATATTCAGCATCCTTCCGCTGATAGCCATTGAGATGTTTGGAAATAAGTACTACTCAGTTAACTATGGACTTGTGCACACTGCTGGAGTAAGTGATCTTGAGCTGGAATTGGAAGAATAATTACCTTCATGATAGGTGTTAGTCCGTTCCTTGGAGGGTGAGACCCGTAAAGATCCGGGGTAGAATAGGTCTTCAGTAACCCATGCTTGCCGTAAAAGGCGAATATGCTTGTCGTAAAAGGCGACTAACGGGATCGGGTGGTCAGGCTCGCTGACTTGGTTGATGCATGTCATCGATCCCAATTTCGTGAATAGATGCTCATTATGCCCATCACTGGATTGTCTGGTCCAGACTCGATTATTTACAGACCGCCGTCATATAGCTGGAATATTGCTGAGTGCTGCGTTAAACAAGAAACCAACCAACCAACTTGGCGGATGACGGGTGACGGGTGCCACCGACGGGGCAGGATACGCTCACTTTTAACAACTGATATTATCACTATTTGATAGTGATTCATAAACACATGCTCATGATACACTCGAAATCGTACAATCGACTCTGTTTTCGGCAGAGAATTTCCCATGAATATGGAAAGGGTTTGCCCCTTTTATTTATCTTGTATTTATAGTGGATGCATAGCAGTAAAGAATGGGAATAATAAGGTCAGGCTTCTTTGCAGTCGTGTTGCTACCTGTGTGCATACAAAGGAGACTTTGTAGTGAGTGAGTGAGTATGGTTTTACGCCGCTTTTAGCAAACTTCCAGCAATATCACGGCGGGGGACACCAGAAATGGGCTTCACACATTGTACCCATGTCGGGAATCGAACCCGGGTCTTCGGCGTGACGAGCGAACGCTTTAACCACTAGGCTACCCGACCGCCCAGGAGACTTTGTAAGCGCTGTTATCAGTCGGTATATGTAAATTCTTAATTTGTAATAGTGTACATACAAAACGAACACATAGCAAAATTGGCATTAAGTTTAAAACTCAAATTAATGATAGTTTCAGGAAATTTACTGCAAATGTAATTATTGCAAATGTCATGATACCTATATTATAGATTCACATGTATTGGATAATTTACTCTTAGATTTGCCAGTTAGGTACATTTAATCATTCAAAAAACAAAAGCGACAAAACTCTTTCCATAATTATAAGAGTCAATTGTACGGATCTGTTTATACTGTAGGTAATAACACCATGTGCATCACTGGTGGCACCCGTCATGAACACATACACAGGCAAGTCGATTCTTCACTTGAACACGCACGAGAACATATGGTACAAGTCATCATTTTGGTCACATTTGTGGTTGCAAATGTCCTCCACATGTCTACCCTATACCTTTTTGAAAACTTTATTAAGGCCTTCAATGCTGCAACCAATTGGTCAAACAATTTTTAGCAAAAATCGTAAAATGTTTTTTTGTAATCTTGTTATTGACCCCTTGGGGTTCATTAAAATCCTGGAATTATTTTTAACAAGAACAAAGGCAGGGCGGGACAACTTAGGAATGGCCAGGAGTCCGAACTTGACCACACAGAAGGAAGCGAGCTACAAAAACATGTTTTATATCACTGGAAAGCTCTCGAGGAGTCGAATCCAAATAATGTGTGTCCCAGTGTGTTCACATGTTCATAAGCTCAAAAATTGGCTCAGAAAATGCATTACTGCAGAAATTTCTGGCCGAATTTTTTTTTTCTGCAGAAATTTCTGGCAGTATTTTTTTTTTCTACAGAAATTTCTGGCAGAATTATTTTTTTTCTACAGAAATTTCTGGCAGAATTTTTTTCTGCAGTAATATTTAGCAGAATTGTTTTAATTCAGGAGAAATAAGATTCAATCATTGGATAGTTGAACCTGGAGTTGCTTCAAATGACCTTTTTCCTCAAAAGAAACATTTTTAGTTCACATGATTTCAAGCAAAAAAATAAAACTAATTTCGTGAGATATTTCAAAAAATTATTTATTCACATGCTTTATTACAAGACAATTCCTTGGGAGACTTTGCACTTTTCATTCTCATTTCTTGGGTGAGATGATTTTTTCAGTGATGGGCCCTGTCACAAAAGAAAATAGATGTATAGATGAGTGGATCCATAGTGTCTAATATAATGGATAATAGCAGCCTATACGCAGCTAGAGTTTAACTTTACAATAGAGCCTGCGGAATAAAATGTATTATGAATGTAAATATTGTGCTTTACTTACGTTTTCTTCTCAACATACTTGAAATGAATTCTTTTTTCGTCTGGTCATTGAAAGCTATGTGCACATATTCTGAAAAGATAGGAAAAAACCATTAAAATGCTTTTCATTTCAGTAATTAACACATTCCACAAGCTTTAGACACATGAACAAAGTAAGATAAGTGAGGTGAGTTGAAATTGGGTTGAATGTCGCGTCCAAGATAATTGCACTTATATAGCATGTGCGTGCGTGCGTGTGTGTGTGTGTGTGTGTGTGTGTGTGTGTGCGTGCTTGTACTAGTCGTCTGCATCTTCCGTTTTGTACAGGTCACTCCATAAGTTGTCAGTGACCGCATACTTGTGTAGGGGGCACTCAATGTTCACACTGTCATGAAGCTGAAATTTATATAAGGATGAGTATACTGCGAAAATTACATTGGATTAATTCGTTAAAAGAGACTTATGTATCATGTTTGGGAGAGGCATTCAGATAAGCAAAATTTGCTTGTTTGCCAATCCCTCCACTTTATGGAAATAAATATGTTTATATCAAGAGACTTCTAAACCATAACCGAACTCAAAACTAACCCCATGTGTCGTAAATGGGTGCTCTAAGGTAAAAAGGATGGTAAACACGTGTTTCATTGGCAAGAGATACTCAACCCTTATGATCGGAAAGGGGGTCCAAGGACAAAGGAGAGACCAGACCTACTACCCAGAGGGGGCAGCCTGGTACAAGACTTAGTGTAAAGCTAGCCTAGTCTATGTCTCCACTAAAAAAAAATAGATAAATTTTCGGACAGCATAATCTGGTGTCAGATCTTAAAAAAGTTCCTAACGACTGTGAAACCATGGTAAGAAGTATTATTATTAATGAAGCAACCTTCCCAAGTGTGTGTGCTGCATAAGCCGGAGTGGTTCCCCTTGAATTTCCAAAATATCAATCGACAGACGAAACGACAATTAGTTCGCTTGACATATCCAGTTGGGGGTTATTCTTTTTTAGTTTGGTGGAAAAATGATATGAAACACTGGGGTCTGACTGACTGATATAGAAGATTTAACGTGCGCTTTCCGACTGTAGCGTATTTCGCACACGGGCCTGGCCAGACCATTTAGTGTATTCCGAGAAGGGTGAAAGTGGTGTGTGCAACACAAGAGGGGGCTTTTAGGGGTTGCTTATATTGAAGTTTTGGAATTTTTAAATTTCGAATAAATGCCGAGGTGGGTGGAGGAGGGAACTAAGGGAGCCGGGTGAGGTGGGTGTTTGTATGTTTATTGGATTTTGGATTGGTAGATTAATTAGTTTTTAGATGCGCTTAATAAGGTCTGTTTTGATTAGGAATACGCCTAGGGCCTTGAAGTTTTCTAGTTTATTTTGAGGGTTTAGTATTTCATCTAGAGTAGGAACCTTATTTCGATTGAGGGTGGTTTGTAGTGTGGTTCTGTGTGTTTGGTAGTGGGTGCAGTGGATGAGTGCGTGTTCTGTGGTTTCGGGTTGTTTGCAGTGGGGGCAGTTGCCTGTGGTGTGTCTTTTAAGTTTTTTTAGGTGGTTATTTAGGTTCGTGTGTCCTGTTTGGAGTTTTGTAATAAATCTGTCAATTTTTTTAGAGGGGTGTAGGATTTTAGGTTTGGCTAGTGGTTTTCTGAGCACTTTTTTGATTTGGCTATTTGAATTTTGATATTGATAATGCCATTTTTTGGTTATTTTTTGTTTGTTTACACTTTTAATTTCTGCTTTTGAGATGGGTAGGTTTAGGCTTATTACTGGTATTTTGAGAGATAATTTAGCTGCTTTATCGGCGCTTTCGTTGCCGTAAATTCCTACGTGGGCGGGGATCCACAAGAAGGTTATTTGTTTGCCTGCTTTTGTTAGGTCGTCGGAGCTTTTAAGTGTTTGGTTTATTAATTTAGGTCGTTTTTGGTAATTTTGTTTTGGAGGGCTTTTAGTCCACTAAGGGAGTCGGTGAGAATTAGGATTTTATTGTTGTTTTGAGATTGGGGCTGCCCAAGGACTAAATATATCATACAATTTTTGAAATACCCGTATACATTCTGTTTGTCGAGTGACCTTGTGAACAACCAACACCCTCCTTAACCCCCCCCCCCCAAAAAAAGTAGCACGCTCACGGTTTTCAATATATTCGATAACATACTACTTAGATGCGAACTGTTTAATTGACAGCTGTTAATTGGTAACGGTCAAGCCTCAGTGACTTTGCATTGGGAGTGTGTGTGTGAGGGGGCGTCTGAAATAAAGGATGATTCAGTCGGAATAAAGATAAGATAATGATCTCATAAATTTTATTGAAGGCTTTGAAAGTTTAGGATCGGCGAGACCGTAACACAGTGTAATTAACAAAACGATCACGTGATCGTGGCGCTGATAGACAATACCCACCGACCACGTGCGCGAGACTATGTATCACCGTATGAAGTGACAATACCCGAGGATATTTAATTGCCAAGTTGGCAGGAAGTCTTACGCAAGTAAGATCGGCAGATGGCTATGCAAAATTCAAACCAAGGTCCAACAAAAGCCAAACTCATACTCAAATGAAAGGAAAATTGAAATTGCTATCTCACGCCTCAGACTTGGTCACAAAAAGCACTATGACAAGGTTTATTCATCTTGCAATCAGGCTGAAACCATTGACCACGTGTTACTAGAATGTCAAGACCATGCCCCAGCCCGGGCTATGTTAAAACAAGAATTGCAGTTAGATCCGCTATCTGTCATAGATCTCCTAAAGCCAAGAGATGCAATAGCGAAGGCCAAACTAACTCTATTTCTGAGAGATGGACAGCTACTCAAACGTATATAAACAGAGCAGCCAAGGATAAAAATGAAATCATATCAATATAAGAAAATAGAAATCATATCAATGCAAAAACAGAAATTATGTGAACACCGAACTCACAATAGATATGTGTACCCTTCTCACACACAGGAGTCCCAAAGAGGGACAGGTCAGCCGAAATTGCCTAGGCAGGAGGCGACCTCTTAAACACTTAATGCAACAACAACAGGAAGTCTGGCGGCACGGCCCGTACAATATGCGTCGTTTGGGTATTCTAAATTATCTCAGCACCAGCTTTGATGGGGCAATAAGAGAAGATGATATATATGTTTATTTTAGGAAAACATTAATACAACAATTTGTTATATTAAAAAACATTGGGTTTATAAAGTTATTTTTATGTAAATATTTCTAACGTTATAAATGATAGAAAACTCGCATGTAAATGATCAAAATACTGCATGGATTGGTATTTTTTAATTTTCCGTGTTTTTACTTTCACTGATCACATAACTTCATGGCCACATAGCTACACTACAAGTGTCGCCATACAGCTACAATAAGTTGCCTAATGTACATGTAGACAGTATACAAGTCGCAATGTCACAACAGGGGATGGAGATATCTCCTTTTCAGATTAGTTTGTTTGCGTATTTTTTTATCAAAAGTGGTAGAAAATTAGACTCTTACAAAACGCGTTTCGCATGGCAGCAAAGCCACACATTCACTGTTTGGAGTACAGGTTGTTATTTGGTTGTTGTTATATGAAATAACCGTGTTACCAAAATTCCACGTTCTAGGGTCGGCGTTTCCAGAAATAAGACAATAAATATTTTGACGTCTTACCTGTATCGTAACTGCAAGACGGTAACCAGACGCTGTAACTCTGCTGACTGCACGTGGTTCGGGATCTTTGCTGTGGCTGAAATAAAGAGTGCTATTTTTTACAGAAAGAGAACACGTTGCTTGTGCCATTGAGCAAAGACATTGTGCGAAGGTACGATTCTGAATATACATGATTATATACAAGTCACATGACAAAGAAGGTATTTACATGAAAGATATTTCAAATCTCCATGTTAGAGACCTTGAGAAATGTAGATTTAACTGAATCCAATCCGATTAAGTGTTACTATCATTCATTACAAATGGATAATACGATATTGCATTATAGAGAGGGTAATTATAGCTACCTGAAGGAGCAACCATATGTCCACTCTTTGAAGTTGCCGCCAAACCGGACGCGTAATTGTAACTCGCAAGAACACTGTTTACACAGCTTCTTGGCAAGCTTTTCACCTCAATTATTTCGTGTCGCTTACAAATGTTCGCTGATTCAATTAAGCTGCTAAATGACAACCAGTCAGGCTTCAGAAACAATCATTCAACAATGGATAACATATTTATTTTAAAATCGCTAATAGACATATATTTAGCCGAAAACAAAAAACTGTTCTGTGCATTTGTACACTTCAGTAAGGCATTTGATACTATAGACAGATGCAGCTTGTGGCTTAAAATGTTAATATCTAATCTTGAAGGAAAATGTTTTCGTATAATTCATAATATGTATAAAGGAATTAAGTCGTGTGTTTCTCTTAATGGAAAAATTTCATCTTTTTTCCCAAGCATGATAGGAGTCAGACAGGGTGAAAATTTATCTCCATACTTATTCTCTATTTACCTAAATGACTTAGAAGCATTTCTAGCAGAAAATAAATTCCAAGGACTGCAGCTAGTAAGTGACGAGTTCAGCAATCAGTTAAATACTTACGTTAAACTACTAATCTTACTATATGCTGATGACACAGTATTATTAGCTGAATCACCAGATGACTCACAAAAAGCTCTGAATATTTTTGAAAAATACTGCCATCAATGGAAATTGGAGGTTAACATCAGCAAAACTAAAATTCTCATATTTGAGAAACGCTCCCACTCTAAAAATCTAAACTTTATATTTCGTAACAAACCCTTGGAAATTGTTAAAGAGTTTTCATATTTAGGAATCTTATTTACAAGCACTGGTCGTTTCCACAAAGCTATCAAAAAGTTAAGTGAGCAAGCATCAAAAGCAATGTACAGCATATTTAGAAGAATAAGAACACTAGACATTCCTTTAGATTGCCAACTTAAACTGTTCGACAATTTGGTTCAACCGTTACTTCTTTATTCTTCAGAAGTATGGGGGTATGAAAATGTAAGGACAATTGAAAGAATTCACCTTAAGTTCTGTAAATCTATCCTCAGATTAAAACAGTCAACACCCGATTTTCTAGTATATGGTGAATTAGGTAGACATCCATTAACGATTCAGATAAAAATAAGAATGATATCTTTTTGGAGCAAACTAATTGTATCGCCTAATAAACTATCTAGCCGCATCTACCTGCTAATTCATAAAATCACAATGACTAGCAATACTGCATTTCCATGGCTCACCTCAATTAAAAATATTTTATATGAAACTGGTTTGAATTTTGTCTTTGATACTAACTCTTTTCCAAATCTCTCTTGGCTTAAAACTAACGTTAAACAAACCTTAATAGACAACTTCTATCAAAGCTGGAATGTCAAGGCGTGTTCTTCATCTAAAGGCAAATATTATACAATGCTAAAAGACAAACCACAGTTAGATGAGTATCTATTATCTCTCCCATTGAAACAAGCAATCTGGATTCTTAAACTGAGAACATCAAATCATAGACTACCAATTGAGAAAGGCAGATGGTTTAACACACAGAGTACTGAGAGAACTTGCACTTTATGTAACGACCAAATAGGAGATGAATTTCACTTTCTATAAGTATGTCCAAGACTAAATGACCTTCGTAAACAATACCTTCCGGCCTACTATACTAAATATCCCTCCACTCTAAAATACAATCAATTAATGAAATGTTCATACAAACCCATTCTAGTAAAACTGGCTCAGTTCTGTAAAAAAGGTTTAACATTATTTACATAATTAGATATCATAGGATCGTCGATCTATGGCTGGAAAATTGCCCTCGCGACGTTAAAATTTGTGAATTTCACTCTACAATATAATATATGTGTATATTTTATGTGTTCACGTTTGTAGTTATGCAGATCATATATGTATTATATAAATGCATTATGGGTGCATGTATGTATATATTATTATATATTATTGTTGGTGTGGTTGTGTATATATTCAACCTCATGTATGCTCTGTAATCACTCTGTGTGATTTTCTTACGAGCAATAAACTTCTGTTCTGTTCTAAATTTGGAGAAGCGTAAGTGTGGTGAAAGAACAATAATAATAATAAGAAGAATATAGTTTATTAATGTGTCATGTGTACATAATACACCTGGCCATTACTGGCCTAAAAGACACCTAAAATTATACAATCAATAAAATACATAAATAAAATATTATAACTAACAAACCCCACCCACCCACCACCCCTCCCCTCGCCCCACTCCACAGACACACGGACATATACTCTCATGCAAGATCAACCTAGTCACCAGTTCACACACCTTAGCACACACACACACACCCTCCCCCCTCCCCCCCATTATACATGTCCCAGGTCAGCGAGTCACAGAAATCCAACTCGGTCACTCAATTACACGCATTATTGAATATGACCCCCACACATTCAATCATGCACAAGTTCAACCGTGTCAATCAACCATTCTGTATTCAATCTGCCCACCCTTCCTAGCACACACCCATACACGCCCCAAGTCACACCATGTCACACAGTCATGCATATACTTTAATCCAGTCATTCTGTTTGTCCCCAATCCCCTTGGTCAGTCTGTCGTATTTCAAAATTTCTACTTAGTCACCTTCTCTCCCAAATAATATACAATTATATATATATATATATATATAGATATTGTTCACTAAAAAAAGATATTATTATATTATGGTAGTTTGGATAAGCACAAACTACTAATCTGCTTAATCACATTCTCGCACCGGTAATGTACAACATATGAACATAGAATTATACCTAAGGATATTGTTCACTAAAAACAGATATTTTTAAATTATGGTAGTTTGGATAAGCACAAACGCCTTTTGCTGTACACAGTGTGCAAACATTTAGATAACTGGTACTGAATGTTGTCATTTTTAAGAAGCCACAGAAACTTTTCAAAATTTGAAAATTCAGTGAAATTTGTTTCTTGTATTTTAGCTGTGTTTAATATAGATAGTCTGATATCTTTATAGAAGTTGCATTCTACAACAAAATGAAATTCATCCTCTATGGCTTGCTTGTCACAGAGAGTACATAGTCTTTCTGAAAGAGGAGTGATGGGCTTGGTATATCTTCCACATTCTATATTAATTGGCAGGTTACCACAACGCAATGATGCTAATACACTTCTATATTGCCTTGGTAGAGACATTTTAACATAATGGCATGTTTCAATGTCTTGTTGAAATAATCTATAAGTTCTTAACTTGTTTCCATTTGAATTATTTTTATCATTAAATAGATCTGAATACCACTTCTCTCTGTCTTTCTTATCCAGCTCCTGCAATGCTTGATCAAGGAACACTGGCCGGCTTGTGTTATTACAGTAATCATATGCAGTCTGGCCTCTATTGGTGATAGCAAGCTTTTTAACCATGACCATAACCCTGTAGTCCCATGATGATTTCCGCCTTACTGACCACCTGTGAATAATACCTATTATTGAATCTGGTTCGGCTGTGACAGCTCTATGAAAACATCTAAACACTTCAACTTGAATCTAAGTCTGTTGAATGTAAGTGAGGCATGAAGTTGCACGGAGGAACCAACGTGAGACTTTATAATCACATGGTTGTTCATATATGTTATTTAATGCGTGATAGGTATTACCGCTTAAAAGGTGGTTTTGTATTTATAATAAAAACTGATCGTTTACATTTAATATAGAATATAAAAATAGTTTTGTCTGGGTAGCAACATAACTGTTGCATAGGGTATGTTGTTTAATGATAATACTATATGAACATTCCTCGAGCCAGCTGACTTACACTATGGATAGTGTACAAGACAACAGTTATAGAACATCACGTGATAAGGTTGATGGAAACGGCAAAATATTTATTTACAATATATGTGTTTCCAGGGGAAGAGCCTGTTACAAAGTCTGTGTCTAAAAAAAGTAAACTCGCTCCTTGTCGGACAAAACTGACACTTAATTCGAGTGACGTCAACTTTTCTTGATAAATTTGGTAAATATAATACAAAGATAAATATCTGCAATTGCTTAATTCAATTTAAACTCTCCAAAGATTGATGGTTGATATTACTGCAGAAAAAAATTCTGCCAGAAATTTCTGTAGAAAAAAAAATTCGGCCAGAAATTTCTGTAGAAAAAAAATAATACTGCCAGAAATTTCTGCAGAAAAAAAAAATTCGGCCAGAAATTTCTGCAGTAATGCATTTTCTGAGCCAATTTTTGAGCTTGTGAACATGTGAACACACTGGGACACACATTATTTGGATTCGACTCCTCAAGAGCTTTCCAATGATATAAAACATGTTTTTGTAGCTCGCTTCCTTCTGTGTGGTCAAGTTCGGACTCCTGGCCATTCCTAAGTTGTCCTGCCCTGCCTTAATTATTATTATAGTCTGTTACAGTAATAACATTTCATTTGATCAAGAAACGTTTCAACTTGCTAACAAATTGTTACAATGATACCAGTATCATTCAGGTATGTTGCACTTTTAGATTCAGTTCGTTTGCCTCCCACTTGGATAACTCCCATGGTGTAGGAAAATACAATACTGTGAATATTTCTAAATGCTGAAAAAGCATCACCCTTTACTTCCCGATTGTCATATTCTTGGGCTACATAGTGACTTCGTTAACGCCACACTCAGTAATATTTCACCTATATGACGGCAGTCTGAAAATTATCGAGCCTGGATCAGACAATCCAGTGTTTGACATCAACAGCATTGATCGATGCAATTTGAAAAATCATAGCCTGACCACTCGATCAGGGACCAATTGGAATCCCAACTGGCGAACCCGTTTCTAAATGCATGTGCAACAATACACGGATTAGGGATACGCGATAAACCATGGCGCGGGGCCTTTCTGCTCGATCCATTTCAGTCGACACTTATGATAAGCCCAGGTTTATTGGATTGAATTCTACCAATTCTCCGAATAATCAACGAAGGTGAGAATTATAATTCAATTCATGCGTTTCTCAACTTTTGATTCCTATTTCAACATGTGAAAATCATAGCCCTTTATTTATGATTTCAGATAGCTTTTGGTTTGGTTGGAGCAACGATTTCGTCCCAGTCGAAGGATACCTTGGGATGGCATGGCCTGTTCCTTCTATCCGCTGGCATTTCAGTTATCAGTAGGTTATTTTGTGGATTTCCAAAATCAATACTATTCATCAAAACAAATGAGATTTCATAAAAATGAATCTCGTCAAGAGTAATCGTAATTACTTCTGGCCTTGAATTTTTGTTTTGTTTACTATCTGTATGCCCATTTTTTTTCAAATAGAGTCGTGGCACTATCATTATTATATTATTATTATATTGTCATACTCACGTTGAGATACTAACAAGCTTGAAAGAAATAATTTCTGTGATGATTACATACAACCATCGGCTTGTTAATAATTTTAGTTCAGTATAATATGTTTGATGCATTATATTCTTGCTTTACAGGTTTTCTCTTGTCCCTTATCCTCTATTTCAAGAATTGGACGATGGAAAAGAAATCGTCACCTATTTGACGGCATGTGTCGTGTCATGTTAGGGCCACAATCACCTCCTGAGTATTGTTCACAGAGTAGAAAATCAAAATATAGCTGGAATCTAAAGTTAGATAGATAGACTTGCAGTCGGGGTGCATACAAAGTTACACAATCAATCAGGTCACACTTTGTAACCCCATGATGTCCGGGGTACCTACATATACTGTTGAAATAGAATAGGGGATGTAGAATACCATGTATAATATCTTGAATATACTGAATGTGTTTCCGTGATTACGTTCGGGAAGACTGAGAGAAATGCGACAGAAAACAAGATGAATGTATAATTGAACGATTGTATTCCAACTAACAGTCAATATCGACAACAATGACAGTATAGCTGATAATGCATACCATACATTGCCTAGTGTAACAGTCTTCAAGAATACAAGTTGGTGCAATGCAGACACAAATAATTTGAAAATAAAATACTGACGATTTGGTGCAAGTCGTGTCCTGGTATTGGTGTAACTGCTGGGTAAAAGGCTTTGGGTTTCCAAGGGGCCCTTCAGCAGCAATCTACGTACTGCCTTTCCGAGTCGCCATTGTGAGTCTCAGCAACTCAGCAACTTCCTTGGCGGTTAGAGAAGCTCCAAGGCCGGAAGCGATGACTCCGAATTATCGTCATAAACAGGCAAGCACTGTGGCACACCCATACAAGAATTAACGCAACACAGGTTTGATACTCAATAAAATTTACTGTACTTCATTCCATCCCTGATTAGACTACTAACTGGACAGGCCAGTCTCGTCATCTGATGGGCAACAGGCAGTGTTCGGAATAGGTGTCTGCTCCTAGGCCCCTTGCAGGTAGATCTCGTGTGGGGCCCGAAGTTTCAATTTGTATGGGTTCGGGTGGTCAGGCTCAGGCTCGGGCTCAGGCTCGCTGACTTGGTGGATGCATTTCATCGATCCCAATTCCGTGGATCGATGCTCATGATGTCAATCACTGTATTGTCTGGTCCAGACCCGATTATTTTACAGACCGCCGTCATATAGCTGGAATATTGCTGAGTGCGCCGTTTAACAACCAACCAACCAACCATTACAAAGATTACGTCAGACAACAAATGTTAATGTCATGTTAAACTTTGCCAGGTTCCTGAATTGTATCTTCACAGGAAGATAAAGCACTTGTTTATCTTCCCTTAAGAAATAAATCTCTGTAAAATGGAACTTGTAAACCTTTTTGTACTATAGGTCTGATGGCCTCCATGCAAATAAAACTGTCTGTCTGTCTCTCTGTCAGTAAGTATTTGGGACCCGTGAAGATTCCAGGGTAGAATAGGTCTTCAGCATCCCATGCTTATCGTAAAAGGCGTCTGTGCTTGTCGTAAGAGGCGACTAACGGGATCGGGTGGTCAGGATAAAATAGAGCAATGGACAATGTAACAAACAACGCGCTTATATGCCACACATGCTCCTACGATATATGATGCAAAAAGGCGTAAATGATTGACATATAACATTACTAAACAAATTTATATACGGTCCATATTTACATGCTAGGCCATGCTAGGCCATGACAACCCCTACATACTTGAGAATCGTATGATCGAACAGCAGCTGTGTCTAGATTTGATATGCTGTGTATTGTCCAGTGATCGGTCCAGTGCAAGAGACTATTTGTTCTATCACTCCTATGTATGTATGTATGTATGTATGTATGTATGTATGTATGTATGTATGTGTGTGTGTGTGTGTGTGTGTGTGTGTGTGTGTGTGTGTGCGTGCGTGCGTGTGTGTGCGTGCGTGCGTGCTTGTGTGTGTGTGTGTGTGTGTGCGTGCTTGTGTGTGTATTCGTGTATGTGTGTGTATATGTGTGCGTGCGTGTTTGTATGTATGTATGTATGTGTGTGTGTTTGTGAGTGTATTTGTGAGTGTATTTGTGTGTATATATATGTGTGGGCGCGTGTTTGTATGTGAGTTTGTGTATATGTGTGTATATATGTGTGTTTGTGTGTGTATCTATGTGTGTGTTTGTGCATGTTTGTGTATGTGTGTGTTTGTGCGCGTGTATGTATGTGCTTGTGTGTGTATGTTTGTGTGTTTATGTATGTGTGTTTGTGTGTGTATGTATGTGTGTGTTTGTGTATGTGTGTTTGTGCGTGTGTATGTGTATGTGTGTGTTTGTTTGTGTATGTGTGTGCGCGCACGCACATTTGGGGTCCACTAAACATATGGTTGGTATACTACATGAAACGTCAAAGCCATAGAATAACCAGTCTCAACTAACCTGTGAAGATCCTGTTTAGAGTAGGTCTTCAGCAACTCGTAAGAGGCGACTAACGGGATCGGGTGGTCAGGATTGCTGACTTGGTTGTCATCGTATCCAAAAAGTGTGCATCGATGCTCATGATGTCAATCACTTGATTGTCTGATCCATACTTGCTTATTTACATTGGAATATTGCTGAGTGCAGTGTTAACCAACCAACCAACCAACAAACAAACAAACAAACAAACAAACAAACAAACCAGTCTCAACTATCTGCCGATTCCACTGGGCGTAAAAGGCAAAATATCGGTTGAAATTATATGAAGGGATCACTGAAAATAAGTGATAAATTACAAGCCTATAACTAATTTATTCGGTAACATGATTGCAACAAAATTAAAACAAATACAAAAATTGCAATTTTCGGATTATTTGTTTTTAATACACATCTCCTTTTCCAAACAGGATATTTAACCTTAAAGTAAAACTAGGGCCGATTACACTAGGTATTGCTACAATGTAGGTAGTTTGATCAGATCACTCAAAGCCCACTTTGTCTAACGTTTAATTCCTATCAATCCAGCAATTAAAGACTCAACACACAGGCCCAATATCCCAGTTGCGTAGTATACAACTCCCACACGTACATCTAGACTGGAAATGTACACCCCATCATACAACATACATCACCTCGTTCAGAAAATTATAACATCTGCCATTTCATCCGACGACAACAAACCTGTCTTATATTAAAGCGAAAGATGTTATCTCGTGTTTGTATATATGTGGGTTAGCCAAATTCTCATTTCTAACAATGACAGACTACGTTTACTGATCCGAGTGACTGGGTGTTGTTAAACGCAGCAACAGAAATATCTTATATGTGAGCGTGCGTGCGTGCACGCGTGCATGCATGCGTGCCAGCGTGTGTCAGATGTTCCCGCAGCGACAAAGTGTATCGGAGTAAAATGTCCCACGTTCATGTGAATACGTGCTGAAGGACCTCATTTACATACAGACGTCCATTACACGACGATAGAATACAGACAGTGAATAACTAGCAACAGAATGGACTTCTAGACCATACTAATCACTTAGCCAATATACAATTTGGGATTCCGAGTTAGAATAGGTCTTCAGCAACCCATACTTGCCGTAAAAGGAGACTATGCTTGTCGTCAGAGGCGACTAACGGGATCGGATGGTCAGGCTCGCTGACTTGGTTGATACATGTTATCGATCCCAATTGCTTGGATAGATGCTCATGATGTCAATCACTGGATTGTCTGGTCCAGACTCGATTTTACAGACCGCCGTCATATAGCTTGAATAATGCTGAGTGCGGCGTTAAACAACAAACAAACAAACAAAACACACTGTGGTGTAGTAATGGTGTAGGTATACTTTTTCATTTAACTTACTTCATTATTTCATCAATATGATTACAATAATAAAGGGGGATTAGTCAATTTGCCTTTGTCACACCTCAGATTGCGGGGCAGAATAGGCCTCAAGAACCCGATGAATTGGAGACCGACCATTTTATATGTCGTGGTGGTGGTGGGAGGGGTTATTCTGTTTCTGACACTGCTTCAAGACAAGACATACCCATTTTCCCTCAATGAACGTTTCAGGGAATCATAACATATTTACTTGAACTCGCCATCGAACCCATCCCCCAATATAAAATGGTCATGATCAGTCCCTATGGTAACCATTCTGTGTGGCTATAGAAGTCTGGGTGATGGTGATCCATGCGTCATTTGAAATGTGTCATATTTGCACGACACTGTGATAGTTGATGACTGCAGCGAATTATGTATTTGTCTGTGAATAGCGAGGTTGCATTTACTGTTAAAAAATCGTGATCAAAATATACACGAATTATACTGTGAAGGCAGTCACGTAAAGGGCAACGCGAGTAATAAAGTATACTCCGCACACGCTCTGGTGTATGAATATTTAACCCATGTGTTGATTAATACATCTTTATCATTGATGACACTATATATTCCGATACACAGGTGTAACAAATTGGCTTTAGACTAATGCGAATGTTTCCATGGCGCCCACCGTGCTTCTTCGGCATGTGCGCATTTAATTAACTAGCATACTGTTCTTCTGCATAATATTCACAGCTCTATGTTGAAACGTAAGCTTTATTCTAGTCCTGCACCATGACCGTGGAATATATTTATTTTATGGAAAAAATAATAATCTAGAAATGCATACAAAAGCAAGTCTAGCCAGCTCAAGCCAGCTCTATTCCTCTATTCTGAAATCAGCATAGGGATTTTTTTTTTTTTTTAGAGTCAAGAAGGATATTGTGTAATATAAGATTTCAGAGACTAAATGTTAGTCTAGCTTTATTCGTACTCGTAGTGATATTTCGATGGGTTAATGTAGGAAGTATCCGTACAGCATGACCATGTTTATATATTATAGCTAAAATGGATAGAATTATCAGTAAACCGCCCGCATGTTATCAAGAATCAGCGGGCCACTGTAACTTGATAATGCCCTCATATGGCTTGACGACGGGCCATTATCACGTCCGTTGTTGGGTGACGTCATAGGGTAGGCATAGGTGACCTCACGTTAAATAGTGACGTCATCTGGTTTGTTCTATGACGTTTCCATATTTGTAATAGTGGGTCAGTGACATTTGTGTTGATTGCAGTAAATGTTTCAAAACCGATATTGTTGTTTCTTTTTATTTGATACAAAATTCCATCCATTTTAGCTATAATAACGGTAACGCTATTCTTCAGGGCATTATCATTTGCAGAAGCCCTCGGTCTTTTCAACTGCCCTCCTTCGTCGGGCAGTTAATGGAAGACCTCGGGCTTCTGCAAATGATAATGCCCTGAAAAATAGCGTTACCCTTATACTAGTATTCCACACCAGTGGAAATTGGCACATGGCATTCCTCTATATAGGAAAGGGGATAAATCGTCACCTTCCAATTATAGACCGGTATCACCACTATCCTGTATAAGTAATATTTTTGACCTAATCGTTTTGAAGAGATGGTGTATTACTAATCATCTTATAGATCATAACTTGCTGTATAAACACCACTCTGGATTTGTACCAGGACACTCAACTACTTTTCAACTACAGTCAACTACGGTTATAACGAACTAGGGACTACTAATTTTAGTTCGTTATAACCGTAGTTCGTTATAAGCACATATACAGCATGATTACAGCAAGTAGTCGGGACCAAAAAGTTAGTTCGTTATATCCGTCAGTTCGTTATAAGCGTGTTCGTTATAACCGTAGTTTACTGTACTAGAAATATATCATCAAATATGTAAGTCTTTAGATCAGCATGAATTTGCATGGTTTTCTGTGACATTACACAGGTTAAAGGTATTCGTTCACTTGTATGGTATTAGTATGGCATTAGTGATAATATGGTATTAGTGCTTAGTGCTTATGTCAATCACTGGAATGCCTGGTCCAGATTCGATTATATACAGACTGCCGTCATATAGCTGGAATATTGGTGAGTGCGGCGTTAAACAACAAACCAAACCAAAAGCATCACTACCTTTGTACTATAATTGAGGTAAGAGATCTACAAACATAGTGCACACAAGATTGAGACACAATTGTATCACACTAAGTTTCGACCTGTTTCGTGTTAACTTATCTGATACTATTTCTTGTAAATGCGGAGGTCCATCTGAAAATTAAATCAATTTCTTCTTCGAATGTACCTTATATGATGATTTTAATATTCAGTATACGCTGCTGAGCTTATAGCAAGTCTTCAAGCTCTAAGGTGGGTTAATGATAATGATCATGATAATGACGTTATATTTACTGACTCTATGGCGGCTGTTAAAGCAATTGAATATGTTTTCAATGGTTCTCGAAGTGACATTGTTTATGAAATATTGTGAATATATTACGAGTGAATGAGTGAGTGAGTGTGTATGGTTTTACGCCGCTTTTAGCAATATTCCAGCAATATCACGGCGGGGGACACCAGAAATGGGCTTCACACATTGTACCCATGTCGGGAATCGAACCCGGGTCTTCGACGTGACGAGCGAACGCTACAACCACCAGGCTACCCGACCGCCCCGAATATATTATGAAGTATATATGAAGTATGTTACGTGTGGTATTGTGCGGATTCCAGCTCATGTTAGGCTGCATGGAAATGACACAGCAGACTAGCTTGCGACATCTGGCTTGCTGTATCCTGAGGTGACAATATCAGAACTCAATCCCCAACCAAAAGATTTTGACTATATTTTAGTAAAATCATTCAACACAAGCTGGCAACAGTTGTGGTATGCTGGGACAACTGGCCGACATATGAATTCTATATTTGTCCTTCTGTAAAATAAATAGGAAAATTCGTCGACGAAAGGAAGTCATCATTACCAGACTTCGTCTTGGACACTGAAGGTTAAATACTTACCACAGTGTCATTGATAAAGATGTCTCCCCTGTATGTAGTCACTGTGATGAAGGTGAATAGTGAATAGGTCTAACACAGTGAAGCATTACTTAATTGAATGCCCAGGCCACAATGATATCAGATTAAATTTAAGAAGTGCAGTACTTGAGAGAGATGACTATTTTCTCTTACGACTACAATTTTGGGCCCAAACATATTTTATGTTTCAGTTCAATGGGCAATATTAGACTTCCCGACCGCATCAGGAAAATTTGATAAATTGTAGAAATTAAATGTATACAAACAATGTTTATTGACTTTGAAACCATTTTACCAGTTTTCGTTTTTTTATCTGATGTTGTTTTAATGTAATGAGTTCTGACTTTCCAGAAATGAAATTGTTATTACTTGCTGTTAGTATATAAATTAGATAATGAAGTAGATTAGTTCGTCATTTCGTTTCCATGACTCGGTTTGCTTTTGTTTGAAAATATTTGATGCGTTGGGCACAAATATACCTTTAATGGCCCAAGTCGCCCTTAAACCCTAAAACCATACATACCATCTGGAATATTGTAAAAATATACTGGTGTGGTGAGTGAGTTGGGTTTAACGCCGCTTTTAACGGTATTCCAGTTATATCGCGGCGTGTCAGCTTAATGTGGGAGGAAAGCCCGAAGTGATGCAGGTCTCAGACGTTTACCACTTCGGTGAAACCCACGAGCATGGTGCTGACAAACCTAGAAACATAATCGGGGCGAACCGGGATTCGAACCGACAATCATAGGTTTCTTGCGTGTCCAAGGGACGCAACTCTGCACAGCGAATCGCGGCGCCTTAGACGACTGGGCCACCCGTGCCCCCCATACACTGGTGTAGTGCTGTAATGCTGTGACATATTGTGAACTAGGTCGATACCCTCTTAGATTTATTACATTGTTTCCTTGATCAACTTTCGGAGTAAGCTACTAGTAACTAATAACTTTATTCTTAAAGGTTGTTATACATTGATGTATGATACATTGTAATACGATAATAAGTACAATTTGGTATATTATGGTTAATAATATATTATTTTCCATTGGGTTTGGAGACGTTTGGAATATGCAGGAGTTATATTCAAATTATTTTCCAGTAATAAAGCAGAGAAATTTTTTTATCAAGCCACACAGACAATAAAAGGGCAGACCTCTACTTCTTCTAAATGTGTAATGTTTAGATTTATTGTTGATTCCCACTCCATACAACATTATCTGAGAAAATCAATTCCAGTCATCTACAGAAAATATACAGTAAACTACGGTTATAACGAACACGGTTATAACGAACTAACGGATATAACGAACTTACTTTTTGGTCCCGGCTAGTTGCCGTAGTTATGCTGTATATATGCTTATAACGAACTACGGTTATAACGAACTAAAATTAGTAGTCCCTTTGAGTTCGTTATAACCGTAGTTTACTGTATCCAAGTTTAGGCCTTCAGCCCAGAACTTATCATTTGAAACTGGAAGATACTAAGGGTTACATTTGTCCGAAAGAATATGTCACGTATGTCCTCTAGAAATAGAGGTAAATTTAATTTTATTCTCAAATGTCCATTGTGTGATAACCTTAGGAAACTGTACATATAGGCATAATATTTGTAAAACCCTGTATATTTAAGCTTGTACAGTTATTTTTTTATGACATATGTAAAGCAGATGTCTTGTCTTGGCAAATTTCTTTATAGCGGACGGGTTCCACACGAGTGACCAACGGGGAGCACTTGAGTTGCCTCGAGCGTTGTGCTTTGCCCATGCTAGACTAACATCTAGTCTCTGAAATTAACATATCGTACATAAAAAAACCGTTGTTCAGTTATCTTAATAAAAATATAATAAAACGGAGCCCAGTGACTCTCTTCATTTTCAGATCCTGATACTGCAGTGATCTAGACTTGCCAAACATAATAGACTTGCATGGGCTGTATTTGGTACATATTTGTATCAGGGTCCGTAAGACAGACTATGCCCATGCGTCAAACACGTGCTACTGCTTTATCTATAAATACCACAAAAACACCCATGAATATCATGTCCTTAAACCACAGCCTCTATTAATATCGTTAGGGTACGTGGCTCTGTTCAAGATAACGAGACAGCATACAGCATGTTAGTGTATAAAACGTATAATAACACATGCACTACCCCAACAGTAAACTGAGCCACGACCGTGACCTGCGTGAAGGAGTGTGGTGCACAGTCATTTCAATGCTAGGGAAGCACAATGACCAAATGGGCTGTCGCTATATACCGACTGGCTGTGTCTATGCCGGCTCACCATACACATTGACTGTTTTGTGTGCATGTGGAATACACTGAGATACTGAAAAGGTAACCATTATGTATTAGTTATCTCTAATGTTATTATTGCTTCTTTTACGTTCATAACGTTTTAGCTATGCTGAATTTAAATTCTGTTTGTGAATAGCATATTATTTAAGCAATATGACGAATGTTATTCCACATTTGGATACCTACGCGATACAGGCGAGGGCATCATTGGTGATGTAATTCCTTCCAAAGCTCACTGAACATTGTATGGTCTATTCAGGTTACAATCTTACGTGTGCCTAACATGCAACAATCTCAACACATTCCTGTACAACCTTGGAATGTGTTCTAAAACGATTTTTCGGCTTCGCCTGTATCTCACAATCCACCATGAACGGCGGTGTAGTTACATACATACATATATATATATATCCTCCGGTTATGGGATTAGTATTTCTGATTACGTGTCTACTAACAATCCAAATACACTAAAAGTAAGTCTTACCTTTGAGAACATATATTTTCTGGTCAAATGAACATGTCTTGTTTATTTTATCGTGATAATGCCTCGCCGAGCGAGACAAGTCGATCAGGTGACATTTTGTGATTGCGAGCCCCTCTATTACAGTCAAGTCAATAATAGATGCGCGACATGATCCGACGCGTGACATGATCCGACGCGTGACGTCACACACAGGAGGTTTACAAAGAGCAGCCGATACATCATCGGTGAATACGATTATTCTGAAGCAAAATTATGTGCATTAGTGAACAAGCAGGATTTGGGGTATGTTTTCATTACTTATTGAATATCTACTTCGTGTAGCTTAATTCGTAAGATACCTCGTAAGTTAAAGGGGCATCTGCGGTAGGAACTACCGCACTCTAGTGGGCGGAGCTTATACTAGTGATCTGGGGCGGTTGGGTAGCCTAGTGGTTAAAGCGTTCGATCGTCACGCCGAAGACCCGGGTTCGAATCCCGACATGGGTACAATGTGTGAAGCCCATTTCTGGTGTCGTGATATTGCTGGATATTGCTGGAATATTGCTAAAAGCGGCGTAAAACCAAACTCACTCACTATACGAGTGATCTGACAGGTCAATATGACGTCATGATAAGACACACATTTCATTGGTTTATATGTAAACGGGTGACGTCATGTAAACACCCACCCACGTGAACCGTTTGACAACAAGGACGTAAGTTTTAATGGTAATAAATATCTATCAAACGATTCCAAGACTTTTCAACAAACGCGTAGGTCTTTTTGTTTCAAAACCGACCTGCCATGTCGTCTTTACATCTTCATAAAATGATACCGCGGAAAGTCCACGATTTATCCAAGCAGTCCAACACAGAAATTATAGACGTTCTGGTTCTGAGCTATTCTAGATCTCTGGACGAGAACGAAATACGTTTGTCGTGAAGAATATGAGCAGTGTAAATGAACAAAACATATAATATGTGTTACGGCACCAATCGTTATCCTGTGGTGTGCGGTACATCTGCAGTTTATAAATAGCATTTCTCACAATATATACAGCAATCGGTGATTTCAACAATGTTTTTCTTCGTTGTGTTCGTCTTGCCTCATCTGGAATCTGGATGACAACGATCGTGTAAAACACCCTGGTAATGGTAAATAATATTTTCAAGTGATCAAAGTAGTTTTTTGTCGTTTCCGTGAGATTTTTTAGCGATGTACATTGGCAAAGTCTCACTTGTCCGATGCCGAGGGGTGGTCGGGTAGCCTTGTGGTTAAAGCGTTCGCTCGTCACGCCGAAGACCCGGGTTCGATTCCCGACATGGGTACAATGTGTGAAGCCCATTTCTGGTGTCCCCCGCCGTGATATTGCTGGAATATTGCTAAAAGCGGCGTAAAACTATACTCACTCACTCACTCACTCACTTAAAATTACCTTGGACAGATCTACATGATAAATTAATTCATAGACGAGATTTTAGGACCAAGTCTTAAACTTGTTTTTAAAAGTCATAAAATAACTTACACATTTATTAACGTAACTTAACGTTTCTGAACGAGAAACCAACAATAAAAGGTATAACGCTTACTCAGGGCGAATGGAAAATGATGTTACCTCTAAAACCTTTCATCCGTGCACAAATCAGCTCCATGAATGAACGGACAATGAATAAACGAGCACTGCCTGAACGATCTCCACGAACAATTTAAATGATATAATTATTTAGGCTATCAACAATAAACTAAAAGACGATGAAAAGAAAAAAATACTCGAAGTTAACTACATTCATCAATGAAAAACCTATATGTCATAGAATATAGAGCGCGCACAGAGTTGCACCCATGTTTACACGAATAAAATACTTTCATGTAATGATAGGAGAAAATGCTTGAGCGTTTACGCGCAAGCCGAAGGTCCAAACGAGCGGATAACGACACTATTAAAATATCACATCGATACGCTACATGACGGTGGTGGTGTCGATATAAGAGTATGCCATACGTTGAAATATGCTGTGTTTTATAGTTGAACAGTAATTTGTTTCTGATTCTCTGTGAACGAGTGTTTACACTTTCTGATTGTTTTGTCCTCATTGAGTATCGTTCTTAGATATCGTTAGTTTATCTTAACAGGTATCATGTAGAGACGAATGTCGCTCTCTCACAGTTGAATCGTGGCTACAGACACAGCACATTCCTCTATGGATAAGGCTTTAGAAATTATTGTTTTAACCGTCGTAATCCATGATTCAACCAAAACCATCAATCATTTTCACTGGAATTAATGAATAAATAAGAGTATAGTTTAAAAAAAAAAAAATTCTCTACTTTATTCACGCCGTGATATATTTCGTTGTTAAAAGTCAATCTTATTCTTATTTTCAATCCTTATTTCCAACTTTGAAAGATTTCCTTCGCTCATATCGTACAGACACACCACATTCCTCTATGGATAAGGCTTTAGAAATTATTCTTTAACCGTCGTAATATATGATTCAACCAATACCATGAATCATTTTCACTAGAATTAATGAATAAAAAAGAGTATAGTTTAAAAAAATATTCTCTACTTTATTCACGTGGTGATATATTTCGTTGTTAAAAGTCAGTCTTATTTATATTTTCAATCTTAATTTCCAACTCTGAAAGATTTCCTTCGCTCATATCGTACCCTAAGTTTCCCATCTTACCCTAAATCCGACCATACACATTCTTCTTAAATTTTATCTAGTTCACATCACATATTATTCACCGAACATATGATAAATGAATGTAAGTATGTTGTAAAAGCTAGGTTGAAATGAAACATCCCAAGTTCTTATTAAGGATACATGAACAGTTTCAGAATAGTGCTATCTTCCGTATAGCATGTATCCCTTATTCCACACAGCTTTTAGAACTTTTACCCACCTCAACCCTATACTGTGATATACCACCGTAAATAACCGTCCCCCTTTATGGTAACCCGTGTTTAAGTTACAGTACCCTGTTTAAAGATAATACGTTAGTATGTACTCTGAAAATAAAACGGCTGTATGAATGGGCGGGACACGCGTTGTACTGATTGACCTAGATGGCTACATTACCTCCGGCATTCCCAAACCGTGTGTGAATTTAAGCTGCCGCTTTGGGAGACGAGGTGGGTCACACGTGTCGAACAAATGTTTTATTATTTTGAAAATGGTATTCATTGAATGAATTGGAATGTCGCTCGGAAGAGTTTATCCACAAAATTCAAAGTTTTCTCCATATATGTTGAACGCCTGAGCGAAGTGGAATGTCACTTTAAATAGTTTATCAGGAATTCTAAAATTCTCTCTAGACTGAAGTAGTGACCAGTCAACCACGCAGACTTGTCTCGTTGGTAGCAAATGATTGTGAGGTTAACCCTTTCCATCCAAAGATATTATAATGCATTTAAATGACAAACACAAAAACGTCGGTTAAAAGAGCGCGCGAATCCTTAGTACTTCACAAGAAGTTCATCTTTTAAAGTGAAATGATCTCGGCGCGTGACACATGCGCATGTAGGCACTGCTACTGATAAGACCGACCTATGAAAATAGACAGGAAAAACAAAACTCTCAGTTTACAATCAGACGTCAACGATACAGTAATTTAAGTCACGTCTGTTTATCTTAGTTTCTCGAAAATTTAAGAAACGTTGTCAAGGTATTAGTAATATGAAATTGGAATGAAAAGAATTTATGTTACAGTAAATCGTGAAACGCTGTCTGCTGTTCACGACGTTTTGTTTTCTTGTCTTTGATATTTACGTTAGTCTGTTTCAGCAACTAGACATTTTTTGTAGGTTTCTTATTCTGTTGTTATTGCACTTCATCATGTCGTCCCCTTTTACACCTGTTTATACCTGTGTGTTTTGTCAAAAGATATACAGCTCCAAACGAGCTTTAGTTAGGCATCAGAGAAATTGCGGGCCTTTGTCCCAAGCGTTTACATGTAACATCTGTTCCAAAAGTTTCAATCGTAAAGACAATTTAGATTCGCATACGAAAACGTACCATTTACATGACGGAGATAATTTGACGTGTAAATTTTGTCATACCGTTCTTCCGAACTATCCCACCTATAGAAGTCATGTTTCTCACAGTCATCGTGGTTCAAACAGTACTCAGTCTGCGAGTACTAGCTCTGCTTCTACCAATCAAACGTTTAATTGTAGAATGTGTTCCAAATCTTTTCCTTCCATGAAAGCTCTCCCGTCACGGGGGCACGGGTGGCCCAGTCGTCTAAGGCGCCGCGATTCGCTGTGCAGAGTTGCGTCACTTGGGCACGCCAGAAACCTATGATTGTGGGTTCGAATCCCGGTTTGCCCCGATTATGTTTCTAGGTTTGTCAGCACCATACCCGTGCTCGTGGGTTTCACCGAAGTGGTAAACGTCTGAGACCTGCATCACTTCGGGCTTTCCTCCCACATTAAGCTGAGACGCCGTGATATAACTGGAATAATGTTAAAAGCGGCGTTAAACCCAACTCACTCACACTCTCCCGTCACACTGAAAACTGTCTTCTCAAACTGGTCGTGGGGCAGACTCGGCAGCCAAAAGCCGGAGA